TTCCATCTTAGGGTAGTTGCCCTACCCCTCTCAGTAGCAAAGGCACATGCAGCCACCCCAACAGAACCCGGCCTCTCATGTTTGCTCTGCTTGCTGCACTGTGTCAGAGGGGGCAGGGAAGCAGGGAGACACGCACATCTAAATTTAAAACAGCTCCTAAGGCAGATGGAGACTTGAGTAGTTGGGTCACGTTGCCATGGCAACAAAAGTTTTCTAGTTTGGGATGGTGGGATGGACTGGAGAGATAAGGGATAAAGAGAGAAAGACAGGAAGGAGGCTGATTTGGCACCAAGGAAGTTTATCACAAACTAACACCAGAGCTGTGTGGATGCTGTGATTCTGCGAGAGGCTCAGATTTCCTTTCTTTGTCAGATGGGGAAGATGATAAAATTGCTGCAGGTCAAATGGTTCTTAAAAGCATAGCTAAGGGGACCAGTTCAAAAGTTTTACAACCCAGTACAGATGACTGTGGTTATTCCTTAAGAACATTATTTGTATAGCCATCACTAGACTTTGCACACTGAGAGATTATTGTAAGAAGTGTTTACATGCTTATAGATACAGTTTCATTAATAAAGTAAGTAGTTAGTCCTATGTTGATAGCAGCGCTTCAGTTTTTATATTATTTATTTATTTGTTACCATCCTAAATCTGTCTTTTTGCAATTAACCTATCTTGAATGTGGGCGCAGACCTTTGAACCTTGCTGAGTGTCTTGCTCTGACCCCCTTTATGTGCAGCGTGAAGAAGCACTTTCTCTGGTCTGTCCCGAATCTCCTGCTAACCTCCCTCAGGGATGACAACACAAGCATCTCTCTAGCCACTTTACTCAATCCATGCCTCGTTTTATGCACACCACATACACACTGACTCCCCCTCCCCCTCCCCCACTACAATAACCGAAGCACCGTAGCCTTCCTAACAGGGTGATTGCTCCCAGTCTTTTTACATTTTGGTTGCCCTGTCTCCCTTCTCACTTGCCAGGTGGCCAGGAGAAAAAGGTGTCTGGTGTCACCTGCAGCACTTAGACATCCCAGACAGTCTCCTTTCCAGGCAGGATGGGGTCCACTCAGAGCTGCAGGTGCTGGAGAATGGACCTCTTCCTGTCGCAAAGGTCAGTGGACCAAGTCACACCCCTCGACCTTGACCTTTATATTTGCCTGCCTCTAGGGAACTCATGAGGGACGCGGGTGGCGCTGTGGGTAAAACCTCAGCGCCTAGGGCTTGCCGATCGCATGGTCAGCGGTTCGAATCCCCGCGGCGGGGTGAGCTCCTGTCTTTCGGTCCCAGCTCCTGCCCACCTAGCAGTTCGAAAGCACCCCTAAGTGCAAGTAGATAAATAGGTACCGCTTTCTAGTGGGAAGGTAAACGGCGTTTCCGTGTGCTGTGCTGGTGCTGGCTCGCCAGAGCAGCTTCGTCACGCTGGCCACGTGACCCGGAAGTGTCTCCGGACAGCGCTGGCCCCCAGCCTCTTAAGTGAGATGGGCGCACAACCCTAGAGTCGGACACGACTGGCCTGTACGGGCAGGGGTACCTTTACCTTAGGGAACTCATGATCTCCTTCTTAAAGTACCAAAAATCAAAACGAATTCTGGAACAGGTGTTCTTGGGGGGAAATAATGTGCTTTTACTGTTTGGTATGGATGCAGCCTAAGTCCTCCTATCTCCAAAGAAAGGGTGGAGAATCTTTTGTCCTCTAGATGTTGTTGGACTCCAACTCACATTACCCCCAGCAAACATGTCCAATGGTCAGGAATGATGGGAGTTGTAGTTCAGCAACTTCTGGCCTCCCCCCATGATGTAAGGCCCCACAATACCGCCATCTTTCTTTGCTCTTCTTCCTGTGAGTGGGCATATCAACACGTACCTTTCCTCTGCACGTTACAGGCACAGCCTGCGCTTTAAAGCACCCTTTTATTTTGCTCCCAAAATGTTGTTCAAAGAGCAGGTTTTCCAGGGCAAAAAAAGTGCTCAGACACGAAGCTTTAAAGCACAGAACCAATGCCCAATTTGGGGAGTGACGGTGGTTCCCTTGCACAGGATGCTGAGCTGAGGGGGTAGCCATAATTGGGAAGATCCATTTTGGGGCAGCAAATTTTGGCCTCGCTCAGGGTGCCACACTACCAAAGATTACCAAAGTCTGTCCCTGGAAAGAGCGGAGCAAAAGGTAAGTGTGAATTAATGCCTTGGGAATTGCCAAAATAACCTTGATGCTTCTTCTTAATGCCCCTGGGGAGTTTCCTGCAGAGGTAGAGCCTGAGGGCTTATCCCTCCCCCACTTCCTCTTCTCCTGATGTGCTCAATCAGAGCAAGTGGGAACTGGGTTTTCTGCTGTCTGTTTTTAGGAGACTGCTTCCTCGTGTATTTGAAATTATAAAGGCACCATGATTAAATAACTACAAGTCCTCTCTCTCCCCCCCTCTCATATCCAAACTGTAGCCTTGTCCCTGGAACACCTCACCGCTCAGAGAAGTGGGCAGTGTGCACTGATATTCTGTGATGCCCTTTGAAAGCTGAGATGCTGCAGTGATAATAAGTCCTGCAGCTTGGCTGCCCCCTCTCCTCCGCACAGAATTCACACAAGGCATCAGAGGTCCTGTTCCACACCCTTGCTGTAATTATGCAACCCACCCACCCTCCAGAATGGCCTCCTGGACCCACATTCCTCCCACCGCTTCATGTCAGCATCACCACTTACTGCTGCTGCTGTCTTTCTTGGTGATGCTGTTAGAGCCAGTCTGAGTCCAGGGAGGGGGAGGGGAGAAAACAATTATCCTCTCTCTATCCTAGAATGGACTGCTCCCAACAATGCTTTTCCCTTTGGCAGGCAATAAAAATCCCCTTCCCCAGCCTTGTGAAGGCACTGGCTCAAATCCTTCCACTTGCTTCTGTCTAAAAAGCACCCTGGAAGGCATTAGCTACATGCTTTAAATTATAGACTCCTCTTCTTGTAAAAGGGAATGTTGGACCAAGTGGACTCACACTGGCAAATTCAGGTTGCACAATTCTAGTTGACTGTAAAGACTTCAGATATTTCTTGTGTGCAAATGTATCTCCAGTCTCTGAGTCTGCCCCCTTGTGACAGACACTACCCAAGCTTTTTGTCTCTTAGGGCCGGAGCCCCAGGATACTAGGCAATAACCCAAGCCATATCCCATCCTAGTCTAGCTGATTTCCCTATCGCAGCTGACATAGTAGAGGCTTTCCTGTCTGGGAGCAAGAAAGAGCCAACCTATAGGGCCTGCTGGCACATTCTCCTGCACAAACTCCACTGGAACAAAAGAGGAGCTGAGCTGATCAAGAGCCCTGCTGTGGATTATGGTCTTTGGTAATGTCAGGGCTGGCCCAAGACATTTTGGTACCTGAGGCAAAATGGTATCTTCCTCCCTGCCAGGAACATACCCTCCAACATTTATTCGATGAAAATAGGAACATCCCATTACATAATGATAATTTTTCTATTTATACCCCACACATTTTCCTGGGTTGCCCCAGCCACTCTAGGCAGCTTCTAACATACATAAAACATAATAAAACATTAAACATTTAAAAAAAAAAATTCCCTTCAGATGGCTCAGGGGTCAGATAACTCCATACCCTCCAACATTTCTCCAATGAAAATAGGGACATCCTAAGGAAAAGTGGGACATTCAAGGATCAAATCAGAAACTGGGACGGCTTCTCTAAATCAGGGATGTCCTTGGAAAATAGGGACACCTGGAGGGGCTGAGTGGGTGAAGATCTACATCAGGAACAAGGTGGGAGTAAATATCTACATTGGGACCTGCTGCCCCTGTGGATCCTGCCACCTGAGGGGGTTGCCTCACCTTGCCTCATGGGTGGGCTGGCCCTGGCTAAAGCAGATCGAAGAGGCAACCTCAGAATTCAGTTTATGAGAAGCTTTAAGTTCTTTCACCCAGCATTACATGCTGAGCAGGCAAAGTGAACCAGCCTATCCTAACATATCCACATTCAGAATGCTTATTTTGGTTCCAGGTCCAGATAAGGGCAGAACTCCTATTATGTCTTCAAAACTATGCACAAAATATGTATAGCCAGAATGTATCAAACACAGATTTCGTATATATTTATAGCAAGGATAATATTTTCATAATCATGATAGAAGAATTGGGTTCCAAGAAAGCAATAATTAATTTGATATTGGAACAAGTGGAAATCATAAAGTTAACTGGGATGATATGTCCATCATAACAGTAAGGGAGAAAATGAGGAAATGAAATTTGACACACGCACATGCTGGTCCCACTTACTGAACACGGTGCACTCCCTGGAAACATAGGAGCCAACTCCTAGGGGCTTGAGGGGTCTTCAGCCCCCCCCTGCAAAATATTTGAGGGGGCTGTCCTCCCAAAGTTGATGGGCATTGCCATTCAAATAGTGTGTGTGCGCGCACTGTGTCATGTGATTGATTATGCAGGGCAGGGCTTACCTGCCACCCTCGCCTCCAATATTTCATTCAGCTTGGCACCCCTGCCTGGAAATCATTTGTTTGGCAATTGTTCACATAACGAGTTGACAATTTCCATTGATTCCTATGGGGAAATTTCTAATGCGTTTCTGACTGTGGCATTTTGTCCCTGAAAAGTCTTCCCAACCCAAGAAAACTTAGGGGGGAAATGCTCATTTGTCCAATCCCTCCCTCCATTCCTCAACCAACCAGCAAAAAGCAAATAAGAAAGAAAAATAATGCTCTCTGTTTGGATATCTGAATCTATGGTTACTACCCTGCAGTGTGGGTACTAATTCCTCATGTTTGGATAAGTGAATTTTTGCATAGAAAAAGTTTGTAAAGAGGGACCTGTGTGTATATAAGAAGCAGGCGTAACAGATTTGCTTCTAATAAGGAAATGAATACACATATACACATTTTTAGAAGAAAACACTTAAATATTTAAATATTTGATTTTGAGATTTTAGTAATAATTTGTACATTTATGGAAGAAAATAGATTTGCATTTAGCAATAATTGTGAAGTCAAAGGTTTTCTATTACAATATCACAGAAATATTGAATGGTTTCTATAATAGGAGGTGTTACCTTAAACATCAGTAAGAACTTTCTGACAGTTGTTTAACAGTGGATTGGACTCCCTCAGAAGGTGGTGATCTGTACCCAAATCAGTCCAGAACAGACCTTTCCAAGTAGGAAAGACTCTATTCACCTCCACAAAATGATCCACAGCCATTAAAGGTTAGCAATTATCACTAACTTTATTGGACACCTTTACAGAAGTTAATATTGCACATGGTTTAAGAGAGCGTTTAAAAAACAACAACCCAAAGAGATGTTTTTAAAAAGAGAGCAAAGACAGTCTTACAAAGACATTCCCTACATCCAGATAGAGAGCCAAAGGCTTAGAAGTCAAATTCACAAGAAGGCCAGAGGTTCCAGCCTCAAGATTCTGAGGGAAATGGGTACCATTATCCATTAAAACGGTTTTTATTTTCTAAATAGGTCACTGTGGGAATGCAAGTTATCTGTAAGAGCAACCACCTTCCTGACCTTCCAAGTTTCGTCCCCCTCCTCACTTTAACCAAATGGCTAAGCAAAGCAACAGATCCACCTGCTGACAGTTTAGGAAATGCAATCAAAGGCATCGTGGTGGTGCGAAGTTAATTTTAAGGCACTAGGGAAGAAGCCACAGGGGCTGCCAGGTGGCTGTGCAAAGGAGAGGCACTGCAGTGCACAGGGAGAGCAAGTGGAACCAAAACTGGAGTTCCTTTAATTAAAGAGAGAATTCCACCATGCAATACTGGACTAAAGGAAGTGAGCATAAACTGGGCTTTTCATCTCCAAAATTATTCTCCTGTAGCCCCAATCAACTGTCATTCTTTGTATACACAGGCATCACTTTTGCTGGGTCAAAAACAGATATAAGAAGCCATGCAAAAAAGGTAGCTGTGACATAAGTTCCTTCATTGGTGGTGCACACGCACACACCCTTTCCCTTCTATTCTGGAGCTGCTGGATCTTGCCTTAAAACCTAGCCTCACTCTTCTAAGAACATTCCTTCTATATATATTTAAAAATACAAACGGCTTCAGACAAGCTTTGTTGCCACACACACCCTTTTCTCCAGGGGGTGTCATGTGTTCTCCCACATTGATTTCCTCCCACCCCCTGCAGAACTTGGATGGGGAAATTCATTTGTTTTATTTGTTATCTCCAGCCGTCCCTAACCAACTTCAGCATCATCTCCAGGGGTGCCTCGGCCACAGCCAGCAGCGATTAGTGCTTGGGTCTGAAATCTGTGCTCTGAATCTGATTTGGGGTTGCTTGGTGTCTGAGAGTTGACTTGAAATGTCAGGGTCTTCAGCTTCCTTCTCTGGGTCTCAGGGACAGCATTCAGAGAGGAAGGTGGGCTGCCCCCCACGCCCTTCCCCCTTGCCCTTCAGGCTTCCCTCCTGAGGCACCAGGGCTGCACAGGCAAGCACTGTCGTCCTCTGTGGCCCCAGCAAGCACTACTAGACCCCACCTCCACCTTATCAGGCTACACCCACCTCCCGTCTACCTGGCACCACCCCCTGAGCCTCAGGGAGCCTGGACACTGTCCTTGGGGTTTGGGTCTTCAAGGCGATCAGCACTGCCAGCTTCTGCATTTTGGAATGGCTCAGGGAAGTTGGCCTTTGAGAGCCCCTCAGGTACCCAGGTAAGCAAAGACAAGGCTGAGGAGGGCTTGGGGACTGAGGGAGCACCTCCCTTCCCTCTGCCCCAGACCCCTGGGACCCTCCCCTTGGTCTGGCTGTAATGTGCCCTGGCTGCAACGGCTCTTGTTTGCCTGGATGGTGGTTGGAGGAGGTGTCTAGCCTACTGTGCAAAGGAAACATTCTGTGCAAAGCATACTGTGCAAAGCATACATGTCTAGCCTACATTCGTTGCTTGGCCGGTTTTTGCCTCTGGCCCCGACTGGCACTGGCATGTGGCCCCCAGAATGGGAAGGCAGCCCCTGGGCTGCAAAGGTTCCCTGCTCCTGCCCTATCCCACCGCAGGGGACTCCAGGGCAGCCGCCCCCTCCATGCAGAGCCTGACCAGGTTGAAGGCAGACATGCTGTCACTCACTTGGCTGGGCTTTCCTCATTGCAAAAGGGAGTAAAAATTGGAGCGGTGATGCTCAGCCGCTGGCTCCCAGCATCTGCCCAACCCTACCACAAACGTGGGGCCAGATGTGGCAGTTAGGAGCTAGACTGGAGGAGGAGCTGTGGGTTTGAGCTGAAATGATGCTCTGTCGTCGCATGGGGTTGGGGGGGGGTTGCAGGGGCTGCATTCACACTTGGAAGGCCGCAAAAGGTTTGTTCCAATCTTAACATTCTTCTACACCCGCCATTTTCAGGTGCCATGCACACCCAGCAGAATAGCCCTGTTGTAGACATTTTTCTACAATAAAGATCTCAATGGGAGCAGAATAATGGGTGTCTCGGATCACTCTGATTTGGAAGCCAAATTGCTTGGGGCTGCCACTCAGATTTAAAATGGCTACACTACAGTTTGAAACTGATTTTATGGTCATTTCCTCTCCCCTGGGAAATGTATAGGAGGAGGGAGCAGAGAATTTTCAGTTTTGCTCACCAAACTTCACTTTCCAGGATTGTGTCAGAGGAAACCACCGTGACTAAGCTGGTATAAAATTGGTATACATTTGTAACATCAGCAGTGTTTCCCTGTTTAATACACAGAGGCTGTTTTGGAATTTTGAGCAAATGCAGTAAAAGATATGCAGAATTCACATAGGCACTCAGTTTTCAGCACTTCCTATAATGTGCATGGCTGCCCAGATCTACAGGTTGGAGTCTGGAAAATGACATCCCCTCTGGAAACTGGATGGTACAACTGCTTTACGGGGGCGGGGGGGGGGAATATTCTCACACAGATATTTGCCAAGAGCACCCACAGCCATTTGGGTAGTCGGCAAAGGACTAAATCTGTGCATGAAATTCAGGCATCATTCCCATGTTACATTATTGTGCACATACAGGCCTATACTTGTATGTTGAGATGCATGCACTCTGTAATGTTGGAATGGCTGTAGTGGATTGGGAAAGGTTCACCTCAATGTATGGGGTGTGGGGAATGCACTGATATGGCCATTGCCTTGTTTACCAATACATGTGACCCCATGGATTCATGGACTTGAGCGTAAAAAGCTGTAATTTGTGAATCTGCCTTAAGAGCGTCTGATAGAAAGAAGCACAGGAAACTGCCATATACCGAACCAGACCATTGATCCATCTTTTGTCTGCACCGACTGGCAGTGGCTCTCCAGTATTTCAGACAGGGGACATGCCTAAACCGACATGGAAGTGCCAGGGGTTGAACTTGGGATCTTCTGGACGCAGAGCATGGGCCCTAAAACCAAGCTGCAGCCCTTCTCCAACGACGGCAACTTCTGGTGGTGGAGAATCCTCTGCATCCCTCACATCCTGCCCCACCCCAGGGCAGCAGTAGTGATCCTTCCCAAAGGAACAACCAAGTGATGGGGAATTCATTGAAAATGCAACGAATTCATTGAAAACGAATTCATTGAAAATGCAGCGTTATTGTATGGGCTGATGGTCGAAGCTGGTCAAGTTGTAAGATCTGTACCTCTTTCCCTCCACATGTCAACTCTTCCCTTCCCTTCCCTTCCCATCCCATCCCTTTCTCTTCCTTGGGCATTGGCTGGTATTCAGCCAGGTCTCTTTAATTACCCTGACTGTGTCCTCCCCACTGGCTCCCTCCTCCCCAGAATGGCCTTTGCTTTTCCACATTCCCTTGCTCACCCCCCACCCCTACCCCCAGTTTTCCCATTGGCTTTCTCTGTCCCTTCATCCCACCCTCCCTCCCCATCACCCTCCTCTAACTTTTTTACTTCTTGTAGTTTCCGAACTGGATAGCCAAGCGATTCGTAGCGCAGCGGAAAGTAGCTGGTTGGACCTCCCAGTAGGGCACAGGGTTGGAAAAGAGGCTGATGCCGTGGTACGAAGCCCGCTTTACCCCAAAGCCTACGGGACAGAAGTCGTTCACACCAATGTGAGTGATGTTGTTGGAGTGAAGGTACACAACCTGTGGAGGGAGAAGTGAGACTTAGTTACCCAGAGGTGGAAGATCCGCTGAGTTTGCGTTTGTCAGCTTGTGAGGCAGCTGAGACCTGGGAAAGAGCTCTCCTTTGATATGGCAACTCAGATCCTGCAAGGCTCCTCAAGGTAAGCTCAGCTGTGTGCTGTGGTTTCATAGGACTGCAGACAATTTGCTGAATGAGCTGCTGGCCTACATTTTTTTAGCATCATGAGAATCTCTACTGTTGATTTTCTTTTCTTTTTAAAGAAGTGAATGTGTTTAACTTCCGGACAGCAAAAGAAACCCCCATTTTATTTACCTAGCAATGACGGTGCTGTGATTTAAATGAGTTTTTAAAATGCAAAACTTCACATGCTCAGATGGTGTTTTTTAAAAATTATAATTATCAGGGTCGGCAAACTGTATTTGTTTGGAAACCTCTTGCCTTCAGGCCTATGTAAACCCACCAGGCCTCCACATTTGCCTGTTTTGACCAAGCCATGCTCACTTGCCTGACGCCATATATAACATCAGTTGTGGGGCAGGTAAAGATCCAGTTGGGCCAAAGGGAGCCCAGTGCAGGCATTAATGATTGATGTGCAGTCCCTGTAAAGCCTTGTGCTTTGCAAGTCCCAACACTTAGCTGATGCGCAGCTGATGCGCAGCGCTGTGACTTGCATAGCTCTGTACAAGACACTTTGTGCCAACTTTGTGTCTGCACGGGTAGAAATAGTTCTCCCGATGTCATTGTGAGATCAAGTGATTTAACTGATGGGTGGCCTCGCCCACTGATCAAACTTGGCCCACAGGCAGTTGGGAAGAAAAGGATCTGGCCAGATCTAGTCCACCCCTACTGTTAATGTATCAGGAATGTAGAAGCAGTTCCAAAGCATGAAATGATGGTTGGGGAGGAGAAAAATGTTAATTGTTTGTTTCACAACTCAAGCAAAACACATGCCAGCCTAAAGAGGAAGCTGCAAGATGACCTATCTGCAACACTGATGGTCCTGGTTCTCAGTTGTGGGTTCCTTCATGAATGTAGGGTCCTACCAGCTGCCCAAACTTGCCTACTCCTGAAACTGGTCCTGCATTTGCTCACCTCTGCCACAAACCACCCCCGACCCCTCTGGTACCTGCAGAAACTTGAGGCCAGGCAGTCCTGGAGGAACTCGTGACAGCTTGTTGTTATCCAAGTGCAGCTCACGTAGGCTGGGCAGGAAAGCCAGACTGCCATTCTCAATCATGCGGATGTTGTTGTGTCCCAGGCCCAGCCTAGCAGGAGGAAAGGAAGGGGAGGTGACAAAGAAAACAGGGAAAGCAACAGCGGCTTCCAAATATCACCAAGGTCAAGTGAATCAAAATCTGTCTCTTGGAAAAGGGCAGGAGTTTGATGTAGGCTGGACTCTTGAAGAGTAATGGGGGAGATGGGAGGGTGTTCAGGGCTACAGCCAAAATTAGGATGGCCAGCTGCCCTCCTTTACACAGGGCGGTCCTCTGTTCTGTAGGGCTGCCAGAGGACAGTCCTTTATTTGAAAGGATCCTCTGTTTCAAGGGCTGACCTCAGTCTGTTTAAAAAAATAAGGAACCATAAAACAGGGGGGGGGGGGCTAGGAGTTTTTATCAACAGTTAGCAGCACCTGGTCAGCAGACCAAGTAGGCGTACAATACACCTCTTGTCATTCCCAATACGGTGAGATGTACCGTATTTCTGCTTAATAATTATTTCTAGTTTTGCATCTATACCTATAAATTACTGTATGCACATTGTAGGCAAATTTATATCCTTTCTGTCCTCCTTTTTTGGTGATGCATAACTGGCTGCCCTAGCCCAGAACCCTGTGCATCTGTGGCTCAGAAGGTGGGACCCAGCAGAGTCTCATTCAAGCCCCAAAGCGTATGGCTGTGCAACATTGGGTCCCTGTGGTTGGCAGAGAAGCAGCACGAAACCTCAAGCTTAGCCAGGCCTTCTTTCTTTGCTTAATCAACTAAACAGTATCTTCCGTTTGGCCAGTAGGGGCCTGGGGTTGGGAAGCCCCCATTGCCAAGTCTGGATTTGGAATATGGCTGCCTGTCACTCTGCCTCTTTTCTGCTTCCTTAATATCCTTCCTCCAGTTCTTTCTCTGATTGCTGGAAGCTTCACATTTCAGGTGTGTAGAGAAATGTCTTGCTGATATAAAATGGGGGCTTAAACAGTTGCAACTACAAACCATTACAGCTACATGCAGCGGTCAGCCAGTGTCCACCTAACTATAAAATAGGAGAGGATGAGGTGGAGAGGGATCAGGGAAAAGCAAGCCATCTTGTTTATTGAACATTCATCCTGGTTTGTTTGCATTTATGGTTTAGGCCAGCAAATTCAAGGCTCGTTCCAGTCAGAGACAGAGTTTGCCCCTGGCAGCATTCCTTTAAGTGTGGAAGATGGAGATAAAGCTGTCGTGGGACCTCTGCAGATCCTCCTGCCTGATCCCTCCCGCCACCTACCCTGTTCCTCCACCTGCTGTGGCAAGCAGGTCTCCAGGTGTGGTGATCAGAGGGAAGTGGCTATAGCTAGGCCAGGGTGAGAACAGTCTCTCTTCCTGCTCTGGCCTGCGCCCTCTTCCTCCGCAGAGTCCTCTGACAGAGAGTGCCCCATGGGAAAGAGCCTCAGATGCAAGTGCCTCATCTAGAGGGTCTGGTGGCTTTGGGGTAAACAGTGTGGTTCATGGAGCATCTGTTGTGTGAGAGCCGCTTTCAGGACGGTAGTAGAAAAACAGGATAGAAATGTGCTTAATAAGCAACCAGCCAACCAAAGAAGGAAGGTGTATGAGGAGCATCACACTGAAAAGTGGCCTAGGAATCAGGACTAATAAGTATGGCTCTTTCTCCCTCTACTGGCTGAGACTTGAAATGGCAGGACTATTTAGGAGTTGATGGTTCTGAGGGCAAGTCAATGCTACAAACTCATACCAGCTTCAAACCTGCTTTACAAAAAGCTCCAGCTGCCTCTATTTTCTTGTGTCTGTTCCTTATAAAGAACTGTACCTGCCCTGTTTATATATATATATATTTTAAAAGGGGCAAGGGTTTACACTGGGAAAGAGGCGAACCCTGGCTACTTGCCTGTGAGGTGTGCTCACTCCATCCTGAAATTTTCTGCTCCCCCTCCCCTGTTGAAGACCTCCTAATTTGTTTTTGAATGCATGAATAGGGCTCCCATTTTTGTTCCTATTCTATCTTTTGGAGGAAATATTAGATATCTGAAAGCTAAATGAGTTGGGAAAGTCATCTATCTGCATGATGTCATGAACAAAATATTCGCCTCAGATGTTTTCCCTCGTTGATTTCTGTCCTCCCTGCAATCCCTGCCACCCACCACATTTTTTATAAAGAAAGCTTTGGAAACTTAACACAATAGTTGTGAAATTTCCGCAGGTGCAGATGGCTTATATTATGCGGCTATTCTGGCTCTTAATGGTCTGTGCATGTTGTTCTAGCCAAGGAGTCATAAACATGGTGCTTGCAGGGACACAGGTGCCCACACCCGGCTCAAAGACCCAGTTTGGCACACACCTCCATGCGCATTTGCATACATGCACAAACACACACAGGCTGGAGTGCCCCTCTGGAGGCTTCACCCGGGGCAAAAGAAACCTGGCTAGCCCCCCTGTAGCTACGGCTCTGGTGGGGTGCATGTGATTTTGCCAGTTTGCAAATGTGCCTGGGGGCTCAAAAAAAAGCTGGTGACTCCATTTCCTAGGTTGCTCTAACTTTATTTCTCTAGAGTCTGTTTATTCTCTATAGGAATCATTCTATCACCTTTATTTTCACCGCCGTCTCCCCAAAATTCAGCTGGGAAGGGAGCACTCTGGACTGCGAGTGCAGTGAAGGGGGAGGGAATATTTAACAACAAGGCCCCCCCATTTACGCTTGCCCTCACCCAACACTTGGGGCTAAGGAAAGGAGGCTATGCTGTGCTAGGAGTCTAGAAGCAGTGCCGCTATTTCACCTAAAGCAGGAGAGCAGGGAACAGCTGCTCCCAATTGTCCACCTCTGGAAGAAGCCTCCTTGCCTTTGGCCTTCTGGGCTGCTGCCCCCCCCACCAACCTTTGGCCCACCTTCCCTTGATGAGTACATTATACGAACAATTAGCTCCCTCTAGTATGAATGGCAAGGGGCAAAATACATTTTGGAAATGTTAAACTTCACTATGAATATTTCCCTTTGTTTGTGCTGCACATAGATGCCACAGATCTTTATCTACGCCTGCTGCCTCTCACAGTGCAAACTTAGCTCCAAGACAATATATTGTTGTTGGCGTCCATCCATCTTGAGAGACAATGGAGTGCACCTCCGGGGGTAAAGCCAAACTGCTGAATTAGCAGCACCAAAGTGACTTCCCTGGGGGACAAGCCTGGGCAGTGTGTATGGAGGTCCTGGGCTACCCGATGACAAGGCCACACTCTTGGCCCAAAGGAAAGCAGAGCAATATGTTTGGCACCAGCTTGGCTGCAGGAGTTGCCAGAAGGAGGCGTACAAGGCACCATCCAACCATCTTAGGAATTCCACTCCAGATTTGTGTAGGGTTTACTCCTTAGCCGTTTCTTCTCCCAAAGAAGGCAGCTGAGGTTTTCCTTCTCCTAGATGGGCGACCTTCTCAGGTGGACAAGCCCCATCTGCCCCACGCTTTCCTCTATAGCATGTGCAGAAACCGTCTTCATGACCGTTGAACCCATTTTAGGAATATTTATCGGTCCAGTATACCTGAAGGTGCGTCACCACCCCCATCGTTCAGCCCGGACACTGAAGTCCAGTGCCGAGGGCCTTCTGGCGGTTCCCTCCCTGTGAGAAGCCAAGTTACAAGGAACCAGGCAGAGGGCCTTCTCGGTGGTGGCACCTGCCCTGTGGAATGCCCTCCCACAAGATGTCAAAGAGAACAACAACTATTAGACTTTTAGAAGACATCTGAAGGCAGCCCTGTTTAGTGAAGCTTTTAATGTTTGATGCATTACTGTATTTTAATATTTTGTTGGAAGCTGCCCAGAGTGGCTGAGGAAGCCCAGCCAGATGGGCAGGTATAAATAATAAATTATTATTATTATTATTATTATTATTATTAATCTTAGAATGGGGTGGGCAATCTTTTTGGCCCCAAGGGCTGCACGTGGCAACGACTTGAGGGATACACACTCATGTGTGGGCACAAACACACACAAGTACCTCCTTTCCCTCTCTCATGCACAGACAAAAACATACACACAATATGTTTTTGTCTGTGCATCTTCCACCTGCTCTCTGTCACACCTGCAAACTCACACAGCCTTCCAGGTCCCACTCGCTCTTCTGGCACATTGGGAACCCATTGTGCCTCCCCAGCTGGTTGGTGCTGGGAACAACTGGGCAGCAGGCATGTCTGTGCCCTCCTCACCTGTTCCTAGTGCCGGTCAGCTGGGGAAGGGGAGTTGTGTGATGGGACTGCGGAGGAGAGTGGAGGAGCAACCTGGTCAGCACAAACCTCAGCTATTCCCAGAGCAAATCATCTGGGCAGGACTGGGAAGGCTGTGGGGAGACAGCTGAGTGGCGGAATGCGATTGCTGGTTGGTGCTGGCTATTGTATTTCTTTCCAACCTCCAATCAGCTGTTTAGCAGACTGAGGGGAATGCAGTTGTGGCTGGGAGGAAGGTGCACAGGTCCAGATGTACCCATGTCCCTTACTTCCCATGTAAAACAGACTCCATGTAAGCCTCCATGCAGCTGTTTAGCTAACTGCGGACAGAGAATTGCCAGGGTGGGGGCAGAGTGTGAATTGTTAACCTGTGAGTGGCTGCAGGGAAGGCTTGTGAGGGCCACATGTGTCCTGCAGGCATCTCAGAGGTCTTGGCTTGGCAATGGACTGGATGAGAGCCAACAAACTGAAGCTCGATCCAGAGAAGGCTGAGGCCCTGTTAGTGGGTGGTTCCCTAGGCCAGAGAGATGGGAGGCTGCCTGCTTTGGATGGGGTTGCATTCCCTCTGAAGCAGTGGATAAATAGCTTGGGGATCCTCCTGGATCCATTGCTGTTGTTTGAGGTTCAGGTAACCTCAGTGGCACAGAGTGAATGCTGAATAAACCAGTTGGATGCTGAATAAACTGTCTACAATAAGCCTGCAAGTTACACACATTTAACTTGTGTGCATTTACATGCATGGAAGAAAATAAAAAATAAAAATAAATTTGGGGTGGAGTTCAAGAAAAATTACTTTGGCAATCCCACCCACCACTGAACCCAATCTGTTTTGACTATACGTGGTTTTGGCTTTAGGCATGATTCCTGGAACACAACTGTTGCGTAAGCTGAGGACCTAGTGCGCTGTCAACTGTACTGTGATCCTTAGATGAAGGGTGGTATATAAATTTAATAAATGATAAAATAAATAATAATAAACAAGCCATCTGGAGGAGCCCAGCTCACACTACCTGTAGACTTTGGAATACCGGATCAGATCCTCTAATTCAATTGCCTGGATCTTGTTGTGGTCCAGATGTAGCTCATTTAGGGTTTCAGGAAGATCTGGTTGTGGAGGCAGAGAGAGATTATTTTTATACATCTATGTATTGTATAGAAAGATTGATAGGATTACATTTCTGTACCACTTGCCTATCCCTGCAACCAGTGCTTTTTTCTGGGGGAACAAAGGGATACGCATACCCCTAAACATTTTGTGAATCTAAGTTTGGCCTCATAGAGGGGCAGTATTTCAATGAGAGCAGGAAAATGAGAGTACCCCTATACATTTTTTAAGTAAAAAAGCACTGCCTGCAACACAAATCAATGTTTTTTTATGAAATCATGTCCTAAAGCCAAGAGCATGCATTGGTCTTATAGAGCAATTGGCTATCAGAAAATTACATTAATAATAGCCAAGTAAAGCTGTGGCTAGGCATTGCTATAAGCTATGAGAAAGAAGTCACACATTACCTTTAGGTACCCCTGTGAGCTTTGCTTCTGAGATCCTCAAGTAGTTCAGCTTGAGACCATCAAAGGCACCAGGTTCAAAACCACTGTTCTCCAGGGGATTCCCTCCCATCTCTGTGAGGAGAGAAAACATGCCAGCTAGAACAAAAGCATCCCATTCTTATCAGACCCACATTTAATGCCAACATTTGGCATCTTTTTAATTGTTTTATGTCCATTTCTCTCTCTAGGATGGCCAGATGCAAAGGAGTATTGTTAAGCAACCTGTTGATAAGCTTTATGCTCACATTATTTTCTCTGATATATTTAAAAGGAATTATTGGATTCTTAGTGTTGTATTTTAGTTATAATATAATTTTTATTTAATATGGTTACTGTACTATTGAATGCAAACACATTATTTTCTATAAACTGCTTTGAACACAAATGCGTCTGTAGAAAATAAACTGATAGTGACCTGGTTTGCAAGTAATGCAAAAGCCAAAACTGTGGCTTAGTGAGAACTGGTGAATGTGAAGACTCCCAGAGGGAAGATCGTGGCCATGGTGCTCTCCCCCTGACCTGCTGGTGCTACGCTGCTCAGGCTAAGCCATGGCTTGATTTAAGATACGAGTCTAAACCTGGGCTTGTCATATGCCTTGCTCCTCTATACAAACCATAAGCAGTAACTAGGGATGGGGGAGCAATCCATTTCAGATCACATTTAAAGGCACATCTATCCAATCCACACTTTCCAAAACAGTATGAGAACCTAAACCCAGCCAGCCTTCAAAATTTGCACTTATCTGAATTTTGCAATCTAACCATCCAACCATCCAACCAACCATCCAACCAACCAACCAACCAACCAACCAGTGTTTACAAAAATGCACATATCAGAGGAAAGTGTGTGTAAAAATGAATATATTGATGAAAATAACATAAAAATGCATTCTGTTAGCAGAAATGGCTTGTAAAAATGTGTACATTAGTAAAAACTGCATACAAAATGTGATTATCAAGAGAAATTTGCGCTAAAATGCTGGCAAATTTTGATGAGGATAAAATAAAATGAAACTGCAAATTGCTGCAGAAACATGGAGGATTGAATTTAAGATTGGGGAAAGAACAAGAGCCTGATGGAGTCAGGTCCTTCCATCCCTAGCAGTAACCAGTGCTTATTCTGACCAGCTTCCGACATTCCTCAGAAAACTCATGGAATGGGACAGCTCACAAAGCATGTCTAGGGAGGAACGGCCCAGTGGGCATCAGTCCAGTAGAGTACCTATGTCTCACCCCCATGTCTCACCAATGCAATTCATGTTGTTGAGCCCATTGAAGACATCCTTGGAGACCTTCTTGATCTTGTTATCATGGATGCGGAGTTCAACCAAGGAGCTGGGCAGGTTAGGAGGGATCTCCACCAGGTTGTTCTTGGAGATGTAGAGTTTCTGCAGCTTGTGCAGCGGGCTAAAGGCCTTTGGGTGGATCTTGGAGATCTTATTGTTCACCAGGACCAAGGCCTGCATCCACAGAAAGAAACTGCATGAGGGACAAGGTACGTGGGGGTGGTGGATGGGCATAGAACAGGGAATGGAATCCATCCTCCAGGTAACTTTGCCAGTGGCCAGAAATGGGGCAGTGAGAAAGGAAACCTTCCACCATTTCAGTCCAGAAAGGGATGTATTAGGGAAGGGAAACCCAGGTTTGCATTACAGAGGTTCCAGTCTCAATCCCTTGGATTTCACCTTCAAGAATCTTGGGAAATGGTCCTTGCCTGAGACCTTGGAGAACGGCTACCAGTCAAAATAAACAGTACTACTGACCCAGGGGACTTGCTCAGTGCAAGGCAGCTGTTTATATCCTTAAGAGTGGGTGCTTATGTGGGGAGAGCCTGACTTCGATTCTCACAATGAGGGATAAATGCAGGAGGAATAATGGGGCACTGACCTGTTTGTTGAGCATTCATCCCCCATTGTTGCATTGAAGCAAGTGTTGCATTGAAGCAAGTGTTGCCCCACACCTTCTAGTGCATTTCCCCATCAGCGCTTATCCACACTTACCTTTCCTCTGCTTTTCCCAGGCATAGATCCACATTTTAAAGCTCCGTGTCCAAGTGCCCTTTTATTTCCTCCAGAGCTTTCCTTGCAAAAAACCTACTTCTTTAAAGCTGAATTTAAAACTGGAATTGCTGTTAGCTCTGATTCAGCTTTAAAGAGCAGGTTTTTGTGAGGAAAGCTCCGGAGGAAAAGCAAAACAAGGGTGTTTGGACACGGGGCTTTAAAGCGCAAACCATGCTTGGAAAGAGTGGAGGAAAGGTAAGTGTGGCTAAGCCCTGTGTTGACAAGGGTGAAAAATGCAGGTGCACACCCTAATTCTACCAGCAGAGGGTAGTGCACAGATAAGGTGAGGAGGAGGAGATGGAGATCAATGCTGTCTTTTTAAAAATGTGCTTTAAAGGAGTGCATTGAGAGTTGTGGCGATCTCTCCACAGGCAGAGCAGAGAGACAGGGGCTCAAAGCCTTCGCACAAGCCTCTTTCACAATAAAGACTGAGGTAATAGGCTGAGGAGAGGAAGCTTTTGCCATACTTACATACAAGTGATGCAGCCCCTTAAAGTCATCTTTGCGTAGTTCAGTAATGTGGTTGTTCTGCAGATCCAGCAATTTTGTATCTGGCGAGATCTCCTTAGGCACTTCCTTGAGACCTGGATGGAGCAGGTGAAGAAGGATGGATAGAGGGGGTAGGAAAAGTTAATAGGGCAGGTTAAATCATTGTGGCAGTTGCTAAGCAGCCCAGAAGGACAGAGCCAGGACTGGCCCAAGATAATTGACTGCCCAAAGGGATATAGAATGGTGCAAATCAAACAGGCATGTCCCAGAATTCTTTGCACTGTTGCAGAGGATTCTGGGGGTGAAACTCTTGCACTGCAGAGATAAATTAATGACCAATTTAAAGATAAAGGTGAAGGGACCCCTGACAGTTAAGTCCAGTCGCAGACGACTCTGGGGTTGCAGCGCTCATCTCGCTTTACAGGCTGAGGGAGCCAGTGTTTGTCCACTCTGCAGACAGTTTCTCTGGGTCATGTGGCCAGCATGACTAAGCCGCTTCTGGCGCAACGGAACACCGACACCAGAGCAGCACACAGAAATGCCATTTACCTTCCCGCCGGAGTGTTACCTATTTATCTACTTGCACTTTTTTTGTGTGCTTTCAAACTGCTAGGTTGGCAGAAGCTGGGACCAAGCAACGGGAGCTCACCCCGTCACGGGATTCAAACCTTTGACCTTTTGATCGGCAAGCCCAAGGCTCAGTGGTTTAGACCCCAACACCACCTGCGTCCCATAATGACCAATTTAAGGGCCTGCAAAAAGCAAAAGCGATGCCATCTTTGCAGCAAACAGGATTCTAAGGTGTGTTGCCACTGCAGGAGGGAAACTGACTAGTCTGGACGCACGTGCTGCCTCTCATCTAGCCAGTTACTTCATCTTGAAGTAAAAATGCAACGTCCCCTGGCTGCCAGCTCTTCCTACTTTTAAAAGCACTGCTGAACTGGGAGACAAGGGAGCCACAGTTTCTCCTGGGCTTCCTCTCTTTCACCTGCCATGCAAAACACCTGTACAAGTCTGTACAACATCTATGGAGTGTGGGATGGGAGGTTGACAAAAGAGCCATTGTATGTGTATAGAAGGTGGGAGAAACTGCCTCATATTTTGATTCAGTGGCAGATTTGAGAGTGTGGGGTGATCCCCAGGCCTGCAGAACCATGCCCAGAATCTGTTGAGCTATCAGAGCCACTAATCCTTTGAGGTATGTGGGGTTCCAGAAGGCTGTGCAGGGTGAGGATGCTGTGCCCACCCATCATGTCCTGCCTGGAAACCCAACAATACCTAGAACCACTTCTGGGTTAAACATGAGTTTGTTAGGCATGGATTGGGAATGCTGCTCTAACTTGTATCCTCCTTCCTGTCACTTCTGCCAACCTAGTAGTTCAAAAGCAGGCCAATGCAAGTAGATAAATAGGTATGGCTGCAGCGGGAAGGTAAATGGCATTTCCATGTGCTCTGGCTTCCGTCACGGTGTTCCGTTGTGCCAGGAGCGGTTTAGTCATGCTGGCCACATGACCAGGAAAGCTGTCTGCGGACAAACGCCAGCTCCCTCGGCCTGAAGCGAGATGAGTGCTGCAACCCCAGAGTTGCTTTGACTGGACTTAACCGTCCAGAGGTCCTTTTCCTTTTACCTTTACCTCCTTACTGTTAAAAAGCACATGGAGAGTTACACACACACACACCCGTTGGTGCTCTCCAGGTTTGCACCAATATGGGTTGCTAGAAATAATTTGGACCAAAACAAAGGGTAGGTCTCTCTCAAGCATATAATACTGTCATATTCTGACACACAAGTTTGAGAAGAACCCTCAAGTCCAAAACCATAATCACTCCTGATAAATGAGGCCATCAACATACAGCTTCCAAACAATGTCAGCAAATACTCAGTTCCTTTTTTCTTTTCTTTCTTTCTTTTACAATGGTTGATCAGTTACCTTTATTTTATATGTCTTTTTTATATAAGACCTTGCATTTTACTTTTAGTTGGCCTCCGAATTGTTATTTTGCATAACCACCAACAGAGGGTGATAGAGCACCATTAAGACCAGGCATGTACAGTGGTGCCTCCAAAGACAAAATTAATTCGTTCCACGAGTTTTGTCGTCTTGCGATTTTTTTCGTCTTGCGAAGCACGGTGTCGGAAAAGTTTTGGAAAAGCTTCAAAAATTTCCAAAGTCTTCAAAAACCTCAAAAAAGGCTACCACACTGCGTGCTATGAGTTGCTCCTCGAAGTCAAGTCGCAACTGTATTAACGGTGTTAAGAAAAAGGAAACGAACTTGCAAGACGTTTCCATCTTGCGAGGCAAGCCCATAGGGAAAATCGTCTTGCGAAGCAGCTCAAAAACCAAAAAACCCTTTCGTTTTGCGAGTTTTCCATCTTGCGAGGCATTCGTCTTGCGAGGTACCACTGTATTGCAAAATATAGGGTAGCCTAAGAGCAGGGGTAGGCAACCTAAGGCCCAGGGGCCAGATGCGGCCCAATCGCCTTCTCAATCCGGCCCACGGACGGTCCAGGAATCAGTGTGTTTTTACATGAGTAGAATGTGTCTTTTTATTTAAAATGCATCTCTGGGTTATTTGTGGGGCATAGGAATTCGTTCATCCCCCCCCCCCCAATATAGTCTGGCCCACCACATGGTCTGAGGGACGGTGGACCAGCCCACGGCTGAAAAAGGTTGCTGACCCCTGCCTAAGAGGGTGGAACTGAAGACTGTGGGGGCGGGCAAAAAACCTGCGGCCCTTCCGTATGGTGTAGTGGTTAGCATGTTGGAATAAGATCTGGGAGACCAGAGTTAAAATCCCTACTCAGCCATGGAGCTCACTGGGTGACCTTGGACCAGTCACTGCTTCTCAGCCTAACCTACCTCTCAGGGTTATTGTGGGGATCAAATGAGGAGCCGGAGAACCATGTATGCCACCTTCAGCTCATTGGAGGAAAAGGTGGGCTATTAAATGCAATGAATAAGTAAAATAAAATGCACTTTGACCACCACACCCATCATCCCTGAGCATGCTAGCCGGGGCCGATGGAAGTTGGAGTCCAACGGGATTTGGAGGCTCCTCTTTCTTGTGTATAAGAGGCAGTTGGACCCCGAGTGTGTGATTGAAACTTGGACCATGCGCTTCAAGTTCCCCAACAATAGTTTTCAGAGTAATATGTTGAGCCCTTTTGTTAGCTCTGTCTACATCATCCAGTGGCACACCACCGACTCCCTGTTTGCAACAGAACTGAGGCCCCCAGAATCCTTGGCCACTTTTTTGCTCCCATGCTCCTACTCACCCAGGTCAGAGCATTGCACCACCCTGAGATGGCAGTGGCAGCCAAAGGGGCAGAGGCCTGGATAGAAGGGCACGATGTCCTCAGCTTCGGCCCCTCCTGACGTAGGGAAGATGCCAGACGCCTCTTCCTCTTCTTGGACGTTAGGATCATCCATGGAAAAGTCCCAGAAGCCTCTCTGCACAAACGGCAAGTCACCGCTCACCAGACCCAAGAGGGGCATCAGCAGAAGAAGGTGTTCCATAGTGGGAGCTGCTAGGCGAGAATATGAAAGAGAGAGAGAATGCCAGAAGTCAGATTGTGCTGTGAGGGACCGAAGATGTGAGATCCACAAGGCCTTTAGAATCACAGAGCGTCTTAGTGTTCATAACCGGCAGGGCCAGAATTGGCCCCTGCTGTTCACTTACCTCATTGCCCATTGCAATTCTGCCTCTCCCTCCTGAAACTCTGGCCCCCTGTCACCTCAGACTGGGCTTTCCCCATTTTCTATCTGACCCAGAGAATCTCTGTTAATGGCTTTCTTAATGGGTTAATGTCTTGGCCATTCCTGTCATGGTTCTTCTGTCAGGCAGTTCCCAGGACACAGGAAAACTGGCTTAAAATCCAACCCCTACTAGACCCATGAATTTAGGGGTTTGCTTAAATTCTTACCCTTACCCTCCATATAACTGTCCTTAAACTATGTTAACGTGTGGAGAGCTGTGCCCTGGCCTGCCTTATCTCCCTTTGGTCTTCTGTACAGGCACTTCCTGCTCTGGTACTGGAAGTGAGAGGGGCAGGGGATGTCTCAAGAAGGAACAGAGGGTATGGATGTGAAGATGAGAGAGAACGGGCTCATCCAGACTTTCTTTTGTGCTGCGTTTCCAGGCACAGGTCCATGCTTTAAAGTTCTGGGTCCGAGCTGTGGAAAACCTGAATTGCCTAGAAAGTGCAGACCAGAAGCTAGGTGTGGATGAGCCCAGAAAAGAGCGTTCAGCTCCTCTCCTGTTTACATAGGATGTAAGTCAACCTGCTGCTCTGTTTTACATGGAAGCAGCACAAATATGGCTTCTGGCATCACATCTACGTAAATTTGGCCATTTCCTAACCTACTTTACAAGGTTGTGGTGAAGATAAAAACATAGAAAGTACCACATATCGACCTGCAAACTGCTTGGAGGAAGGATGGGATGTGTACATGTCTGTGTGCATGTGTGTGTGTTCATGCGTGTGTGCCTGCCTGTGTTTCCAGATGGGGGTATGTATAATGTACTTCAAATGTACTTCAAAGTGGTAAGGGATGCGGGTGGCGCTGTGGTCTAAACCACAGAGCCTAGGGCTTGCCTAGGTCGGCAGTTCAAATCCCCGCGATGGGGTAAGCTCCCGTTGCTCGGTCCCTGCTCCTGTCAACCTAGCAGTTTGAAAGCACATCAAAGTGCAAGTAGATAAATAGGTACTGCTCCAGCGGGAAGGTAAAAGGCCTTTCCATGCGCTGCTCTGATTCGCCAGAAGCGGCTTAGTCATGCTGGCCACATGACTCCCTTGGCCAATAAAGCAACATGAGCGTCGCAACCCCAGAGTCGGCCACGACTAGACCTAATGGTCAGGGGTCCCTTTACCTTTACCTTTACTTCAAAGTGAGGCCTCAATACTGTAAACTTGTTACTGGAACATTGCAAATGGATCATTGGTAGCAGTTTGCTTCTCAGATCTGCTCCAGAAATGGTAAATTTGGATCAAATAGAATGAGAAAAAATGCAGGCTTGCATTTTGGTGACAATGACGTCGTGTAGACGCTGCAACAAACTGCATGCATGAGAATCACCACAATAAAAGCACCCTGTTTCTATTTTTGTGGCCCTCTTGTTCCACACCCTCCCTGCGCATGCTAGGAGATTATGCTCTAGGCAAGACTAGGCTGTATGGTAAATAACAGTGCTTGCTAATGAATATATAACGATATAAATCCTGTAAGTAAATGGTTGAGGGAGACATGAATTGAACGAGGCACTTCCTAGTGACTTGACAATGTCAGGAATTGAAAAACAGGGTGGGGGTGTGCCTGAACCATGAGGGATTGATGAGGGAGCTATGAGTAAGTATCCACAGGAAGGAAGTGTGTATGTAAGAGTGTGGCCAGTTGCAACACAACTGACTGTGCACAAAGATCTCTTGAATCTGCCTGTGGTCCTGGCCCACCAGGGCTCTGTGTGTGTGTGTGTGTGTGTGTGTGTGAGACCCTGCAGTTTGCAGCTGCATTTTGTTGCCCTCTATTCAGTCTGCGACTTGGAACAGGGCAGCACACAGCTGTAACATTGCTCCTCTGAGGATGCCAACTGGTTTCTGCCAAGACGCATTTGAAAACATTAGTAGAGAGGTGTCAGGGAACTGACACTGGAGCCTGAGGCGGAGGAAAGGCTCTCAAATGATGCTGGAGAAGGACCAAGCAGGGAGAGAGGCAGTTCAGCAGAGGGGGAAGCAAATCAACGTTACACCAGGGATAAAGGAGGGCAGATGGGGGAATCGGCGAGAGGGCTCCAGGACTCTTCGCTGGACACCAGCAGGGAGAGCACGGGTCCTCCGCTACCCACGCCCTCCCTGCGCAGAAGACTTCCACGCAGGGAGAGTAGGAGGAGACTGGGCGTCAAACAACTTTTATGTTGGAAGAGGTTTAAGAAACGCCCACTGACGGATTCTGCTAGTGACTGAGGCAGCCACGAATTGAAGGGCTGTCCAGACAGAAAGGTTTAACAAGGCAACATAGCCAGGAGAGGCGGCAACTTACGCACGAGCAACCCCATACCCATTATAAGAGGGTTTGCCTTTTTATGACTGCACAGGAAACATTACTGGGACCTGGGGGTGATGAGGGGGAGCCTCTTGAGAAGGCTAAATGCCAGCTGCGGAGGTTTGTGTGTGTGTGTGTGTGTGTGTGTGTGGTTTCAATGCATAGCCCACCATATGCTAAACAAAGGAAGGTAATAAGGTTACGGTCACTGCCATGCACAGCCCACTCCTACAATTCTCAAGCTCATATCTCTCATGGAAAACAACACATTTGAGGGAGTACCTTTCCCCCAGGCTTCCTTTGTATTTGGGACACTATCTCGATCTCTACCCTAGCCTTCGCTAACCCCTCCAGATGTTGTTGAACTGCAACTCCCAACAGCCTCAACTAGCACAGCCACGCTGTCTGCAGCTGATGGGAACTGTAGCTCAACAACATCTGCAGAGCACCAAATTGGTGAAGGACGTTCTACCCTGAGATTCTTCCTTAGCGCCAGTTGTTTCTCTGTGCTTTTGGAGACCCCTTGCTTCAAGTCTTCCCACCTCTGGTTTGTGGTCATAGAAAATTTTTGTGTTGAACTTTTATGTTGTGAACTTCCCTGAGACCTGCAGATGAAGGGTGGTATACAAATTTTAATAATAATAATAATAATAATAATAATAATAATGTGACCGAAATAAGGCAGTTTGTTGCCACGTGGTATACTACTGGGCTACCTTTTTGTTCTTCTCTAAGGCTCTTGTATCATCAGGGGTTTTGCCTTAGCAGAACAATATTTGCAGTTCGCTTCTCCCAGCTCCAAGCAACCTTTAAACAGATTTTTCCTCTCTCTGGTGGCTACCATACTGTGGTGACCTAATCTCACATCTGGTCTATGACATCTGTATCATCTGCCTTGGTGGCCTTCCCTCTGCAGTCAGCTCAGGAAGCTAAACTAATATTTCTTATTCTTCAGCTGTCATCATGTTATGTCTTTCCTTGAATCCTTACGCTTGCTGCCAGTCAACGTCAGGAGTCCAGTCCTCAGGGTGACGGTGCCAAATGTGGGTTGCACACAGGGCTTTTTTCCAGATGGACCTTAACTCCGGCACCTCTCAGGTGGGTGACGTTGCCTTTATAAGAAAACAAGGGAGGCACCTCTTTATAGCACTGGTTGCACCACATCCCTTCCTCTGCCCTCTCCTCGCTTTATTTTTAGAGCATTTCTACAGAGATTTTCACTTTCATTCTGCTTACCTTCAGATATGTTATACACCTTTGCAGTGATAAACTATAGAATGAGAGAAGGGAAGATACTGAACGAAGGGGAAATTGTTGTACTTTAAAGCTCAGTAACATGTGCGTTTCAAATCTTAATAAACATGTAAGAGAAAAATATTCTAGTCCTCACATTTACTTTTTTTAAAAAACCCTCTCTCTGTCCCTGAGAATAGTTGTCTCCAGTGCTTTCTTTTCTAGAAAAACAGGTGCCGGTACTAACCATTAAGTTTAGTTACAGAAAGTGTCACACTTCTTAACAACAACAAAAAAGATGTGCTGGTACTGTGTACCCTTGAGTACCCCCTGAAAAAGAAGAAGAGGAAGAAGTACTGCTTGTCTCCATGGCCCTTTGGCACTACTGAGACATTGCTTCTCTTTAATCAGAGGGAAATGAAATTAGAACAGAGGCTGCTTCCAGACAACCTGCTTATTGGGTGTTCATCCTGATTTGTTTATACAGAGTTTGTGAAGAGGTAAGATGACACTGGTGCTTATTGAGCATCCATTCCTATATATTTCCCCATCATTTTCCATATTGCAAGAAGTCTGTTTTTTGTTTCGGAGGAGGAAGCATTTTTTGTGCATGCAAGAATTCTGAATCAACTTTAATTGGTTTGTATTGTGTTCTTAAATTTTGTGTGGTTGCATGTCTGCTCAGAGTGCCTTTTGGCAAGCAGACAGAGTATAAATGACTGAAATCACCCACCCCTTCGTTTGCCATTCAGCTCTCCCCTCGCTGTTGTCAATTATTGAAAATTGTTCTTTATCCAAGGCATGTAGGCTGCAAAAGCCCTCTGGGTGGGGAGGGCTCCAGGCAGCACCTAATGTGCCCATGGCTGGTAATCATTTTGGGCACTGGGATTTGGAGAGCTTTATATGTTAAGTATGGGGGGCCCACCCAAGACATTTTGTTGGCTGAAGCAGAAAAATCCTGAAATGGCAGCACATACCCTTTCTTCTATTTAATAGGGGACCTGGTGCAATAGGAAAGTCACCTGCACAAACTCTGTCAATGATTGCCGAACATGGGTCTCAAACCCACAACTCTGAGATTAAGAGTCTCATGATCTACTGACTAAGCTACCCCAGCCACTGAATAGTGTGCCCCATGGGTCAGACTTGCACTGTCTCCCACTCTTAATTCCACTCTTAATTCCACCTGGTTGCATTAAATAGAATATTTTTTCCATTGGCTCAGCTGTTAACATTTGCTCTTTTCCTACCAGAGCTATCTCCATCAGAAACCACTCAAGCTGGTGCTTAGAGAAGCATTACCTAGCGTCATATAAACCAGAGGTTACTGACTTGCATCTTCTACTCCATGGGTAGGCAAACTAAGGCCCAGGGGCCAGATCTGGCCCAATCGCCTTCTAAATCCCGCCTGCGGATGGTCTGGGAATCAGCGTGTTTTTACATGAGTAGAATGTACCCTTTTATTTATAATGCATCTCTGGGTTATTTGTGGGGCCTGCCTGGAGTTTTTACATGAGTAGAATGTGTGCTTTTATTTTAAAAGCATCTCTGTGTTATTTGTGGGGCATAGGAATTCATTCCCCCCCCAAAAAAAAATATTCCAGCCCCACACAAGGTCTGAGGGATAGTGGACTGGCCCCCTGCTGAAAAAGTTTGCTGACCCCAAAATCTACTCTTTTGTGTATGTGTGTGCTTAAAACATCTTAGAATCCTTGTGGTTCACCAATGTGCTCTAAATGTGTGAAACAAAAATGTACACCTTTTGAAAATGAGAGGCAAAGTGCATACAGATAAAAGTTGTTTCCATATTTGTGTGGCTTATAAAGATCCACTGTTCCTGTATGCATATTTGGCAAGTTCGCTTCCACACATTCCCAGTCCTGTGTTTGCTACCAGTACCCAGGCACAGTGATTTCCCCTCACCCTCCAAGTACATATAAGCACCTTATGCCTATTCTGTATGGCAGGTGCACCTCCAGACAGATAAATGGTGGGCAAGTCATCCATATTTAGCGTCACTATTGCCAAAAAAGAGGGTGCAAATTTGCATATGGTCATTTAGAAATATTTAGTAATAATAAATACCGTATTTTTCACTCTATAAGCCGAACTTTTTCCCTCCTAAAAAGTAAGGGGAAATGTGTGCGCATCTTATGGAGCAAATGCAGGCTGTGCAGCTATCCCAGAAGCCAGAACAGCAAGAGGGATTGCTGCTTTCACTGCGCAGTGAAAGCAGCAATCCCTCTTGCTGTTCTGGCTTCTGGGATTCAAAATATTTTTTTTCTTGTTCTCCAAAAACTAGGTGCATCCTATGGTCTAGTGCGTCTTATAGAGCTAAAAATATGGTACATCTGGAAAGGATTGCGGTCATTGAAACAGAAACACATCTCACCATGGTAGAGGAGATGCCACACAACTGATATCATATCATAGAATCATAGAATCATAGAGTCATAGAGTTGGAAGAGACCACAAGGGCCATCGAGTCCAACCCCCTGCCAAGCAGGAAACACCATCAGAGCACTCCTGACATATGGTTGTCAAGCCTCTGCTTAAAGACCTCCAAAGAAGGAGACTCCACCACACTCCTTGGCAGCAAATTCCACTGTTGAACAGCTCTGACTGTCAGGAAGTTCTTCCTAATGTTTAGGTGGAATCTTCTTTCTTGTAGTTTGGATCCATTGCTCCGTGTCCGCTTCTCTGGAGCAGCAGAAAACAACCTTTCTCCCTCCTCTATGTGACATCCTTTGATATATTTGAACATGGCTATCATATCACCCCTTAACCTCCTCTTCTCCAGGCTAAACATGCCCAGCTCCCTTAGCCGTTCCTCATAAGGCATCGTTTCCAGGCCTTTGACCATTTTGGTTGCCCTCCTCTGGACACGTTCCAGTTTGTCAGTGTCCTTCTTGAACTGTGGTGCCCAGAACTGGACACAGTACTCCAGGTGATATGCCTGCTTCCTCTGCTGACCGGGTGCTGCTAACTGTTGATAGGAAGTTTCAAGGCTCCCTTTCTATTGCTCCTTATCTTTTCAACCAGACTTGGGACAGGACAGCCTTCCCAAGGGAGGACACCTTCAAAGAGAGGCCTGTCCTCTGGCAGCCCTTCAGAATGGAGGATTGTCTTCTGTATAGCAGCACACACAAGACACCCTGTCCGCATTTCCCATTGCATATAGTTTCCTATAGCAAGCCAAATCAGCACTGTTTATAGCTATAGAAGTTTATAGACATCCGGTCCTTAAGAAAGGAGAGTTCCTTTGCCTAGGCTGTGGCATCCTGTAATTCCCTGGGGCTGAGAATAGCAGGACTGTAATTTACCAGCTATTTTCGCCTGCCTCCTGGCCTGTAGTGGTCAGAAAGAGACACATCCCTTGCTTCCCCACCCCCACCCCCCACGAGGGTTTCTTTGGACTGTGCTGTATGGGCAGGAAAATGATGGGAGCCTGCCATCGATTTAGTTGGCACTTCTCTCTCTCTCTCCACACCCCACTCCCTACCAATTCCCCCAGGTCTTTAGATGTGGAAAATTATAGCAAGTCATCATGGGTTTCCAGATGGCAATGCCTGCCGAGAGGTGAGATCATTGTGACTAGCTTGTGCAGGTCCCACGCCCGCTCTCTTACTGTAAGGAAGTAGGACTCATGTGAGCTGATGTCATGCAGTGAGTGTGCTGTGCAAAGTCTCTCCACTGTCAAAGCATGCTTGCCTGCTTTTCATTTCTATTTGGACATGGGGGCTGCTTATGTTTTAAGCCCGGATTGGTGGGCTATTTCAACAACAACAACAATCTTTATTACGGTCCAGAGACCCAACAAATCGTTACAAAGCAATACGCAATTCATACAGCCTACCTCCAGGTTAAACAAGCATTTTGTTCAGAATATAGGGATCATTGGTTCTTGCAGGACTATTTCTATTGCGGGTGTGAGCCAGGGGCAGCCAATGTGGCACTCTCCAGATGTTGCTGTACTCCAACTCCCATCAGCCCCTCCTTGCAGGGACAGTGGTCAGGGATGATGGGAACTGTAGTCCAACAGCATCTGGCTCCCTGCCCCAAGTGAGCTGATTACGTTTCTTTTTCATTTTGTTTGCCCCCCAAAAAAGTACAAAAAGATAAGAGTTTCCCATTTTTTATGTCAAGATATTTGGCTCTTATAGGCAGCAGTGTATTTGGTCAAAGTGCAGGTCCCACAGTTCAGGGAGTTGGGGGCACCAAGAGTGGGGGAAGGGGGGCAGCTGGGCCTGTCCATAGTTACAGGTGCTCATTTTATTATTTTTACTTCTAAAATGCACAACAAATTGTGCTTATTCTTAAGGAAGCATGTTTAGCCGGGGGGCAGCAGAAGCCAACCCCATTTTATTCACATAGCCATGATGGTAGCATGATTTAAGTGAATTTAAAATGCAAAAACTGCACATGCTCAGAGTATTTTTTTAAATAATCAGGGTTGGCTAGGGTTGCCATACTTCAAACAGTCAAAATTTCCAAATGACAGTGGAAACACTGTGTGCTTCCCTTCAGTACTGGAGACTAAGATGCAAGAAGTTCTTTCAGTGAGGACGATCACCACTTAGGATCTAATCTTAAAAGCCATGTTCATGAAGTATCTTTTCCAGACTAGATTTGAAAACTTCAAGCAAAAGGTCATTAATTCTTCCCAGCCCAAGGTCCTAGATTTCACCAGGTGGAGCCTCCCTATTATTACTCTGTGTCATGGACCCGGCTGTGTGAATGCTGCAACTCCGCAGGGGTGCAGAAAAAGTAGAGTGTGTGGCAGTTGGTGGACTAAGATTTCCAGCAGCCAAGAGTTCCCCGCTTAACTCTTTGATCCTCACCATCGCAGTGAATACATTATGGGGAAAGAAGCAACATGATGTTTTAAGAACTGGTGACAGGTTGCTCATTTTCTTCCTCTGTTCCCTTCCCCCTTTTCTTTTCTTTTGTGTAGTGTTTTTTACATTGTAAGCATGAAGGTAGGGACTCTCTTGTTTGTTATGTAAGTGTTATGTACTGAGCTGAATCCTAGAACAATAGGATCCAGAATGCAGCCGTCTGATTGGTCCGCAGGAGCCACCCAATCCAGCTCCAGGTGGAAGGGAATCAGCGACTTGATTGGCCTGCAGGAACAGCCAATCAGAGACCTGGATGAAGTGAATCAGCAACCTGACTGGCCTGCAGGAGCAGCCTGAAATTAGCCAATCACGCAGGGCCCATTGTGTAAATAATGTATATTTAGCTAGACAGTTTTGGGGAAAGTTTCATTCATTGCTACTATGAGCTGAATAAAGAGCATGAAATTCACACTCAACTCCAAGTATATTTCAGTAAGCCACTCTGGGAAGTTTTCCAGCTGCAAAATGGGGTAAACGTGCTTTAAAGAAATAAACCCGGAAGTAGGTAGCAAAAATGAGGAGGAAGGTTTTGTCTCAGTCCCTGGATTCTTGTATGGTTTGAGAAAGCATGGTTTGCTCAGGGCTGCGATTCCCAGTTAGGGCCTCTGTCTGTCTCACGATGCTTCCTTTCTGACTGCTGAAGGGTCAGGAGCCAACAGTAGAGACCCTGCCAAAGGTACGCCTGGAAACTGCAAATCCTGAACCGGCGTCTGAAATTAGCAGAAAGTCTGAGCAAGGAGCTGTTACCTTTGGAGAGGAGGCTGTGCTAACATACACTGCTCTGCTGATGGATCCCCTTTTTCCTTGGACACTTGCCTTTCTGCAGAGTGTGCTTTTATTTTCTCCACCCCCCCTTAAAAAATAATAATACTGTTTAAAGAGGCAAAGGTTTACAACATTACTACAGGTTCCAGAGACAGGGAATTTTCTGTACAGAGCCAGAGGCTCAAAGTTTCCTGGATGCCTCAAAGCTGGAAGCTCTTTTCCCTAAACCTAAATGTATGGCAAATTTGGGTTGTGAGATTGCCCAGTGCTTAAAGGGACTCTTTTCTTTGTCTGGGCTGTGCCCTAACCCTTTCCTCCTAATCCTAAATCTAAACCTTGGCTCCCACAGAGAGTGACCAGGTTAGCAGATTTAAGGCACCTGCACCTTAAATCAAGGATGGGGAACCAGATGGTCCTCTTGCACACAGGCCTCAGCAGACGTTTTGAGTTTTTAGAGGACAGTGTAACAGAATGCTGGTGCACCTGCCCATTCTAAGAAAATCTTCAAATCAGAGCAATATCCTCAGTTTCAAGACTGGGCAGAGATTGTTTCCCATCAGCTGAAGTCCAAAAGATCTGGAGGATACCAGGTTAGTGAAAGGTGGTTTCCCATATTAAATAGTGCTACTACCAATCAGTGGCGTAGCGTGGGGGGTGCAGGGGGGGCCGGCCGCACCGGGCACAACATCTGGGGGGGGCGCGCTCGCACTCGCAGCTCTCTGCCCCTACCTGGCTCACTCACTCTCTCTCACTGCAGTGCTGGCTGTGCGAATCCAATCCGAGCCGCTGGGTCGCTGCCCACTGTGGAGGGGGTGGGTGCCAGGCGTGCGGTGCGGAGAGAGAGCGAGGGACTATCTGGGGGAGGGACAGTGCAGCGGCCGCCCAGCGCAGCGCTGAGCGCGGGAGAGAACCACACCAGACCAGACCAGGCAGCAGCAAGAAGAAGCTGGCAGCGGCGGCAGGTTAGGGGTTAGGGGGGCGCAAATTACTTGCCTTGCCCCGGGTTAGGGGGCGCAAATTACTTGCCTTGCCCCGGGTTAGGGGGTGCAAATTACTTGCCTTGCCCCGGGTGCTGACAACCCACGCTACGCCGCTGCTACCAATATTTGGTGCCCCTAAATTATACCTTCAGTTTTTCTTAGAACTGAAAACCCATATTCTAGAAACAAAATGCCAATTGTCTCTTTTTTAGTTTCTGGCTCAAACGCATGTCTATGCCAGGAAGGTAGATTATCCAAACTCTGAGCTGGTTTGGGACAGAGGCTACCATGAAGCAGGCTGCTTCAGGCAGCAAGATTTAGGAGGATATATGATGGCAGGAAATGCTGTCTGAATGGTGTAGCAAGACACTTGAAAGCAGGAGTTTGAACTTTAGGCTGGCGGGGTCTGGCTTGGTTTTTTTCCTGAGCCCCAAGGTCCTACAAATGGAGCATAGGACAAAATTTCCCTATGGAAAAATGTGCTGGGTATTAAGAATTAAAGAAAATAGTACCTCTGAGCACATATGCAGGCCAGGAATTTGTGATCAGTACCAGAACCAAACTCACATCCTTCCACACCAAATTCCAACCAAGCATTCCTTTTCAATAATCTTTCTTTTTGGGGAGGGATCTTTTTAATTGATATTGTTAGAAAATTGGAAGACAGAAATACTTGTCAATCCACTGCAAATCACCCAGAGTTCTGCCAGTAGATCCCAATCTATGTTCTTGCCACCCCCAATTTAAAATGTTGGCTCTAGAATAGAGGAAGGTGCCATTTGGGTTCTGCTTGGGCAGCAAAAAGTCTTGGACAAGCACAGCTTTGATATTTTGCAGAACAGAATGGTTTGGCTGATCCATTCTTACAGCTTCTATGGAGTCAAGAGGTCGTTTGCCAAACTAGAATTTAAGAACAAGCTGAAGGAAGTCTATAAACAGTATTGCTCCCTGGTACACCCCAACTAAATGTCAGCAGAGCCTGAAAAATTATTTAATAGCTTTGAGGAAAGCTTATACCCTCTTTTAGTTAACATAATCTGTTGTTTTAGATGAAAGATTTACCAACAGAATAATAGAATTGTAGAGTTGGAAGGGACCCTGAGTATTTTCTAGCCCAACTCCCTGCAGTGCAGGAATCTCAGCAGAGAATCAGTAGGGCTGCAATTGCAGAACAGGATAAATCAAGTAGGTATTCACAGAATTATTTCATTGTCCTATGTGTGAGGATTATGAGGAGTGAGAGTTTGGGTCCAATTTGCAGAAAATTGATTTTCTGTTTTCAAAGAGAAACAGAAAATAGATCTTTCTGTTTTCAAGAGATTGTCAACAAAGTGGCTAATTTTGTGTTAGCCTTGATGAAACCAAAGTGAACATTTAACAGCTATACCTCTTTCCTTGTGTATACTTTGGATCAATTATATTATGGTTTGTGCAGTTATGGATCAGTTCAATTTTATCTTGCCTGCTTTATTTAAGTATGATTTCTGACAATTTTGTTATGGACTACAGCTGAACAAACACCTTTCTAAATACAAAATATCACAGGAAACTGAGCAACTTCCAAATTTAATGGATATGACTCAGAATACAGGGTTTGGAGGCATGTGAAAACAGAGCTGATCTGAATGTACTTTGGGAAACATATTTGGTTTGAACCTGGAGATGGGGAACATCTTCTGTTCTGCCCTGTATTCATCGCATGCAGCACATCTCTGTTCTGCTACAGTTTGTCTTCCACCAGAAACTATGTTATTTGACTTGCTGTCTGCTATGCCAAAATAACTTAACTTGTGCAGTTTACATAATTAATTACATAAGTAACATTGTCATCTCATTATTCTATCCCATTCATTTCAATGCAACAAAAATGCAACACAAATTGGGAAGAAAACATAGTTAATTTTCATTTTCAGTCCAAAGGCAACAAGAGCAGTGGATCCCGATTGTATTCGCTGGATTGATTTAGGTTCTGGACATGGGAGAAAAAAGTGAATGTTGGCAATTTCCACTCCCTTTTCTGTTTTTTTCAGAATTATCCTGCATCCCTATAGCCGGGCAACTCTTAACTGGCCAAAATGCTCATTCTAATTACACATTGGTGGTATCCAGACACTCCTCCTCTCTCATTTGTGCAAAGAAGGCATGCAGGGAGGGTGAAGCTCTTGCAAGGGCAGCACAAGCGAGTCCTGCCCTGTACTGCCGGTGTGTCAGGAGGGAACCGTGCATCCCAGTCTACAAATTTAGCGCACAGAAGCATACCTTTGATCCTTTTATAAGAAGCCTTCTGTTGACACTCATCACGAGCCCCACCCACCCTGCTCACTGAAGCCACTAAGGAGAGTCTTCCTGCATGCCCCAGCTTGATCTCCTCCTCCTCAGGGATGTTCTCAGATGGCAGGGAGAATGTCACATGCCTGAATGCTCCTCCACATGTCAATCACTGTACATGGAAAGTTAACACTGCCACTTCCCGTTCGCAGACATGTCTAGTGCAAATTATTTCCCCCATTATAACTCAAGAGTTTTAAATTTTAGGCCAGCCACCTCATTTTTACTTGTATTGGCATATTAAAAGCAAGCAGGCATGCCAGATAAATTGTACACAGGGTGACAAAGAAGATGTCAAAAGTGACATCAAATGTCATATTTCAAAGGTCACGTGTACATGCATGAGATGGCTTGGGCTGCTTTTGGGGAAACTGTCACAGCTCTCCTTTGGAAATGTGTTACACCAGAGGTGGAGAACTTGTGTGGTCTTCCAGTTGTTGTTGGACTACAACTTCCACCATCTTTGACAGTTAGCCATGCTGACTGAGACTGATGGGAGTTGGAGTCCAGCAACATCTGGAGGGCCACAATTTCCCCATCCCCACAATACACAAATAAAGTGGCCACATTCAAACATCACAACAAACTAGAGTCAAGCCACTGTCATCAACTTGTCCGCCATTACTAATTTTTTCATCATGCGTAATTGAAATAATGACCTATTTTTAAAATCTTTTGGAAAAAAATCCAAGATTTCCCTGGAACACTATTTGAAAATTATTGTTGGGAATTAGGATGGCCCACTTGGATCAGCAGAAGCTGCAGAGGGCTGAGCTTGTGTGCTAAAGACTCCCTTCCCCCACTGGTAGGCTTACTCGGTTGCTCTTGGTGTCCTCCTTCCAGGGTTTGTGGCTGGTTGGATCAGCCAGGTACTAGGGCCTGACAGGACTGACTTGCCCCTGCTATTCCTCTCTGCCTCTGGGTGCAGTAAGAAGGGAAAGGGCTCAAGCAGCATGTTCTAGCAGAGGGCGAGGTCCTTAGGTGTTTTGCAGGCCCAGCAAAAAACTATGAAGGCTCTCCCGATGAACAGGGTGATCCTGAAGCCCCTCGGCACAAATGTCACCTCCTGCCCCTTAGAAACTCACGCACACACTCAGCCTTTTGCTGTTCCACACTTGGGATGAACAATTAATCATAGGAAGGTCTTACTTGTAAGCTGGTTATTGTTTTGTTTTGCTGTTCAGAGCTGTTTTTGTTTGTTTAAAATCCATGGTATTTTATTCTTTGCATTTATTACAAGCTACCTCAATCTCTGCCGAGCCATGCACAGAATTCCAGGGGTCCTGACCCTCAACCCGGGTGTGTGCTCCTTTGGAAAATTAAAGTTGCAGCAGAGGCTGTTGTAGCTTTAAGAAATATGGTTTATTCACATATTTACACCTGAATTTAGATGGAGAGAGTCCAGATCTTACAGCATGGTCATCTCAGGAGGTCATCTCAAGCGTGTGCACATACACACACCATGAGCCCACAATGTGTGGAGTGGCCATTAGATACGGATGAACCTTTAATCCCTTCCAGTTATGAATCTGAAGTAAGCAGTGGAGGTGAGGGGCTTATATTTGAGTCATCTGCCTTGGGAATTAAAATGTCTTGGGCCATCCCTGTGCTCAGATTATTTTTATTATAAATTTGTATCCTGCTTTTCCAAAATTGTTGGAGGTGACTTTTCTAGAAGTTATAACTTTAGAAAGAGGCCTTCTCTCTCAGTCAGCCTCCCTCTCTCACCCACTTGTTATTTTGCAAAAGCGTGATGAGACTTACGACTCAAACTGGTTGTGCTGAAGAGGGCCCCTCAGGATGTTGGGACTCAACATAATAGTATTTTGCACACCTGGAAGTTCCTTTCCTTCTTTTACCTGGAAGGACACACTATTCTTCTATGCTCTCAACTGCAGCCTGCCATAACAGCTCAGGTACGCTTCCCACCCCCCATTTGACCTTCATGCTGCGAAAGGGGGCTTGGTTTTTATTTCTTTTAAGTCATGCTACTGTTGTGGGCACAGGAGCAGGGCATGGGGGGGAAGGTGGCCACGCACTCAGCACAGCAGATTGTCTCTCTCGGAGCAGCCCAGAATTTGAATTATGGCCTTTCCTTGTAAGAAAAGAGCTGCTTCCAGTAAAAGCTGCTCTCCGCACAGGCCACAGCCAACAATTACAGGAGGCTGGCGTCTCTGCCGAAGCGCTTCACATCCCTTCCAAATCCACAGCCCCCTCAGAGCCCACAATAGAAGCCTTTATATCCCAAGATCCGAGTGTTTGCGATTACAGGCGGGGTCACACCCAGTTCTCCATTCCAGTTTTGGAGCAGACGCCAGGATGGTGGAAAACTCTCCCTCCCTGGCATCTGGGTCCGCTCATGCAGCACTAGGCAGAGACAAAACACAAGCAGGACTGACCAGTGGAGTCTGGGAGAGAGAGAGAGAGGATACTAGGTGAGGGAGTAGCAGGCTGGCCCAGATGCCTTGATCACTGCGGCAGAAAATCCCAGTGCCATCATCTCTCTTCCATTCATTAACGTGGGGCAGGGTTCGTCAGGAAGTTCTCCTATGCAAGCCTGACTGACATGGGGAGTGTCATGAGAGCATGATTTAGTTATTTGTACAGAGTAAGAAAACCTGTGGAACTCAATTACACAGTTTACATAAATCAAAGATTTCAGCTACAATATGAGTCCACCAATAAACAAACACAAAAATTCTGAATATGCTTGTCATTATTATTGTTAAGCATTTACTTGTGTGATAGGAATTTTATGGTTTTAGATATATGGCAACGTTCATAACCACACGTACATAGATCAGCACAGGAAAGCCAACCTGGAACCATTTTGATTCCTAAACTGAGCAAATGCTTCTCTGCATGGTAAAAATGGAAAAGCCTCCCATTGTCTCTTTCCTCACAAATCGTGTCTCAAGGATATGTCTGTATGAATAAGGTGTGAGCCTGTGACCTGGCCCAGGAAATAAGTATTTTACCACTACAAAAGAATGGCCAGGCTCCCAGGCAATCCAATCAAGTAACTTGCCAGACAGGAGATAAACTGTGACAGGAGAAAACAACATTTAAATTTCTGTGATGTAGGTGGGATGTATCTGAGGGGTGGTCTTAGGTTACACCCCTTCTGTGATGTATGCATAATGTTTCTGGGGGTGGTCTTGATCTAGAGGATGGGAATTTCAAAAGTCTTTATAAGCCATTGCACAGCATTTTTGGGGGTCCTCTTCCTCTCCTGCGTGTGAGGGGAGCACCCTGTTGCAACAGATTAATAAAGATCAAGCTTACTAGCTGCTTTGCTTCTCAATATTCTCTGGTTGGCCTCTGTTATTTTCTCCTACCAATAGGGAACCTATGTAAGGACTCCATATGGGCTCTTGGATACCCCATAAGGGGAAAGGGCATATTTTTATTTACAACACTTGACACTTAAAAAATGCAGAGCACCCTACTGTTAACGGAAAATCTGAGGGCTCCCTTGGACAAAAACAAAGACACCAACCAGAGCAATTGGAAGCAAATCAGCAGCCAGTAGGCTTGGTCTTTATTGAAGAAAAGACTGTTGCAACAGGGTGTTCCCCTCACTTGCAGGAGAGAGGAAAGACCCAGAAAGATGGTGTGCAAGACCTTATAAAAACTTTGAAATTCCCATCGTCTAGGTCAAGCCCACCCCCAGAAACATCATGCATACATTACAGAAAGGAGGGGTTGACATCATGCATATATTACAGAAAGGAGGGGTTGACATCATGCATACATTACAGAAAGGAGGGGTTGACATCATGCATACATTACAGAAAGGAGGGGTTGAGGGAGGAGTTGTGGTGGTAACCTGAGTGTCCTGTCACCTGGCTGGTTCCTCCTCCCCCCCCCCCCCGGCCCATGAGTCACTTCCAGGAGACAAAGGGGAGTTGGCAGTTTCCTGCCCCCAGAGGGAAGATCTGATCATTGTCCTTTGTTTCAGTCCATGCTGAATCCACTCCCATATGCAAGTTCTTTGTGATCTTGATGGTCTTCTGTCTAGGACCATCAGGGTAGGCATAGCAACTGGGCCGGGCTCCTGTGGATGTGCTGGGATGGTGAAGGGATTATGGCTGACCAGAACCAAGCCACCCCCCTTTGATAGTCCTTGTCATATGGAGTAAAATAAAAATGGAACAGTGCAAATCCAATGTATGGTTGATTTTTCTATGAATTTATAACAGAAGTGTGGCATATGTAGTGTGTGAGTGTGAGTGTGTGAAGTTTGTACAAACTGAATGATTGGGGTGGGGGGGTTCCTGCTACACTACTATCTTGACCTGTTGTTACAACAGACCCATGAAGTAGAAATTAATTAATATTCTTGTTTTACAGATAAGCAATTTAGTTTTAGAGAAAGTTACTTATTTACCGGGTATCAGAGGTTGCGAAGGAAGTTGAGCAAAGGTCTTAGAGCTCAACTGAACGAATCAAGTCTTCTTATTAACCTACAAGGGGCTCACTTTGAACCATACAGCCATGATATCCTGTTGCTTCACTCTTGTGCACCAAATATGGTTCTTCCTCAGAAGGTCCCCAAATCCTGCTCTGAGCCACTGTGGCCTTTTTCGGCTAGGGTTGCAAAATTTGTTGCAGGGAGGGGCGTTGACCTGCCCCAGTCCCTTTCACAATCTGAAGCATTAACTTTTAAGCCCATTAATATTTTATTGGCATACATATAACATGATGCTTATTTTTTGCATGTTAAGCTGCTGTTAAAGGCACGGGAGCAGCCAAAATGTTGGATGGCTTTATCCAAGCTAATACTCCCATCCATCACCTCAGGTCTTTGCTGTAACATGGATGTGTCTGCAGTCGAGACCACTGGCAGTAATTTGTGAAGTAAATATCTGAGGCTATCTGTGAGTGCTACAAGCACTGAGCTGAAGATGCTGGCAAACAATTACTAATTTTTTACGTAAAGGTAAAGATACCCCTGACTGTTAGGCCCAGTTGCGGACGACTCTGGGGTTGCGGTACTCATCTCACTTTACTAGCCAAGGGAGCCGGCGTACAGCTTCAGGGTCATGTGGCCAGCATGACTAAGCCGCTTCTGGTGAACCAGAACAGCGCACGGAAAGGCCATTTACCTTCCTGCAGGAGCGGTACCTATTTATCTACTTGCACTTTGATGTGCTTTCGAACTGCTAGGTTGGCAGGAGCAGGGACCGAGCAACGGGAGCTCACCCCGTCACGGGGATTCGAATCGCCAACCTAGGCAAGCCCTAGGCTCTGTGGTTTAGACCACAGCGCCACCTATGTCCCTTACTCATTTTTTAGTCTTGGTCAGTTTTGGTCTTGGTTCGGAAAGACAAACTCAAGCTGTGTACTATTAGCACTCATCCGTCCCAAGAAGCAACTGCTGCATTAGCAACACCAAAGTGACCTTCCCAGGACACAAGCCTGGGCATATGGGGTGTTAGGGGAAGGGATAATACCTCTGGTGGAGAACAGGTCATGCTCCTTCTGGGGTAGTTTGTCTACCTTTAGTCCCCACTCTCACCTCAGCTCTCACCTGTGGTGCCTAGAAGCTGTCAGCGTGTGACAGTGGCCAAAATCCCAGCTAAACCAGGTGAGAGTCGCCAATGAGTCAGGGACTTTCCCTGCATACGAAGACAGACTCCGGCAGATTGAGTCCACGAGACCAGTACTGGGTCAAGAAGGCAGTTTCTATGCTGTGTACACACTATACATTTAAAGCGCATTTGAAGCAGGGTTTCCTCCCCTGAACAAACTCTGATTGATGTAAACTGCAGTAAACCGTGGGTTTTTCCAGGGGCAAGCAGAAGTATGGGTGGGGCCTTGCTTCTACAATGGTGATGGGATGGTGTCCTCCACAGTGAGGTAGTGGGGGGGACTGAGAGGGTCATCACCCCGGGCAGAGTTTTCGGGGGGGTGCATCAAGGCACCCTGCCCCTTGAAATAAAAAAATTAAGGTCTTATGTATGTATATAATAAGGTTCATAAATGTACCAAGCAAACACGTACATAAATATATAAACCACATGTCTGAAGCAGCACAGGAGAACAGCCATGAAGCCATTTTGACTCCCAGACTGACCAGGTGTTTTCTCTGCAAAGTCCAATGGAAAAGCCTCCCCGTTGTCTTTTCCTTCACAAATCCTGTCTTAAGGGTATGTCTGTGTATGAATTGGGTGAGCCTGTGACTTGGCTCAGGAACTAAGTATTTGTTATTACAAAAGACTGGCCAGGCTCCCCAGGGTACCCAATCAAGTAAGCATTAACAGGTAATTTGGCAGACAGGAGGTAAACAACCCACTCGGATTTCTGCTGTAGCCCACCCTTTCTGTGATGTAGGTATGATGTATCTGGGGGAGGTCTTGAGCTACACCCCTTCTGTGATGTAGGTATGATGTTTCTGGGGGTGGTCTTGGACTCCAAGGCGGGCAATTTAAAATGTCTATATAAGGGCGTGCACACCTGGGTTCTGGGTCCTCCTCCTCCTGCGTGTGAAGGGGACACCCTGTTGCAACAGTTCAATAAAGATCAGGCTTACTAGCTGCTTTGCTTCTCAATATTCTCTGGTCTGCCTCTGTTGTATTCTCCGACCAATGGAGAACCTGCAAAGGACTCTAAAAGGGCTCTTGTGTCCTCCATAAGGGAACAAGGGCAGATTTTCGTTTATTACACCCTTCATGAGCAGCTGCATCCTCAGCTCCCTCCAGTTGGAGAGCAGGTGAGAAGGACGCAGCAGGCGTGCCCCCTGGCCTGTGACCCCAGCGCTGCTTCTCCGAGGGGCACTGCTTGCAGGGAGGGCACCGTGGGCTGTTACGTCCTTCTCACGGTGCCCTCCTTGCGAGCCCTGCGCCCCTTCCAAAAGCAGCGCTGCAAAGCGACAAGGTTCATGGGGCACCCTGAACATGCCTCGCTTTGCAGCAGTGGGCAGGGGTTGCTCCTGCTTCGCGACCTGCCCCCAGTGTGCCCTGAGCCCCAGGTGCAAGCAGGGGACACTCTGCCGCTGGTCTTCCATTGCATTTGAGGCAACAGGTTGGCTTAGAGTGCAGAGGACTGGCCATGTGGCATGCACAACTCTGCCTTCCAACAGAGGGGAATGGCTGGGGTGGAAGAGCTACTCTGCCATTTGCTACTTAAAATGGCCTCCTCCATCTGCCTTACAAGGCTGTGCAATTCACCCCCCCCCCAGAGGCCTGGCTAGAGTCCAGGTCTGAGCACCTTTTGGAAGAGTTAGAAGCACTTCCTGCATTTTGAGGCTGGTTGGGGGGGGGGTCAGGGGCTTATGCCGACAGGTGATGGGAGACTTTCCAAGCATTTAAATGTGATTATATTTTATTCCGTCTTGTTGGGAGGTATGCTTTTGTTACCCACCTCCAACACCCAGGATGTGGTAAATAAGCTTTAAACCCAAACAAACTTCTAAAAAGACCGACTCCAGTTGGGACTGAAGCCAGTGTGCCTCTCATGCCCTCCAGCAACCTAATAATCCTAGAAATGTAGAACTTTGTTCCAGGGCCAGGCCTTTTTTTCAGCCGGAACGCGTCGGAACTGTGTTCCAGCACCTCTCCCCATGCCTCTGGTTCACATTAAGATTCTCCCTGGAGCGCAAAGAGGACATCCTCTGTGGGCACTGGAGAGGTCTTCTCGTGAGCCAGAGGTGCACCGGGGCTTTAATGAGGCTCTTCCTGGGCTAACAGCTGGTGTGCGGGGAAAGCTTCCCCTGCCTCTGCTCTGTAAGACGCTCTCTCTCTCTCTCTGGCTTGTGCAAGTGAGCAGAAGGGAGAGGGCAGCTTGCAGGGCAGACATGCAGGGAAAAAGCTTCTATGCGCATTAGCTGTGCTGTTCACAAAGCAGCCCTCCTTCTTCCGCTGGCCGGAAACAGGAGGGACAGGGCAGCATTCCTGCACCGTTTTTTCTAGGAAAAAAGCACTAGCCGGGGCATAACAGAAATTAGGGCTCACCTGCCCCAGTCTGTTTTCAGTGCCAGAACTTTCAGCCCTGCAACTTATTTATTATTTTCTTTCTGGAATACATTTACATCTTTCCTCCAAGGAGCTCAAGGCGGCATACATGGGTCTCCCTCCCTCCCATCTTATCCTCAAAAAGACTGATCTTTTGGAGGAAGCAGATGTATTGTGCAAGACCACCCAATCAGCTATAACAGTGCCACGTGACTTTGCCAGTATGTGATTGCATACTACTCAAAAATAGTGAGTCTGGAAGAGCCCCAGGTTCCCCAGTCCTAATCTGACAATGCAGCTCCAACGTCACACTGCTCCAAGATGGGGCAGGAGGAAGTGCTTTCATGACATCACAGGCTCTAACCAATCAGGGCAGCCCTCAGTTGGCTCATGCTGCAAGCATGCTCACTTGGTTTTCCCTGAACTCAGTCCTGGAGAAGAGAAAGTACATGTGATACACTGTGTTTTGATGTGCTTCCACAGCACCCCCATTGTTCATCATATTTATATCATATTTATATGCACTCTGGAATGAGAGTGGGGCAGTGTTATCAAAGGAATTAGGTTCTGGGCAGGATGTAGCCTGGGCACCTCTGTTTTTAACCACTGGCTGCAAGTAACCAGAAGTGAAGGAAAGGCACTCTACACATGCTCAGAGGCCCACTTAATTTTTTCTATATCACCTATCTCTGTTAGCCACAAGACCTGCCAGTTCTACCATCCAAAGCACTATGCAACTCTTAATTTATCTACCTTTTTGCAGTATTGCTTTTCTGCTCCCCAGTTTTTCCCCCCCAATCTGCTCAGTGTTTATTTTGGCCTTGAAATTTCCCAAGTGCTACCATTCAGCAGTTAAGGGTTTGAAGCAGCTGCATTTGTCTAGAAACTCCTTGCAAGAACTCAGCTGGTCTGTGTATTAGCTAACAAACCATACGGGCTGCATGTTGAGAATATACATTTTACATCCACAAAATCAAAGTGAAACCAAATAAGATCTGAAACTTCTTTTCAGCCTTGATGACTGTCAATATAAAATTCTCCACATTTTTGCTTGCTTTACTTCTGACCTTAAAAGTAATATGGATGAATGTTAAAAGACTGTGCTGTGCAGAAATATGAATTAAGTTTCTCTGACTTTTAGCCTGGGCTAAGAGGGAGACCTAACTCACAGCCTGCAATCTAACCCCGTTAATTTTCCACAGCAGTGCCCATTCACAGCTCCATTGCATCCCAATGAGACTTGCTCTGCAGAACTTCTTAATGGGTTGTGCCCTCATGGTAAATAGAGAGGCGGGTGGCATTTAGGAAGAGCCTTGCTAGATCAGGCTAAAGGCCCATCTAGTCCAGCCGTCTGTTCTCACAGTGGCTGTCCATAGAGGCTGTCCAGCCTGCCTACCAACTGGTATGCAGAACCGTATCATCTCTGACCACGGAGGCACAGCAGAACTTTCGTGGCTAGATTTAGATTTCTTGCCACAAAAAAGTATTGCGCCACCCCTGACCGTGCTCCTATCCTGGCACTTTTACAGATACCCGAAATGTAACTGCACAGCTCCACACAGCTCCCTCTGTGTTACAGCATTCTCCCATGCACTGGGACCCAGCCAGATTTTGCTGTTTATGAAACAAACGTAGGAGACCAGGCTTTCAGTCATCCGTACTCTTTCAGCTCACCAAACTGCACTCCCCTTTACCAAAGGTAGGCATCAAAACTCCACGCCTTACATTTGTCTCTAAACCGCAAGTAATTTGGCTTCTGTCCGAACATGTAACCATTTTGGGACGGGATTATATTTTTAACAGCAATGCCAATGAGAGGACATTGTGCAACATAAGCCTGCAATCAAGCAACCCTCTAGATCCCAAGAGCAGTTCTGAGTGATTCTGTCTACAATAGAGTCCTAAATATTCCAGCTTTCAATATTTTCGAAAGTAGGTTTCCAGCCCTCATGGTTGTGATGGCTAAAAGCTATCAAAGAAAGCCCAAGTCAAGTTTGCTATTTCAGATCTCCTGAATCAAATTTCTTTTATAAGGGGAGGAATCTAATTAAAAATGTTCCATGATCATATAAATCTCAGATTTAAGAGTCAATAGCCACGTTTTCACATAAAACTAAGCCAAATTATGACCTGGGGCTTGTTCACACTTCCACTTGTCCTGCTCTTTACTGTTGAATCACAGCAAATGTCAGATTGAAGTTTACCCGATTCTGCAGTAGAGAGAAGGTTTTCTTGGGGCTACGGCAAATGGAAAACCTATTGGACCCAAGGACAAGTGGGAAGCCACCCAGAGCTGTGCTTTCTAGGCACAGAACAAGCAAAGAGTGGGTGAGCCCTTAAAGGAATGTGCTGGAGGAGCATAGCAGCTAAGTAAGCCAAGGCTTGCTTAGCATGTCATCAGAGCCTCAGATCATGTTTAAGCTCTCTCCTCGTTAACCACCATCTATAAAAGGTAAAGGTAAAGGACACCTGACAGTTAAGTCCACTCATGAATGACTATGGGGTTGCGGTGCTCACCTCGCTTTACTGGCCGAGGGAGCCGACGTTTGTCCGCAGACAGTTTTTCCAGGTCATGTGGCCAGCATAACTAAGCCGCTTCTGGCGAACCAGAGCAGTGCACAGAAATGCCATTTACCTTCCTGTCAGAGTGGTACCTATTTATCTACTTGCACTTTGACGTGCTTTCAAACTGCTAGGTTGGCAGGAGCTGGGACCGAGCAACAGGAGCTCACCCTGTCGCAGGGATTCGAACCACTGACCTTCTGATCGGCAAGCCCTAGGCTGTGTGGTTTAGACCACAGTGCCACCCACATCCCTAACCACCATCTATAGCCAAGGCTTATTCTTGGCTGCAGACAATGCTTAAGGAACCTTGGCTTAGCTGCTGCGCTGCAAGCTGCCTGATGGGAACCAGCATGTTTTAACATTTCCAATAAACCATAGTTTGCCTTACTGTGCTACATGAACCTGGCGACTGTGATGTAGTACAATGGGGAGCAACTGTAGGGCACATGTTTTGCATGTAGAAGGTGCTGGATTAATTTCCTGATATCTCCAGTTTTAAAATGAACAGGAGATACTTCTGCTAGAGCTCTACTGGAGCTCTGACCATTTTTCACTTTACTATTTCACATTTTAACTTTTGGGTCATTTCTGCACACATTTGAGAAGATGCCATTATATGCATTATATGTGAGCTATAGCAGTTCATCTTCCTAATCCACTACAAAGGAAGTGAGTACACTGCAATAAATAACAATGACTAAATAGTACTCTTTCACAATAAATCCGCTTCCTGCTCCTATAACTACAGTGGAAAGTAGTTTGATGGTGACATTGCATAACCTCCAATATTGTGAAAAATCAGTATGACTGCTCAATATTGGGGGGGGGGGTTCAGTTTTGTTTGCCTTTTAAAAAGAAACTACGTAATTTGCATTTCTTGAAATGATAAGTGAATCAAACACAACTAGCCTTCAAAATTTGCACTTGTCCAAATTTGGAGCTGCAAATCTCCAACAGAAATACATTATATTAGGGGAAGGTATGCATCAAAATGCATGTATTCATGAAAATAGCATACAAAAAACATTATATCAGGGGGAATTACTTGAAATAATGTGTTTTATTAGTCACAACTGCATACAAATATGTGTTTTTTAGGAGATGGTCACACTGAAATGCTGACAATCCCACACCCAAAAGAATGCAATTTCAGTGGAAATATGGGGAACCAAATTCAATATTAGCAAATGAGAGAATGTTGACATTGACCAACTCACCCATTCCTACCTAGAACTGTACATGCTTTGTCTAGATGCAGCCCCTATCATGCAGCTGGCATTCAAAGCAGGCGATACTGAAGTTAATGGAACAGTAGTCTGACCTGGGGCTTGCTCACCTTTAAGCATTACTTAGCTGTTAATCTACTTTTCCCACATTCAAATTAGCCAGAAGAAATATCAACCTCAGATACGCAGAGGACACAACCTTGATGGCAGAAAGTGAGGAGGAATTATAGAACCTTTTAATGAAGCTGAAATAGGAGAGCGAAAAAATTGTCTGAAGCTCAACATCAAAAAAACTAAGATCATGGCCACTGGTCCCATCACCTCCTGGCAAATAGGAGGGGAAGAAATGGAGGCAGTGATTTTACTGTCTTGGGTTCCATGATCACTGCAGGTGGTGACAGCAGTCACGAAATTACAAGACGCCTGCTTCTTGGGAGAAAAGCAATGACAAACCTACACAGCATCTTAAAAAGCAGAGATATCACCTTGCCAACAAAGCTCCATATAGTTAAAGCTATGGTTTTCCCAGTAGTGATGTATGGAAGTGAGAGCTGGACCATCAAGAAGGCTGATCGCCGAAGAATGGATGGTTTTGAATTCTGGTGCTGGAGGAGACTCTTGAGAGTCCCATGGACTGCAAGAAGATCAAACCTATCCATTCTGAAGGAAATCAGCCCTGAGTGCTCACTGGAAAGACAAATCCTGAAGCTGAGACTCCAATACTTTGGCCACCTCATGAGAAGAGAAGACTCCCTGGAAAAGACCCTGATGTTGGGAAAGATGGAGGGCACAAGGAGAAGGGGATGACAGAGGACGAGATGGTGGGACAGTGTTCTCGAAGCTACCAGCATGAGTTTGACCAAGCTGTGGGAGGCAGTGGAAGACAGGAGTGCCTGGCGTGCTCTGGTCCAAGGGGTCACGAAGAGTCGGACACGACTAAACAACTAAACTACAACAAGCTGTTAATCCACTTTTCCCACATTCAGATTAGACCAAAGTTGTCCACACCCTCACATATTAGAATTTGTATATTTGAATTCGCATAGCCTTCCCCGTTCATGCCAGCAGGCATTCCCTTTTGTGTTTGTCCCTGCCTTCTAATTAGATTCTGTTGTGCCAATTAAGTACCAACAGGGCATGTACATAGAGAGCTGCAGATGTGCCCTGTTGTTGTTGTTTAAAAAAATCCCTACCCAAGAAGCAGGCAAAAACACACAGCTGTAAATTTGCTTGTGCAGTTTTCTGGTTGTGTGCAAATCTGACGGACCAAAATAAAATTATTCCTCCATTCAATAGCACCCCTGAAATAGTTACAAGTACAGCCAAAAAAGAAATGAAAGCATTGAGGAAGGTGTGGGCGTGGAAAGGGGAATAGCAGAAAGTGGCAACTGAGCCTTTCACCCCAAAAGACTGGAAAAACCCAAGTGACGCGGTTTGGCGCCTGCTTTTCCCCAACTTATTGGATTACCCCCATATCAGGTAAACCCTAATGTTCAGGTGGGAAGCATGAGATTGGTGTCGTTTGAGAATAATTTCATGTGGGCTATCCAAATTAAATGGGAACACAAACAGCTGCAAACACACAGTAAACTCCACTGTGGGCAGTCTCCTGAGTCTATGTTTCAGAGAGCCATGTGGTTCCCAGGAATCTTATCAGGGATTCCTCAATGATAACACCAATAAGAGTGACAGCCTGAGTGACAGCTTGCCTACTGCATCTTCCAATTTTGAGGTGGGAAGCTTTTGGTTCAAACTTTGCCTTTGCCACTGTTGCTCAGATTTAGCCACCCACAATATCAACCTGCCATACTGGATTGTTGTAAATGTTACAATGCAATGTATGCGCTTTGAACATCCTAAACCACAGTACAAATGGTTAATGTTAGTAGCAAATTTTAGAAGCCCTAGAAATAAAACATGATTACATAATCATACACATAAACACACATGTGGAAGTAGGACCCCTTTATTTGACAGATGTTCTGCCCTCCCTCGTGTATAGTATTTCCTGGTATATTTGATTAAGTATGAAACAGGGGAGCCAGTGCAATCAAGGGAGCTCAGATTCACAACAGACAAAAGGACCCATCAAAGTGCAGTGGACTGTGGGGTTCATATAGGTATTCTGCCTCTCTAGAGGCCGACTGAGAGTTGTGATGCTAATGAAACCAGCCGTTAAGGCACTTCCAGACTGTCCCTGCTTTCAGGTGCAGTCACGTCCCAACAAATTTGGGTTGCACAGTTACAGTTGATTGGGAGGTCTCATTCAACAAACCTACTTCCCCAAAAGATCAAACATTTTGCAATATTAAAAATGACAGGAAAATGCTGGGAAGTGTGAGGTAACATTTGCTTTGATGCGACGTCATGTGACTTTCCCACAAACAAATCAAAATGGGTGCTCATTTAAAAGCAATGTTGTCCAATCTCCCTGCAGACAAATCAGGATGAAGCTCAATCAGCAGGTTGTCTGACCCTGTGTGATATATCTGTATCACTAGTGTGACATAGATTGCACACATGGTGTTGGTAGAACCCAGACAAAGCTTTTGCCAACAGCGTGCCATATGTCTAATGGAGGGTTAAGAAGCATTTGAGCTCAGCTCAGAGATGGGGTGGTGAGGAGAGGTTGTGCCTGAATGCCATGTTCCGTGGCTGGGAGCAGCCTGTGGGTCTTGGGCATCTGTGGCTATGTGGAGCCAAGCTGGTGGTTCTGTGGCCGGCAGTGCGCCATGCCTGCCAGCTCAGCAGCCAGCGTGCCAAGAAATCTGCACGCTCCACAGGCAGGGGCTGGCACAAGGAGGTAGAGTTGATGAGCATGTGTGGGTTTTTCTCCCAGCCCTCCCTGCCCTAGCCTGCTGGACCTCCTCTCTCAGATATGAAGTTAGGAACCATGATGCCTCTCATTTACATTGACTGCTTAACCCTTTCCATTGCCCCCCCCATACATTGCAAAATTCTGACCTCCAGTGCCATTTTCCTCCACTCGATGATAGCCACCAACTCTCTCATAATACCGTTTAGTTGGATGCCTCTCCCTAACAAGCATAAGCCTTTGATAACCCAGCTTCCTCCTCTTTTTTGCATTTAGCATCTTCTCTTTTGCAGGACTCTTTGAAAGGATCAAGGAGGCTTTGCTTAAACTAGCCGGTTTTTGTGGTTTCCTATCCCCCTTGGGGCCTCCCCATATAATTGCTTCCAAGGGTGGGATTGGATGCTCCTAGAGACGTTGCAGGATTTGCTGTCCCGGTTTGCAAACATTTATGCTGGCTTTGAATGAAAAGCTCTTCCAGTCTGCTCTGCTCATGTTTCATTCTCACTTTGGACAAACAAGCCAACCAAGTACCTTATGCCATCCATAACTAACAGCTTTGCTCAGATAAAAATAAGATAAAATAATGCAATGTTGGCTTGCTGGGCCACAGGCACAGATTTCAGTGAGCACCAGATCCAATCGAATGAGGAACTTGAGGGTCTTTGAGGCTAGCAGACTGAGAAGAGGGGTGGGAATTGGGGAGGGGCTGTAAATGCCTCAGGATTCTATCTCTAGCTAGGGGAGAGAGGTGGATTCCCCATAGTCAACAACAAGGGAAATAGGAGAATGAAAGCTTCTAAAAGAGGAGATAGTGTCTAGCAGTATAGGATGGGGAAACGAGGCACAGTCCTGGGACAAAGGACAATGCAAAAAACTGATAGGCGGTAGGTTCAGAATGGGCAGAACCAAAAGTACTTTTCTGCACAACCTCTGGTTAACTTAAGGAATTTGCTCCCATGAAGTGTGGTGATGATGGCTCAGACAGCTTTACAAGGGGATTAAACAAATGCACGATGTAGGGTACTAGTGGCAATGAGCCACAAGAGATGAGTGAAACCTCCACATCCAGAGGCAACATACCTCTGAATATGAGATATGGACTTCATGTGGGATTTGGCTGACCACAGGATGCTAGATTAGATCCACCCGGCCTGAGCCAGCAAGGTTCTGTTTATGATGATCTTTTGTGATACCAGGTTGATGCTGAGGATGCAGGAGTCGAGGAGGAGGGCTGTGTGTGTGCCACAGGTCCATGGAGCAGAGGGATGGGGGTCTGGTGGCATTGAGCTTCCTAAGAATCTTGACCTTCGCTTCTCCTTTTTTTAACCCCAATATTTTTAAATTTGTGGTGGGCAGGAGTAGAAGTGCACCGAGCCATCCGTTAGGAACGTGCACACAATAAACATTTTCCTCTCTGCCCACTAGCAGGTTCAAGTTTCCTTGGGCACATGAAACATGCAACAGCACCCCTGATACAATTCCCATACTGCCAAATGCTGTGACCAAGGGCATTGCCCATTATCACCCAGTTTGCACATTTACATTTGTCCTCCTGACAAAGATGTACCTAGGGACCCTAAGGAATATTCACAGGACTGGCACAGTTGCTGGCAAAAAATCCAAACACACACACACACACACACACACAGTCCTCCTTTATGACCTCCAAGGACCCTTCTGACTCTGGAATGTTGCCCAACCCACTACTGTCTTCCTGCACCACCAGTGTTCCCTTCAATGGGGCTTTGTGCAAGAGAGCTCTCCAGTGGATTGGGCCCTGCATATTGGATCTCATTCCACCAGCCTTAATGATGGGGAAATCCACTGTGTGAGGTCCCCCCATGCCTCATGGTGGCAGGACCCCCTCCGCATATCGAGCAAAGAGAAGACCCCGCCAAGGGAACCACTCCTTCAAAGGAGTTTGGAGACCCTGGTAATGGTGCAAGAATAACAGGAGACCTCAATGGATTGTTGTGGCTGAGGTCAGAATGTGGCCCCAGCATCTATTAATTTCGCTACCAGGGAGAAGAAAGCCAGCAGCAACAGCCTGGGAACCCTGAAGATTGTTCGAGGGAATGAGAGTGAAAACCAAGAAATCCTGTCTTGTTCTTGCAGGGTTAGGCAGCTGCCAAGCAGATGAAAGTAACAAATGGAAACCTGAGAACTAGAGAGTTTAAGAGCAAGCTGTTAACAGCCCAATTCTCATCAGCTTGTGGGGAAGGGGAGCAGAGTTGAGGGAAGTGGCAGCGACAGGCAGCAGATAAGAATTCCACTGTAATAGACAGACAGACAGACAGACAGACAGACAGACAGATACACACAAACACACTACAGTGGAATTCATATCTATATGAGTCTTAGAGCAGAGGGAGGGTGCCAAGAAGACTTCTCCCGTGGTTGGAGGGGACGTCCAGGACTCCTGGGTTCTGTTCCCCATCACTAGAAAGAAACTAGTATAAGGTTTTGGGGCTTTAGGGAGGGGTAAATGAAGTAACAGTAAATATGGTAAGGGTAGACTCAGAAGGCAACATTCCTAGAGGAGAATGGGATTTCATGAATTAAGTTCTAATGGTTAGAGCAAGGGAGCCCTGGAAGTGAAGGTTTAGTGAGAGCAAGGGAGTCTAGAGCACAAGTTCATGGCTTTCATTCCCCTGACTGCAATCCCTGTGTGGTCCATTCATTAACTCAACCACCACAGGGACAGTCCGTGTGAAAAACTTTGCCAGACACCCTGGGGATGGGGGGAGCGGGGTGCAGAATGAAAAGAAAAGGTACCTTTGGGTCAGAATGTGGTCCTGGGTGTCACAACCTGGGGCAGACTTTCTTCTCTAGCCAAATGCCTGCTTCCTTCTGCCTTTAAATTCCCTTCTTCTTTCTTCCTCTTCCCTGACTCTGTGGGTTTTGCTTTTTCTTCCTTGCTGCAGACGGGAGCTGTGTGTGTCAAGCCCTTCTCACGGGGCTGGAGGAGACTGCGCTGCGCTGCAGGGAATGGAGAGGAGTTGACTTCCCTTGTAGGCAAGCTGGTTTCAATGAGGTACAGCGCGCTCTCTACGCACACAAACACTCCCTCCCTCCCAAAAAATGACTTCAGGGGCTGAACCGTCATGTGGTTTCCATCAACCACCTGCCAAAATGATGGGGGGGGGAATTAAAAGAGAGAGAAAACCACCCAGCCTCAAGGATGGAAGTTTTCAGCCGCCCCCTCCTCTGTCCAAAATGGCAGGCTTTCTTGTCAGTTCTTATTTTCAAAGTAGCCACATGAGTGAGTGGGCCAGGAGGGTGGTGAGGAAACAAAACTGACACCCCACCCCACCCCCTAAAAAATAATAATAATGGGGGCAGGGTAGGATTTGGTCACCAAACTCTGACTATGTGGCGCCAGAGAGGATGGGCTTTTGTGTTGGTTTAAGGCCATGCAAAATATTTGTCTTCCCCTGAGTGGAAGAAACTGACCAGCGATAAAGATGAAAGGGGGGAAGCCATTTTGTTGGTAAGGAACTGGGCATATGCTGTTTTAGACCTCTGAACAAACAATGGGCAGAATAAGACAAAGAGACAGAGAAACAAGATTGCGATAGGAGGGGATAAAGGAGATCAATAAACATGGGGAGAGGGGGGAATGCTCTTCAGTTACATAGCCCATGGATGAATGGCTTTAGAGGGAGACAGAGAGAATGTGAGATAAGAATGGCTGGATCAGTTTGCAGATCCGTCTAATCCCAGAGATGGGAAATTTATGGCCGTCTAGATATTGTTGGACTGCCAGTCCCAGCCAGCATGGCTAGTCATTAGGGGAGATGGGAGTTATATTCCCATCAATATGTGTAGGGCCAGTGTCCGCCCTTTTCCAGTTGTGGGCAGTTGGAGGATCTGGAAGTTCATAAGCGGAGCAGTGGAAGAGACTCCCTTGGAAGGTGGTGGGTCCTTCATGGGATCCTTCATCCAACAGGGGTTGGATGGCCCTCTGTCAGGGATACTTTGGCTGTGAATCCTGCATTGCAAGGGGTTACACTAGATGGTCCTGGGGGTCCCTTGCAACTCTACGATTCTGGGATTCTGAGAAGGCTGACTCAGCCAAAGAATGGAACACACTGGACAGGGAAAGCTGTAGAATCAGGAGGTTTAAAGGATTTTCCTGCCCTGTTCATATCATACCACAATGCTGACCCAAAGAGTACAATTGCAAGTTGCCCACATCTTGGGCAATTGCCTATTTTCAATCTCTTGCTCCTTCCTTAGGAGGAGGAGGTCTTCCCACACCAGCGCTCTTGCACAGCTCCCATTTGTTTCAATGGGGCTTACACGGGAGAGCCTCTTGCTGGGTCCATCACTGCTAAAATGGCACTGTACAACTACAGTTGAGTACATCAGGCCATTTGGCTGATGTCTGGGTGAAAGAGCAGCCCTTTCAGGTTACCTTTCGCTGTGGCTTGCTGTCAGTTGAAGAGGAGCAAGACAACAGGTCACTGGAAGTGCTTGCATCAGATGAGCCTTTGATGCCAGTGCCCCTCCAGCCCAAGGATGTGGCACAGCCATTCTCAAACTTGGAGGACTCCATTTCAGAAGACCCAGAGAGGTCAGAGTGAGAGACTTTTACCTCCCCCTCTTTCCAAGTACAGGTCTGTGCTTAAAAGCTCCATGTCTGAGCAGTTTTTGTTGTTGCTGCTGTTGCCACAAAGCATTCCCCGCAAAAATCCGCACCTTAGTGCTCAGTCAGAGCAAATGTCAATTTGGGTTTTCTGTGGCTTGCTGCTTGCTCCTGTTGTATGTTAAAAAGCGAGTCTTCATGGGGAAAGCTCTGTGGCAACAAAAGGACACTCGGATACAAAGTTTTAAAGCACAGATTGTGGCTGGAAAGAGTGGAGGAAAGGTAAGCGTGGATAAGATCTTAGAGTGGGCTAGGCCCAGCGGGGGCAAGGCTAGCAATTAGGATACAGTTGTTGTTGTTGCTGCTGCTGCTGCTCTGTAAGGCTCAGTGTCAGGTTTTTTCCTGATAAACTAAACATCCCAGCTCCATGTTCCTAAAGTCCTGCCCAAAGCTCGCCTTTCCCCAGCTAGTCTGCCTTGCACCTAGCCTGGACAGAATAGATCAAGAGACCAAATAATATATTCCCTCGCTGCAATTACTCACACACCCCCACCTACCCTGCAATCTGTGCATTATAAACTACAGCATTATTTATGTGTTATTTCTATTTCTAACCATGCACCAATTCACCTTATGGTCCTAGGACAAGGGACAGACAAAATCACTATAAACATTACATTCAAATGTACTAGAGCACAATCAAAATTTAATAATAAAAAATTATAATCAGAGAATAACACTTGTATCCTCCCTCCACCCAAAGGCCTGGGTGAGAAGGTTCATCTTAACCTGTGGCTGAAATATATATTACGATGGAGCCAGATGCACCTGGGGGCAGGTGCTCTAGCCTGAGGCCCCCACTCAGAAGGCCTTCTGGTGTCCTTAAACAAGAGCAGGCATGAAACTGCTAAGAGATGCTTGCTGAGGAACTAGTTCCAGGTGACGGAAGCAACCAAACCATAGCACAGGGTGGAGGGGAAAGCAAGTCCTCCCTGAACCCTCCCATGAGGTACAGTGGTTGAATCCCCTCAGGTAATGTAAAAGGGCAGCAAATGTTATGTTTTTTGTCCCTGCTTATCCCATATAATCTAAACCAGGGGTGGGCAAACTTCAAGTCTGCAAGATCTACTTCTATTCTTTACTACAACTCCAAGATCCACCACCTGGAGCTAGTTGCAAAAGAAGTAGATTTGGAATTACAGTGGTACCTCGGGTTAAGTACTTAATTCATTCTGGAGGTCCGTTCTTAACCTGAAACTGTTCGTAACCTGAAGCACCATTTTAGCTAATGGGGCCTCCCTCTGCCGCTGTGCCGCCAGAGCCCGATTTCTGTTCTCATCCTGAAGCAAAGTTCTTAACCCGAGGTACTCTTTCTGGGTTAGCGGAGTCTGTAACCTGAAGTGTATGTAACCCGAGGTACCACTGTAAATAATCCTGAGCCCAGGGATTTATTTTGCGTATCAGAGCCAAAAAGATCAATTGTCTGACTTGAATATAAGGCAACTTACTACGAACCTATGAAAATCTACTCCTAGTTATCCCTGTGTATACAGTGGTGCCTCGCAAGACGAAATTAATTCGTTCTGCGAGGTTTTTCGTCTTGCGAATTTTTCGTCTTGCGAAGCACGGTTTCCCATAGGAATGCATTGAAAATCCAAAAGGAAACAAACTTGCAAGACGTTTTCGTCTTGCGAAGCAAGCCCATAGGGAAATTCGTCTTGCGAAGCAACTCAAAAAACGAAAAACTCTTTCGTCTTGCGAGGCATTCGTCTTGCGAGGCATTCGTCTTGCGAGGTACCACTGTATACCAAACACTTAAAGCACACTCCCACCTGCAATGAATCCTGGAAATTGTAGTTTACCCTTCACAGACCTACAATTCCCAGCACCCTTAACCTCCAGTTCCCAGGATTCTTTGCAGGAGTTTCTGCTTTAAATGCATAGTATGTAGGCAGCCATAGACTGTGGAACAGTTTACATGCCACTGGGGGTGGGGGTGGGGAGCTGCTTAGGTTTGCGTACTGGTCCCGAGAGAAGATTAGAAAAGCAATTTTGTACATTTTGATGCTAAATTCCTGAATTCCTTAATGTGTCATGCCAGATTTGTTGAAAATACTTTCTCTTACTCCATGTAATATAAAATATTTATTTTATTCATACACAAAGGTATATACTGCCTAATAAAGAATACAGCAAACAACACAAAAATAGAACATAAGAATAGATTATGTATCTATGTGTATATGTGTATATAGATATAGATGATAGATAGATAGATAGATAGATAGATAGATGATATAGATAGATGATAGATAGATGATAGATAGATAGATATAGATATGAATAAAATGAATCACATAAAACAGTTCTATATGCACTCAGGGAAAGCCTATGCAATGTAAATAAGTTATCTTCCCATATCTATTTAGATCTACATGCCATGGGGGGTGGGAATATCTGCCACCAAATGTCAAGTGGAGAGTGAGAGAGGTTTACATAAGTGATTTTGGCCCATTGCCCCTTCTCCTGTTCAGCTGATGTTCTTACAGTGTGTGTGTGTGTGTGTGTGTGTGTGTGTGTGTAAAAAAATTTAAATCCTCACTGGGTCTTACGAGATGCTGTGGACATGAGTTGTTCACAAACCAGCTCTTCACCCCACTGAGAACATTTCCCCCTAATTTTGTGACTTTGTTTATAGTTCATTTTGATTGTGGAAAGAGGGCATTCCTAGAACAGCCGTGTGCCTGGGAGTTCAGGGCTCTTTTGGTCAAGAGCTTTTGATCTCTGGAAGCCCTGGGTTGAGTGGTTCAGAGGCAAGGCAAGGGGGGCTGGGAAATGGGGCTTTGGGAAGGCTTTGGATTTGTTGGTGGCTTTGCGGTTTTTAAAGCAGCCCCATTAACATCTCCCTTGGCAATCTTCTAAATCATGCGTATGTGTGTGCTGTTGCCCATACATATGGTTACCCACCACCCTTATCTCTGAGATTCCAGGGGTTGCAGGCATGCTTACCCAGGGCTAGTGTTTCCTTGGGGAATGAGGCACAATGGGGACTAGGGTGCCTTTATGATATATGGTTTTATTTACATATATACAACTTGAGCCTACCTATGGAGGGGCTCACAGCAGCAGCAGCAGCAGCATCCCAAAAAGGGCCAGCTTATTCCAGAATCACATCAGCATCCCTTCTCTGCAGCCTCTCTTGCTCTACAGCAGGGGTCGACAAGGTTTACCTTGCCTGGGCTGGTTCACTCCAGCGGAGATCCCTCTGTGGGCCGGATTGCGGGCGCGTGATTTCCAGCATCTGTGTAGACGCGATTTCCGGCATCTGCACATGCGCAGACGCAATTTCAAGTGCCATGGAAGCGAGTCTCCGCGCCGCGCTGTGCCAGTTAAACGACCCCCGTGGGCGGCCTGTGGCCCATGGGCCTTAGGTTGCTGACCCCTGCTCCTGACTCCAGCTAAATTCTTCCTCTCTGCTTCCTGGTTACATCACTTCCACTCCCCTTCCCTAAACTATGCTCTCTTTATCTACAGAGGGAGGAACTAAAGCAGGGGTCAGCAAACTTTTTCAGCAGGGGGCCGGTCCACTGTCCCTCAGACCTTGTGGGGTGCCGGACTATATTTTTTGGAGAGGAAATGAACGAATTCCTATGCCCCACAAATAACCCAGAGATGCATTTTAAATAAAAGGACACATTCTACTCATGTAAAAACACGCTGATTCCCGGACCGTCCGCAGGTCGGATTTAGAAGGCAATTGTGCCGGATCCAGTCCCTGGGCCTTAGTTTGCCTACCCATGAACTAAAGGGCTCCATTCATTTGCATTCTGACACCTACTTCCTTTTTGCTTTGCCCTCCTAACAGTTAATCTGCCCAGGCAGTCCTCTCACAAAGAAGTTTGTTTGACTTATTGACACTTGTTGATTTGGCTAGGATTACCATGTCCAATACACAACCCAGGAAATGTGCCTCATGTAATTATCTTTTACATGTGCTAATTAGGTAAAGGACCCCTGGACAGTTAAGTTCAGTCAAAGGTGACTATGGGGTTGTGGTGCTCATCTCGCTTTTCTGGCCGAGGGAGCTAGTGTTTGTCCGCAGACAGCTTTCCGGGTCATGTGGCCAGCATGACTGGCGCAATGGGACACCATAAAGAGTGCCAGAGTGCACGGAAATGCCGTTTACCTTCCTGCTGCAGCAGTACCTGTTTATCTGGTGTGCTTTCGAACTGCTAGGTTGGCAGAAGCTGGGACAGAGAAATGGGAGCGCTCCCCGTTGCGCGGATTCAAACTGCCGACCTTCCAATCAGCAAGCCCAAGAGGCTCAGTAGCTTCATTAGATTCTAACCCTGGATAGCTTTATAACCCCCAAACTTGTTATAATAAGAGCTCACAATATTTTCTGGCCCTTGCATGCATTGTGGTGGCCTCTTCTTCTTCTTCTTCACTGTGGGAGCTGGTTCCAGCTGCGTTTGGATAGCAGCTGCAGGAATGTAGGCCAGATTGGACATGACGCCAGCAGGAACATTCCTGATGTGATCTTTGATCCCTGCAGGGTTTTTTGCTTTATTCCCCAGGAATCTCATATTCTTATGAAGATATTCTCTATCCCTCTTGCCTTGCCCCTCCTGAACATCCCTCATGAATCTACTGCTGTTTTGAGTTGAGCAGACTAACAACAGCATTGGGGTGCCTCAAGGCCAAACAAAACGTGATGGTGGCAGCCACGCTTGCCCCTCACGTGTCTGCCTTCTCCGGGTATAAAGGGCTGGGGTCTATTTTTAATATCAAAAGGGGCGTAAAGGAAGGGAACTACCCACATCACTTCCTTACATCCTCAGCTTGTCTCCCCTACCCAGCCCCATTTGGTAGGCATGATGCTCTTAGAACAGGGGTTCCCAAGCTGTGGTCAGGGGAGCACCAGTGGTCCATGAGCCTGAACTCCATTGTGTACATTGTACAGCATCACAATTGCCCCAAGTGGTCTGCAAAGATCCTCAGCAATCAGCAAGGTCTAGGGAGGGTGGGGAGGAGTTCGGGAACCATTGTCTTAGAAAAGCCTGTAGCCTGCCAATATCATTCCACTCAGAGTTAAAAATCACAGGCACCGTAAGGTGTGTGCATGTCCAATTGCAAATAATGATTTACAAAATACAGATTGAAATCTGAAATGACTAATTCTGAATTGATTTAATACAAAGGAAAATTTAACAAAAGTAATAAATTATGCAAATAATTTTAATCTAAGAAATGAAAGACAAAATAAAGATTTCCGCCCCCCAGGGCCTCCACCCCATATGAGCCTGCATGAGTGGCCTTCCCATATGGAGGTATTCAACTCCTGCTCCCCATCCTGCTTATGCAACAGGACTTTCCTCCTCTCCTCCCCCCCATGCACACCCCATGTTCTCTCAAATATTCTCTGCATAAGTTTGGGGAAAACCCTAGAATGGAGTTAGAGAGCATGAGCAGGGAGAAGAGGGGGAGAACGTTGCATTGCACAAGCAGAAGTCCTTGTGGAAATGCAACCTGGGCTTGAATCTATTCCTGGGCTTTGGAAATCGAATGGGGTGGGAGCCTGGGAGTTAGCCCTCCAAATTTATTTAGGTTAGGAACAGCCTACAGGGTATAAACCTGGCATTCCTGTTCTCTCAGGCAAACTAATGACACTGCGCCCCCACCCCCATGTCCCACATGAAATGTTCCTTCCTTTTCCTCTCCTCAGAATTCCTCAGATGTTTTCTTTAATTAAGAACTTCCCGATTCTCCCTTGAAATTGCATTATAAGTGAAATTCCCTGGCAACTCTGAAGCACCCTGTAGGGGGATTGTATGGAATAAAATGACACCTAGTTGCTTGACTTCTTGTCACCTGGGATGGCACAATGATTGGATACTGGGGCCAAGCCCTATTGGTAAAGAGTTAACCATTATGGTGGCAAGCGACTGAGTTTGGTTTGAGGTTGCAAATGAACTCCTCCTCCTGAGTCACCCAGATCCCTTTCCGTGTGGTTCTGCTCCCTGTCTATCTCAGCAGCAGCAACAGCTCTGCATTCTTTGCATTCTGGGAGTGCTCAGCCCCTCCCCAGCCCTTTTCCCCCCTTGGTAATTAGCTGCACCAGCTTCCTCCAAATTTGTTCTCTTGCTTTTTCTTGCCTTTTTCCCCCCTGGCGGCGCAAATCTAAGAGCTGCATTTGGGTGGGTTAACACAGCCTTGGTCCAAACAAGAGGCCTCAAAGGAAGGTGTTGCTTTTGGGAAACCAGGCGTGAGGAATCGCACCCACAGCCTTGGCCAGGACTGTTTCATTGTAATTACAGAGAAATGTCATTTTGGATAGAATGTCTCTAAATTCGGGTGGGTGGAAGCAATCCGAGCATAAGGTGAGCCCTGATGGATCAGACCCGGTCGGCATCCTGTTTCCCAACAAAATGCCTATGGGAAGCCAACAGGAAGAGCCCCCCTGTGGTGTTGCTCCCCAGCTATTTTATTCAGTGGTAAATGCCTCTGAATATGGAGGGTTCATATAGCCAGCTCTCTGCCTTAATCTTTCTGCTTCGGATGTTGCTGGACTCCAACTCCCATCAGCCTCAGCCAGCATGGCCAAAGGTCAAGGGTGATGGGGGGTTTATTTTGTGAACCACCCTGAGATTTTCAGATGAAGGGTGCTATATTATTAATAATAATATTAATTAATTAATTAAAAATAGACCAACAACATGAGGGTCACAGCACCATCCCCATCCCCAGTACCAGGTGTGCCAACTCTGGGGGGTTGAGGTGTCTTCAGCCTCCTCAATATGCACCATTTTACACAGCGTCAGGAGACGTGTGTGACGTCATGTGATGTGTGTGTGACATCACACGTGTTACACACATTGTCCCCATATATCCTTTTGCCAGAACTGAGCATTTAAAATTTAAACATTTCCAATTTTTGCTAAAGATGTACAAAAATTAGAGAGTAAAGAATATTTGAAGAAGGCTTTCAGCTTGTGAAGAAGTGATTGGAAAGGGAGCAGGCAAAAAAGGAGTGCTAATCACGTATGCATTCATTTATCATGGAAGTTATGATACACATAACTGAGTTAAAGATTTGGGAGCAGCGCATTGCAATTTCAACAGACTAAACCAGAGGCCATCACCCTTTTAAGGCTTGTGGCTCATTTCCAAACAGGGAGAACTGTTGTGGGTATCACGCCCACACAAAAAATTGTATCCAATGCTAGTTAACTCCGTTGAAGTTAATGGGCATGCCTAACTTCATTATTTTCAATGAATCTACTTAGAGCTTAGCTCAATACAAGCCACACAGGTTCTATGGCTTTTCTTGAGCCTAATTTCAGAGAGGGAGGGGACCCAGTGGGTGCCAAGGAAGACCCACAGGCACTGCATTGGCAACCCCTTGGCTAGACAGTTTTTGATAATGCTTTTTTGATAATGTTTTAAGGGAAACTTTAAAAAGCAAGAAATAGCACATATATTACTCCAATAATGTTAAGCAACAACTCGCCATTCTCATTATCTTCACATCTTGGCTGCTCCCCAAAGAGCTACTTTAGGCTGCCTCAGGGCATTCCCTGTGCTCAGTGGGATTTTTTATCTTTGATGAGTAGATTTTCCCTCTCCAAACCCCCCAACTAATTTGGAAACTCACTCAAATATAAAAGCAATCTGCTGGGCAATGCTGGAAGAGCGGCGGTGGGGGGGGGGACGACTATTGTTCAGTAAACACAAACTCATTGCCTGGTCCATCCTTCCTTCATCCCCCCACCTCAATCATAAGCCCTAAGGATAGGGTCTTGTGGCCCTCTAGGTGTTCTTGGAGTCCTCTTCCCAGAAGCCCCAGAAGCCAGCATGGCCAATGGTGAGGGTTAGTTGGAGCTGTAGTCCAACAAGACCTGAGGGGCCTCAGATTCACCACCCCTGCGCTAAAGCATCTTCAATGGTACCTTGGGTTAAGTACTTAATTCGTTCCGGAGGTCCATTCTTAACCTGAAACTGTTCGTAACCTGAAGCACCACTTTAGCTAATGGGGCCTCCTGCTGCCACCGCACTGCTGGAGCATGATTTCTGTTCTCATCCTGAAGCAAAGTTCTTAACCCGAGGTACTATTTCTGGGTTAATGGACTCTGTAACCTGAAGCATCTATAACCTGAGGTACCACTGTATCTTTGGAAATGTTGGGGAACTGTGTGTTCCATAGAAGTACAGTCTTCTCCTTTCCACCTTGCCTCCATTTTCTAATTCTCTCCCCTTCCTCGGTTATTTCTCTTTGTTGAATTCTAGATTGCAAGCCGCTTTGCAGCAGGGACCCACCCTCTGTCATTGGTTCTGGCACCATCAGCTGCTGGCCTCTGCCTTCCTACTGGTCCCAAGGAACACCACCAGCCACCACCACCTAGTATACATTTGTAAATAAAAAGATCCTACTAATGTGCCATGAGTCTCTAGTGCTCCTGCCTCCCTCACAAGGAAGTGAGAAGTGCAAAACACTCCTGTGCTGGAAGGGCAAAACTGCAGAGTCCCTCTGTCTCCTGAGCTACCTTTGCTGGGAAGCCCCTGGGCTGTGGTCAGGGGGCTTCTGAGACTCTGTGCTTGTGATCAAGGGCCTTTTACACAAGTAGAGGTAGAAGAGTAGGAAGGGGAGACTTTTCCCTTCCACCAAAATCCTGAGCTGTGAAGAGGACAATGGGTGTGGGAGGCACCAAAGGGGAGGCTGGCACTGCTGCTGCCCCCAACAAGACCTCTGCAGTAATAGTGTCCAGATGTGCCTCAACTGCATTTGCTCAGGCTGGGGTCTTTCTGCTCTTGAGTGTGCGCCTCTCTGCCAAGGACACAGATCTGCCTGGTGATGCAGCTGTGGGTGGCCCTCATTTTGATTGCACTCAAAGGCAACCCAAAGGGAGCTGTGAAGGGCACCTGTGTGAGAGATGAATGGATGGAGAAGAAGGGAAAAGATTGGGGGGAGGGATTGCTGCTTGAAATGATGCATTTGAAAAGTCAGCACTTGGAATCAAACATGCCTGTGTTGGAGATTAAAGTTGTATTTCAAAGCTTAGAATAAATGTGAAGGGTTTATAATAGAGTTCAGCTCCAGTGCACTCCCACTGCTGGTGTTTGGAGCCAAAAACACAAAACGTTAGCCACAATTCACATGTTGCCTGCAGTTTCTGGAGAAATACTGCTGCTTGATGCATTTTCCCCCAAACCAGCTTCCATCTGATTTGAAACCGTCAGCTGCAGTTACACTGAGGTGTATACCTTCCAAACATCCATTGGACATGCACAGTTAGCAGCACATGCACAGATAATGGCTTCATTGAAAGGGAGCAAGGGGGGGTGTTTTGCAGCTGCAGGGAAACTAACCAGGTAATGCACATCTCCCTGACCCCTCTCTGGTGTGTACAGCAATGAAAAACATGGCTTGAAACGCAGCTGTGCTGGCAGTGGCTTTCCACCCACTGCAGTGCTGGGTCATTTCAAAGCTCTGAATAGCTTGGGCCCAGGATACCTTCAGTTGGGCCTTACCCTGTATGTCCTGGGTCAAACACTGAGTTCACTGGGGGAGTAGTCCCTACCTGGACTTGTAGCACAACTCATGTCACCATGGCTTCAGAATAGTGGATCCAGTAGAAAGTTGGCAGGCTCTGTCCTTGAATGCTACTCTGATGTTTTAATACTCTAGTATTAAATCACTCTGGGAGTTTTATGGCAAGTGTAAATGAATACTCACAGAGCCAGCTGTATGAGGTGGAGCTGCCGGGGAAGGCCTTGGCACTGGGGAGCCCTTCTGAGGCCCTGGCAACTGCCCTAGGATGCCCGGTGCAGATGCAAGAGAATTGCTCGTGTGCTGGGAGAATGTTTTTGAGTAAAGCTGCCTTTGACAACCTTGTGCCCTCCAGGTGTTTTGGACTACGACTCACATCAGTCCCAGCCAACATGACTGTAAGTTCCAGACATGTAGTCTGGGCTGATGGGACTTGTAGTCCAAAACAACTGGAGGACACACCAGGTTTGCAAAGGCTGGAAATGATTATCTCATGAACGGAAAGAACTCCACTCTTTCACATCACTTACTACCTTGTCCTTTGAATGGGATGCGCTCCAAATTGAACCTGGGGTTTTATGCATGCAAAGCATATGGTCCCTTTCCAAGTATAAGGACTTCCAACATTATAAAAAAATAAACATCCTTAGGTGAAGTATGCATCCAGTTTCAATTGAGAAAAAAGTTTGAGAGATTACGCTTTACATAAATGTTTTAAAAAGTCAAGCCTTGTATTTCTGTTCTCCCCAGCACAGTAGCTTTGAAAGTAAAATATTGTCTGTTAAACACATTTTCACAGCATGTATAGTTATGTAAGATGGCAGTTTAATTTGGATTGCAAAGTACGTTTCTGAATTTTGGCTTTCCAAATACTTTTACTTTGGGGAAGGGCTTCAACTTTTGATGTGCATCTGGACCAATGTTGTGCGTGTGTTTCAAATTCTCTCTGTGACTCTAGGCTGCAGAGTATATTCACTACTACATCACATTTACAGCATATCACACTGGTGAATTGTTTTCTGCAATTTGCCACCAGGGCTGTTCCAATACATTTTGGCACCTGAAGTGAACCAAAAAATGGTGTCCCCTGCTGGCCAGGGAAGAAAGGGTGAGTGAAGATCTACATCAGGGACAAGGGAGAAAATAAATATCTCCATCAGGATTTGCTGCCCTTGTGGAACCTGCCTCCTGAGGCAGTTGCTTCACCTTGCCTCATGGGAGGGCTGGCCCAGTTTGCAGCTGTTGATTAATTGAGGTCTTAAAGCTCTTCTGCATGTTATTGTATAAGCATCTGAATAATTTTGTATATATTCAATTCATGATTTTCCATAACTTAGAACTTGATGGATGTCTGCCATTGGTACCTAGTCTGTATTGCTTTGTTTTTGTTTTATAAAAACATCTGCTGTCTTTTCTGTTCTTTTTATTATACAAGCAATGACCAATTGACCATGCACGAACCAGTAAATAACTTTAAAAATGGCAAAATGGTCCGAAAACAATGCCTAGCAATCCCACGAGCCTTTGCAAGTACAATGCCAGGAGCTCTTGCACTGACCATTGAGACCATTGAGAGTTGAAGTTTGAGCAAGGAGGTTTGGAGGGAGCAATTGTGGTGGAGTTTTGGTGTCTGGAAGTACTGCTGATTTTTCAAAGGAATTTTCAAGGGTTTGCAGAGGTTTAGAGGGCATTGGCAGGCTTTTCCAAAGGTGTTTCAAGTATATGTGATTTCACGTGAATGTGTGGTGCCTTGGAATGTATCCCCCACGTAAATGGAGAGTTGCCTGTACATTGTACAACACAGAAGGGCTGACTCACCCCCCCCCCCTTGAAGCAAGGGAAGGAAATGCAGCTTAGCATCTAACAAGGGTCACCCCCCCTCCCTGCAGTAAACACTATTCAGGACCTAACTGCACCATCAGGAAAGATCCCACCTGCAGTCTGCAGTGTCACAGTCCAGACAGGTTTACCTCCTCATTGGCTGTTTATGATAACCAAGCCTCAGAGAGAATGAGTTTAGAGAGGGAGAGAGCAATTCATGGCAGTGACAAAAAAACAAACCCCTATACACCCCCTTGTGCCCCAGCTTCACTTCCCTCTTCTAGATCTGTTATGTACTGAGTTGAATAGGATCCAAAATGCAGCAATCTGATTGGTCCTAGAACAATAGGATCCAGAATGCAGCAGTCTGATTGGTCCTAGAACAATAGGATCCAGAATGCAGCAGTCTGATTGGTCCGCAGGAGCCACCCAATCCAACTCCGGGTGGAAGTGAATCCACAACCTGATTGGCCTACAGGAGAATCCCAGAATTAGCCAATCACGTGGGGGCCATTGTGTAAATAATGTATATAAAGCAGACATTTCGGGGAAACTTCCATTCCTCACTACTCTGAGCTGAATAAAGAGCATGAAATCCACACTTGACTCCGAGTATATTTCAAGATCCCTCTTCTACCTGGCTGAGCAGCTGAGGCTGATGAGATTAGCATCCAGCGTGAGACAGTGTACCTGCAGGCTAGGTGGGGGGGGGAATAGGATGTAAGGGGACCCCGCCCTTTGAGCTGCCTACAAGGGTTTGCAGGAAGGAGGGAGGGGCTCAGCCATCCAGTTATATAACAGGCTTTTTTTGAGGGGGAGTTGTTAGTAAAAAGTCCAGTGGGGTGGGGTCATAGACGACCAGGAACAGAGACGAGCAAAGGCCCACTAGATTACAACCAGCCTCCCCTCCTCCTAGCATTTCTCCCTCCCCACAGCTCTCCTCTCTCTTTTTCTCTGGCCAGCCTAGCAAGCAGCACTGTTTTCACAGCTGCAGCCTTCCTGTGCCTTGGAAACGGCATTACCTTACTGCTTCCCCCTCCCCGGCCGTCATCGCCCACCCTGCCCCAGGACGCGAGGGGCAGGAATGGCAAGGGCTGCTGTGAGATGCAAGCCAGAGACGGCTGCTTTCTGGGTTACAAGAATCAAGTCAAGGCGGACCAGAGGAAGAGGGTGGCTCCAAGGACCGACTCCACTCTCCGCAACCGACAACAAGCAGTCAGAAATTTGGTTTCTTCCTGACCCTTGCTGCCTCCCAGCGCCCTCTTCTCCATGAACTGTCTGTTCTCAGCACCATCAATAATTGTATAACCGGGTGGCGAATGTCAAGCCCAGGGGGCAGATGTGCCACCGCAGGCCTCGCCCCTCACTGGTCTGCTTCGCGCCCTGAATATTTTTGCCCTCGAACCCTAGTGATGCCTCTTGCCAGTCTGGGTGAAGGATAAGAGAGCATGTGTAGAAACTAGCACATGGTCCAAAAGCAAATTTTATATTTGTGACTTGGTGCACTCTTGCCTCTGGCCCTGCCTGCCACTGGCATGTGGTCCTCAAAAAGTCTCCGAGGAGGAAATGTGGCCCCGGGTTGAAAAGGTTTCCCCATCCCTGCTGCAAAACTCATACCCTCTAACATTTCTCTGCTGAAAATAGGGACATCTGATAACTTATTTTGGTGTAAGGGATATTAATGCAACCCTTTCACGATGTATTGTGGTTGGCCCCTAAGACTGTTTAACCAAGCCTGAATACTTTTTAAAATTTGTCTTTTCCCCCCAGGCAGACTGACCAGCTCCTTGTGTTTTTCGGGTTCCTCAGCAGCACCCTGTTGCATCAGGAACAGCTGCCTCTTGGTTTTTCATTGGCGTCTGCAATGCGATGCAAAAAAACCCCACATAACACTGAAAACCTGTCTGGGCCCCACTGAGCTGTGTGCATCAAGGAGGGGCAGACAGCCCAGCCATTTTTTCCATGTTCCATTTGGGGCCTCTGGCTGGTGGCAAAGTCTTGGAGCCAAGTTGTCATTGGCCTCCTGCTCTCACAGTGCTGCTGTCTTTTTGGCTGTGAGGCCGGGATTAAGGATGACGCCGGAGTTTCCAAACCTCCTCCTCCCACCCTCTCCCACCCCACTTTTCCACCTCTCCAGTTTTCCCAGCCAGCACCATGACTAAGAGTCCAATTTTGCACAGGGCTGCTGTACACTGGCCTACCCTCCAACATTTATCCGATGAAAATAGGGACGTCCCATTCCATCATGATAATTTCACTATTTATACCCCACAACCTTACTGGGTTGTCCTAGCCACTCTGGGCAGCTTCCAACACATGTAAAAACATAATAAAACATTAAACATTAAATAAACTTCCCTATACAAGATTGCCTTCAGGCGGCTCGGTCGGATAACTCCATACCTTCCAACATTTCTCCAATGAAAATAGAGACATCCTAAGGAAAAGTGGGACATTCTGGGATCAAATCTGAATCCGGGACGGTTTCTCCCTCTCTCTCTCTAATTGATATTTATTTTTATTTGCTTTCTGATACAATTCCATGTCAAAGAAATGAACGGAAATAATGCAAAGGACACAAAAAAGAAAACTCTGAAATAGAAAAGAAATAACAATTTTAGGATATCGAAAAATAAACAGAAAACCAGAAACCATTTCTCCACCAACTTCCCATCCTTCTCCTTCCATGGTTCCATGCCTGTCTTCACAAAGTTTGCTGTGCTGTGGAGCAACTTCTTCTTTAGCAACTGGCAGGCCATTTCCCTCCTTTCTTTTAAATCTCCCCTTCAAACTAGATGACCTTTTAGTCCAGCTACATAATCAGTCCTTCGGTAAAATAATTACAGGAGGGAAGGGGAGCCAATTTGTCCAAAGAAGGCCAGCATCTGGGGAGGCTTATCTCTTCACTCCCCCACTGCAGCTGGAATGGAGGTACCCTCCCCATTGCTTGGCATAATCGCATGAGCACTTGGCATAATCGCAGAGTATTTTTCATTCTCATGTATATTATATCTATTCGAAAAAAGATTGGTTAATGAAGAAATTACATATCTTTCTACTTACAAATGTTGATCTAACTGGCTGATGAAGAATTCAGTGAAACAGTAGTTGTTATCCGGAAACACTGTTCAGCAGAGTTCAGGGTTGGACATCAGAATTGGGCATTTGCTAATTATACAAAGCTTCACAGCTTGTTCTCCGCCGGGTAAAGTCTGGCACCGTGGTTCATTTAAGGACTTTCAGAGACTTTCAGAGACTTCAGTTTGTTAGTTTTGATGTTTTAAATTATTTCATAAAGTTTTCACATTGTAATTGTTTCTGGCCATCGTGTTGCTTTTGATATTGCTGGCTAGGAGCTTTGGCAGGGGGAGGAGTCCCCAACTGCTGTTTTCGGATCTTGGACAAAATTGGACTACATGCCAGGAAAGTGGCTTAATTAAATGCCTAGATAGAAGAACAAGCCTTGCATCTCCCAACCACAGATGTATGTGTGTTGGCTATGAGTGCTCAAAAATACTTAACAGGCACTCTGCACATGCTCCCAAGCACTCTTGTCATTGCTTGGCATGTTTCTTGCACACAAGAATACCATTACATATTTCAGTGAGGGGTGTGAGCAAGGTTCTCAGCAAAGATTGGAAGCCTTTTCTTGGAGATATTCAAAATGAAAATGCTTCCTGCCCAGAGCTGTGTATATTTTAAGTGCATTTGTTGTGGTTACCTTTTTATACTTCATATAATCTCTAGAGCAATGTTATGAACACCAGTCTGCACACACCCCACCCTCCCCGCCGAAATGGATCTGGGCTTTTGGCATGCGTATTTGGGGCTGAGGTCCACATGCAGGTCCACATTCTTGGAACAAACTCTCCTTACGTTCCCTGCAGCCTTCTCCTACATAAAGCTGGCACCTTAACATGTTTATAACTATGGATATGTAAATGTGTAGAATCCGTGTACTGGTCAGAACTACAGGTGCTCCATGGAATAATTGCATGTTCTCTGAGGTGCAGAGAGGGCCGAGGGCTTGACGCAATTTCTGATTCAGCTGAAGCACAGCTGGACTGCAGTTTTTGGAACCTGTTGAAACAATGCTCCCAGTCCTTTAAATTAGAGCTGTCTGGGCAAGGCTGAGATGCAGCCAGCTGTGATCAGTGCCATTTGTCTCCTGTTGTTCGTCATGCTGAAGAATACGTGTGGCATATGTATACATAGACAGGCACACATATAGTTGAGAACCTCACTTTAAAAAAGTGGCAATGTTTCAAGTTCTCAAGGTTTCACAGATGTATCTGCAAATATACAGGCTATGCCTTCAGCCGTTCAGGAGCATGGGAGCTTTTGCATTACACATATAGCTCAATCCAGATAAGACAGAGGCACTGTTAGTGGAGGTTCCCTAGGCTGGCTGGATGGGAGGTGGCCTGCTCTTCAGAGGGGTTACACTCCCTCTGAAGGAGCAGGTACAGAACTTTGGGGTCCTCCTGAATCCTTTGCTGTTGCTTGAGGCTCAGGTGGCCTCAGTGGTGCAGAGAGCCTTCCATCAGGATTGGCTGGTGGCTCAGCTGCCCCCTTATCTGGACAGGGATAACCGAACTTCTGTTGTCTCTGCTCTGGTAACCTCTAGGCTGGATTATTGTAACACATTATAAGTAGGGCTGCCTCTGGAAACTTCAACTAGTGCAGAATTTGATGGACAGGTTGCTCACCAGAGCAAGACAGTTTGAGCAGATTGCACTAGTCGTGGCCCAACTGCACAGGCTGCCAGTTAGTTTCTGGGCCCAATTCAAAGTGCTGGTTTTGACCTATAAAGCTCAGGACTGCAATACCTCAAGGACCGCCTCTCCCCATATGAACCTACCCGGTCCCTGAGATCAACTTCTGAGGCCCTCCTTCATATGCCTCTTCCTTGAGAGGTCCAGAGGGTGGCAAAAAGAGAACAGGCCTTCTCTGCAGTGGCTCCCCATCTGTGGCATGCTCTCTCCAGGGAAGTTCGCCTGGTGCCTTCATTACACACCTTTAGGTGCCAGGCAAAAATGTTCCTCTTTAGCCAGGCCTTTGGTTGATCTGTTTGACATCCAACACCCTTTTAGAATGTGGCTTTTGGGGGGGGGTTATTGGGTTACTGCTTTTGGTTTGATTTTATATGTTGTGGTCTTGTTGTGAACCGCCCTGAGACCTCTGGGTATAGGGCGGTGTATGAGTTGAATAAATAAATTAATAAATAATAAATAATTTGCCCAGCCACTCCCCCCCCCCCAATCTGCTCTTAAACACTAAATCGGCACAAATGGCAACCTGTGGGAAATCCTGTTGCCGCTTGTTCCCATCCAGTGCTAAACCAGGGGTTTCCTGGGGGGAAAGAGGTGGAAAGTGTTATGTACTGAAGTTCTCACCCTGGGCCAGCAGGGGGATACTGTAGATAGTTATGCAAATAAGGGATCGAAAGTGACGTTCAGTGATTGGATAGTTTTAGAAAGTTGTTACTGTTGCATTGTAGTGGAGCTCTATATAAGCAGGCTGACTGAACCCTTCAGTTCAGTTCTGTCCTGGCCTGTGAATAAACAAGAGCTGTTTGAAGAATCGCTGTGTCGTCTGATATGTTCACCCACAACTTAACAGAAAGGAGTGTGGGTGTGCCTTGTCAATGTTTACTTGTTTGATAGACTTTTGCATTTGAAGGACAAAAGAGTGAGAGGGGGATGTTGTTGTTGTTATTTAAATTTATATACCTGTTATGTACTAAGCTTGGATCCTAGATCAATAGGCAAGTAGGATCCTAGAATGCAACAACTGATTGGCTTGCAGGAAAAGACCAATCAGGCTCCAGGAGGGAAGCAGAATCAGCCAATTAGAAGGGACTCATTGTGTAAATAATGTATATAAAAGCCTGAGGTTGGAGGGGGGGTGCAATTCAATCACTGTTTTACAAGCTGCAAAAAAGAGCATGAAATCACTGCAGGACTCCGAGTATATTTCAATACCACTCTTCCTCTGTAGATCTCAGGGCAGTTCACAATATGAAAACACAAGTTAAAAGCACAAAACAAATAGTTAAAACGAAACATAATCCACCCTCCCACAAACACATTTAAAAGGCTGTACAATATTAATCAGCCCAAGGCCTGGTTGAAGAGGAATGTTTTTGCCAGGTACCTAAAGATGTATAACTGCAGAAAAAGCTTGTTCTCATGTTGACACCCTCCAGACCTCACGTGGAGGCAGCACACGCCGAAGGGCCTCGGATGATTAACACAGAGTCCAGGATGGTTTATATGAGGAAAGGCGGTCCTTGAGGTATTGTGGACCTGAGCCGTTTAAGGCTTTGTAGGTCAAAACCAGCACTTTGAATTGGGCCCGGAGACTAATTGGTAGCCAAAACCTCTCAGACTAGGCATGGGACAAGCAGGAAACTGCTTGGACCTGTGCTTTCTAGGAGTGCACTGTTCATTATCAGATTCCAGGCTAAAAGTAGACAACTTCATGTTACGAGCAAACAAGGAAACCCAAGGCAGCTACTAGAACCCTTTGCCTCCCTGCTGTTTTCCATTCTAAAGTCCCTCACCTGCACCCCATCAGCTCTTGCATGTACTTCAGAGAAAAGAGCAGCAACAGCAGCTAGATTTCTTGTAATATCTAGCTCAAAACCGCGTCCCTTAAGAGAGAAACACCTGAGCATATAAAAACAGCCCTGCCTAGTGGATCACTCTCTCTCTTGTTTGCCTTTCAGATGTTGGGATACCGTGAGGAAGAAGAAAGCAGCTGGCACATGGTTGCACAATTTCTGTTTCCCAAAGAATTCAGGACAGGATGTGCAGGATATTTCTTGACCAAGAAAGTGGGTGAGAGAAGGAGGCGGGTGGTTTTAGAGAAGAGAATGGAATTTCCCCAGCTGGAGTCAGAACAGGAAACAGGGGTTAACAACACACTCCAGCTCTTGAGGCTGTGGAAGTTTGGACAGGCTTCAGTCTTCCTGGGGTACTTGATGACTAGGAGGGGTCTCATCCGCCCCATACATTGAAAGCATTTTTACAGCACTTGGAGAATCCTGGGAACTGTAGTCTGTTAAGGGTGCTGATCTTACAGAACTACAGTTCCTGCACCTGTGACAAACCCAGTCACCACCAGCTAGAGAGGAATAAAGGTTGTGGAGCAGTTGCACTTGCAACCCACTTCTCCCAGTAAGAAATTCTGAGCTTTGGGGATTCAGCCACTCAGAACCTTTAGGATGTAATTTTGAAAGTATAAATAAAGTCTCTCTCTCTCTCTCTCTCTCTCTCTCTCTCTCTCTCTCTGTGTGTGTGTGTGTGGCCTTGTTGACTCCATTGGGCAGGCAGGCGAGACGCAAAACAAAGGATTGTATCCGACATAGTGTTTCATGAACTTTCTGCTTGCACAAGGATTTCTGCTTGTACAACTGAACATTTTCCTTCTCTTCCTGCTCCTCCTAAATCTGTTCTATGGGCTTCTTCTACCTCTATAACATATTCAGGCAGGGTGTAGTGGGGGGGGAGAGAGAGAGAGAGAGAGAGAATATGAAGTAGTCCTGTTGCCTGGGCGGAAATGCCTGCGCTGACAGGATGGGTTGGTTAAGCACCTTCCAAAAATCTTTAAAATCAAGCTACAAGAGCCATTCTTCCAAAAGAGCGGTAAATTTATAACAAATGTGATGAATGGTTTACAACAAGAAGTAACACACGTGTGTGTGTAAATGTTCTATTCTGTCACAAGACATTCATTTTTGTCTCCCTGAGCCCAAGTAAGTTTTTAGAATAACAATTCAAATATTTTAGTGCACTTGGATATTAAATATTCTGAAGGCATCCAGTTGCATAACACTCTAAGCTGGTTTTCCTGGTAAAGAACAAAGGCAATTCCTGTGCCGTGTTAAGTAATCTTCCACTCTGACTACAGCTGCAGTGATTTGGGGTGAGATTGTCCATCAGATTCTCAGTTTTCACATTTGCTCACTTTTAGATTCATGTGACGTTTTGCAATTTTAGTATATGTGCTGCCGAAGCGAGCACGATTCATGTGACGTTTTGCTTGTGTTCCAACTACGACTGCAAAGCAGGAAGGACTGAACATGGAAGTTTCTGTATGCAAATCGTGTGCTCATTTTCCTGCATTCATTTCTGTGGAGCTTCTGTGGGAGAACTTACCTGCACAGTGTTCCCCATTATCCAACCTCTCTCCTGTTACAATTCTGCTACCCTTACTGGGACCCAACATCCAATATCTGGGAGCCAAACTATATCTGGGAGACATCACTGGTTATCAGTGACTACTAACCATGATCACTGTGCTGGTTGCCGGAATTGCAGGTGGGAAGAGTGTTGTCGCGCTCAGCTTCTGCTTTCAGATTTCCCCTAGGCACCTGGACAGCCACTGTGACACTAGGATGTTGGACTAGATGGGCTTTGGCCAGATCCAGCAGAGCCTTCCTTATGTCCCCATGAAAATCGCCCTCCCCAATCTGCTATTTGCATCTGGTCCCCTTGACACCAGTGGAAACTCCCCTGTCCTGGAGCTAATAGCAGCTTAAGGGGGGCAGAATGGTAGTCAGAAACAAAGTGTGAGAGGAAGGCTTAACTTCTTTCCCCATGTGCTGCTGTGCCAATCCTGCTGCCTTCAGTGATTCCCTCCCCTTCTTTCTCTCTCTGTATGTATGTGTGAATAGAGAGATAAATAGAGCTAGAGATATATTATGCACATAAAATGCTCACAGTAACTCTATCAGGTCCAGATCCCAGTAACTGGGGGGCATTCCTCAAATCAAATATGGTAAGGTGAAGGGAGAGGGAAGGGTTGCTTTCTATATGCTTTCTATACCTTGTACCTTGTACCTAAGAAGGATCTTCTATATTCTCTGTACTTTGGATCTAAGTAAATTTCTGAGCTAATTTGACTTCTGCAAAAGAGGCCCCTCGCTTTCTTATTTTAGGAATGCAAGATAAGAAAGACACATATGAAGGAGACTGTAAGCTAGAAATAACCAGAGGCCCCTCGCTTTCTTACTTTAGGAATGTAAGATAAGAAAGACACATACGAGGGAGACGGGAGGAGGGGATGCAGGACGCTTAGAAAGACACGTATAGGGAAAATAGGGAGGGGGCTGCATAGAGGGCTCGCATTATAGATATGCCAGCCCATATAAAAAAAAAATACGTTAAAAACTTTCCAGTTGATTGGGGAAGTTTTTGGAGGGCGTTTGGGGGAGGAGGGAGGGAGCTTTCTCAAGGTATAAGAAAGTCTGCAGAGGCGTATTTCTGGGCAGCCAGTCTTCCAGAAGTTATTCTGCTGGCTGTCACTGTGCACAGAGAATAAACTGTTTTCCTCCAAAGAAGGATCTTTCCTGGTGCTTTCTTTTGCTCTCTCTCTGGATCTGAGGACGCGGGCCAACGATTCCCTGGCATGGACTAGGCTCAGCCTACATCTTGGTTCCCTGACCGGGAATCTGCCCCACCTCAGAGGGCTGGGGAGAGCCAGGCTCGACCTTGGTGGACAGCTCGGATCGGCAATTGCAGGCTCCACGCGCACCCTGCACATTGGTGGGGGGGAGCCAGCCACACCGCTCCGGAGCAAGGACCCAGGTCGAGGGAGGAAAGAGGACTGGCCAGGGAAGGGAATCTGCAGCAGAAAACGGTAAGCCCAAGGGAAAGGGCGTGGGCGTGAGCCCAAGGGAAAAGAGGGAGGCCTGATCAGCCTCACCTGGTTATGCAGTAGAGTGCAGCCAGGAAGGAAAAAAAAAAAGGGGCGTGGCAGTGGTGTGCCACCGGTAAGGTTTGGTAAAAAAAAAAAAAAAAAAAAAAAAAAAAAGGGGGGGAACAGAGGGGAAAATTATTTTGGTGTGTTTTGTGTATTACATGTTGAAATTATTTTGGTGTGTTTTGTGTATTGCATGCTGAAATTATTTTGGTGTGTCTAGTGTGTTACATGTTGAAATTATATTGATGTGTTTTGTATGTTGTATGTTGCATGTCAGATACTCTAGTGACTGAATTGTCAAGTGTGGGCCAGGGCTTAGTGTCCCCCTTGGCCGAGCGATTGTAGGGCTGTAGTGTGTGTAGAGTGAAAGAATTTACAACCTGTTAGCAGCAGAGTATCTGAAAATGGGGTCTGGGGCAAGCCAATGTAGTCCTCTGGAATGTTTTTTAAACAACTGGAAAGCAGCCACAAAGCATGATGATTGGGGAATCAAATTGAGGCAACGGAGGATGAGAACATTATGTGAGGTTGACTGGCCCTCGCAACAAACTAACTGGCCCTCGGAGGGGAGCTTCGATTTGCAACTAATCAACCCACTGTATCGAAATATCTTGAACGTCCACCCAGACCAGATCCCCTACATTTCTACTTGGAAAACCAATGTAGAAAAGAACCCATCGTGGTTGAAAGCCTGCCGAGGCGACGCCCCACAAAGTACAGTTTGTGCAGTTCGACCGACAGGGAAGTCAGAAAAGCCCCCAGTGATACCAGACCCAGAAGAAGAGGAGGGGGAAGTCATTAAACCACCTCCACCCTATGCTCCACCAACTGCCCCTCCCCTGGACCCAGGCCCCCAGGCACCGGGAGGAGCTAGCCCCCAGCCTGAACCCCCCAAGGCTAATGAATCAGAAGAAGAAGAAGACGATGATGAGGAATTTGTAAAGGGATTGGTTGAGTTAGCAAAGAAGGGAAGAGAGTGGACTCAGTATCAGTCTTTGAGATTGCAACAGTATGTACAACCCTATGCAGAAGAAGTGGATGTTAGCCCCCACGTGTTGGCTGCAGCAGGATGCTCCTCAACACAAGGGAAGAAATGGCAGAGGGAATGGATAGAAGCAGCAACCAGGGCAGCCTTCCATAAGTCCCATGAGGCACAGAAAAGGGTGGGGTCGGAGTAATGCCCCTCCGAAGGGTTTATGACCCACCAGGACCTCCAGGGACTAATGGAGCAGCAGCAGAACGGACCTATACGGTCCAGCATATACCCTTTTCAAGTGCAGATGTCTGTAACTGGAGAAATCAAAACCCATCTTTTGAGGAAAACCCAGCGAAGATCATAAAGCTGTTTGAAGGGATTTTTAAAACTTATAATCCCACCTTTGATGATGTGCAGTATTTGATGGATGCGCTGCTAACCACAGAAGAAACTAGGCGAATCCATGCTGAAGCCCGAGCACACCTGAGAGCGCAGGGAGTGCAGGATCCAGCTATGGCAGCAGGATATCCAGAAAACACCCCGAATTGGAATTATCAGACTGTTGATGGCCAGAACATCCTCACTACCTACCGCCAGAATGTGTTAAATGGTATGAGAAGGGCAGCTAGGAAACCCACCAACTTTGTGAAGGTTAGAGAGGTAGTGCAGGGGAATGAAGAGGCCCCAGGAGCATATTTAGAACGCCTGAAGGAAGCCTACCGCCAGTATACTCCTGTGGACCCAGATGAGGCTGCCAACGCCCCTATCATAAAAGCTGCCTTTGTGGCCCAAGCGGCGCCCGATGTCCGCCGAAAGATTCAAAAACACGAGGGGTTCATGGGCCACACCCTTGAGTGGATGTTAGAACTGGCTCAAACCACTTATAATCAGAGGGAGGAAGAGGCACAAAAGAAAAAGGAGAAGTATCAAGCAAAGAAGTTGATGGCGCTACAGGCTACCGCACCCACCCCTCAGGAAAGAGGAAGTGCCCGGGGAGGAGGGCAAGGCCGTCTGGGGAGGAACCAGTGCGCCATCTGCCGGCAGGAAGGGCACTGGAAAAGAGAATGCCCACAAGCTCACTCAGGTGGAGGAGGACGAGGAGAGCGAATCCCAGGCCCAATCCCCGTGGGACCTGGACAAGAACTGAGACCTTGGACATCTGCAAATACAGGCAGGGGTAGAGGACGTGGACAGGGACCTCCCTGGCACCCTCCAGCCCAAAGACAGCCCGCCGCGATGAGCCTGAGAGAGGAGGAGGAAGAATACTAGGACAGACCGGGCCCAGCTGATTTAGGTTCCCGTGAGCCCATGGTCAAAATACAAACAGGGAACCGAACCATCCCCTTCATGGTTGACACAGGAGCCGCCCACTCTGTTTTGCCAGTACCAGTGTCCAAGCCCACCAAGCAAACAATTAACATAATAGGAGCTACAGGCAAATCACAAAGAGCCCCCTTCTTGCAATCTGTTGCCTGTCGCCTGGGCGGCCAAGTGGTCCAACACAAGTTTTTGTATATACCAGAGTGTCCCATCCCATTGTTGGGCCGAGACCTGCTATCAAAATTGCAAGCCCAGATTTCCTTCCAACCGACAGGAGAAGTGACAATGACTACAGGGCAAGCAGGAGAGTTCTCCTTAGAGGTACCCTTGAGGGAACACTGGCGCTTAATGATGGTAGAAGAAGAGGAGGGGATTATTCCAGAAGACCTCCTGCAAGAAGTTAACCCTGGTGTATGGGCAGAAAGCAACCCGCCCGGAATGGCAAAGAACATCCCACCTATAATAGTCAAGCCCAAGCCATTCGCCAACCCTGTGGCTGTGAACCAATATCCTATCCCCCGAAGAGCTGCGGAAGGAGTATGGGTACATTTGGAACGGTTACTTCGCCATGGCATCCTGAGGCAGTGTCAATCTCAGTGGAACACCCCACTCTTGCCGGTGAAGAAGGAAGATGGCTCGTACCGCCCGGTCCAAGACCTTAGATTAGTCAACCAGGCCGTGGAGACCCTCCACCCCAATGTGCCCAATCCTTACACGCTGTTGAGTCTAATACCTCCCACCGCATGTTATTTCACCGTATTGGACTTGAAGGATGCATTCTTCTGTTGCCGCCTGGCAGAAGAAAGTCAGCCCCTGTTTGCATTTCAATGGACAGATCCGGGAACAGGCACCAGGGTGCAATACACGTGGACGAGGCTTCCACAAGGCTTCAAGAATTCTCCAACCCTTTTGGGGTTGCATTGGCCTCGGACCTGTCTAGCTTCCCCACCAGTCCGCGCAGAGTCTTGATGCAGTACGTGGATGATCTTCTTTTGGCCTGTTCAGACGAGAGCACGTGTATGGAGGCCACCAAGGACTTGTTAAATCACCTGGCTGAAGCAGGATACCGAGTATCTAAGAAAAAGGCCCAGATATGTCAACCCACCGTGAAATACCTTGGATTTGATATATCCCATCAGCGACGGACCCTAAGGGAAGAAAGGAAGCAAGCCATCATCCAGATTCCAGAGCCAAAGAATCGCAGGGAACTTCGCGGCTTTCTGGGCTCAGCAGGATTCTGTAGAATATGGATACCAGACTACAGCACAATTGCCAAGCCTCTGCATGAGTCAACCAGAGGAACTGAAAAGGACCCCTTTGTGTGGGGAGAAGAGCAACAGCATGCCTTCAAGGATCTGAAAAAGGCATTGCAGCAAGCACCAGCGCTGGGCATCCCAAATCCTGAGAAGCCTTTCTCCCTATTTGTGGATGAAGACCAGGGAACAGCAAAGGGAGTGCTATGCCAAAAATTGGGAAGCTGGCAGCAGCCCGTGGCATACCTATCTGAGCGCCTGACGCCTACAGAACAAGGTTTACCGCCATGCATGAGAGCAGTAGTGGCAGTAGCCACCCTACTGCACAAAGCAGACAAATTTACTTTTGGCCAAGACACTGTTTGTGTGACCCCGCATGCAGTCCCAGCTCTGCTTGACATGAAGGGTACCTATTTCCTCTCCCAAGCAAAAATGAGAAAGTGCCAGATGCTATTGTTGCACCCGCGTTTGAAGTTCCAGGTTACCACCGCCCTCAACCCAGCTACCCTGTTGCCGGTAGGAGAAGGTGAGGAGCAGATGCACGATTGCATTGAAGTGATGGATGAAGTATATTCCAGCAGACCTGACCTAAAAGATGAGGCAAACCCCACTGGCCTTCATGGTTTGTAGATGGAAGCAGCTTTGTTGAGACTGGACAGCGGAAGGCAGGCTATGCAGTGGTTGCCCTGGAAGACCAGGTGATCGAAGCAAAGTCACTCCCACCTGGAACATCGGCCCAGCTGGCAGAGCTAACTGCGCTTACCAGAGCCCTGAGCCTGGCAAAGGGACAGAAGATAAACATTTATACAGATTCTAAGTATGCATTCCTGACTTTACATGCCCATGGAGCCTTATGGAAAGAAAGAGGTTTGCTTACCTCCAGAGGAAGCCAGGTGGCCCACCCACAAGCCTTATTGAACCTTCTGGATGCTGTATGGGAGCCCGAGGCAGTGGCAGTTATCCATTGTTATGGACACAAGACTGGACCAGGGGAAGTGGCCAGAGGAAACCGATTGGCAGACAGAGTAGCCAAGGAAGCAGCCCAAGAACTGGCCCCCGCCTCGGTTATTGGAGCACTGGTCCCAGAAGAGATTTTAAGCACTACTGACAAGCCAGCTTATACGAAGCAGGAAAGGGACACTGCAGACGCTCAGGGGTTGACGTTGTCCAACGAAGGATGGTACCTTACCCCTGATGACAGGATATGGATTCCAGAGTCCCTTTCTCGGCAGGTTACTCAGAGATACCATGATTCAACCCACATAGGACCAGATGCTACAACCAAGCAGCTGGAAAAATGCTTCTATATAGCCCACCTTTACCAACTGGCAGCCCAGATCTCCAGGAAATGCCTGCTGTGTCAAAAGAATAATCCCAGAGCCGGACCACTGGCTCCCCCAGGGATTCAGCACAGTGGAACTGCACCTATGGAAGATCTTGTCGTGGACTTTACTGAATTACCCCGTTGTGGACTGCACCGCTACCTGCTGGTAGCAGTGTGCACCTACACCGGATGGGTTGAAGCATGGCCCACAAAGACTGAAAAGGCACTTGAAGCAACCAGGTGCCTGCTTAGGGAAATCATCCTCGCTATGGACTGCCAAGGTCCATAGGATCTGACAATGGACCAGCATTTGTTCATGCAGTCCTACAGGGACTGGCAAAAGCGCTCCAGATCAACTGGAAGCTGCATACTGCTTATAGACCCCAGAGTTCTGGAAAAGTAGAGAGGATGAACAGAACTCTAAAGAATCAGCTGTCCAAGCTGACACAGGAGACCGGGTCTAATTGGGTGACCATGTTGCCCTTGGCATTACTCAGGGTCCGCAGTCTCCCGTCAAAACGGACCCATTTGTCACCTTTTGAAGTTATGTTTGGGAGACCAGTTCCATATGTTAGAATGTTAACTCCATATGCTAGCCAAGATGTACAATTGAATAACTATGTACAGTCACTCTCCCAAGTTTTCTCTTACCTCAACAGGTGGACCCAGGCTCGCACCCCATGTGTGTTAACTGAACCGTTCCATCAGTTCGAGCCAGGTGACGAAGTGTGGGTGAAAGACTGGCAGCGAGCCCCCCTACAGCCCTGCTGGAGGGGACCCTACACTGTGCTACTCTCTACCCCTACTGCTGTGAAGGTTGCCGGCATCACCCCGTGGGTCCACCATACTCGAGTGAAGAAAGCCATTTCAGACTGGACAGTAACACCAGATCCAGAGAATTCCCTTCGGCTGACCATCTCCAGACGCCCGGTAGACAACCGCCCTGCTGATATCACTCCGGAGGCTGATATCTCTACGCACGGCTGAAGAATTGGATGGGAGGGGCGCCCGCGGGCAGCGTCCCCAACGTAGAAACTTGCTCTCCAGCAAATTCAGAGGCACCAATCGGACTTTTGGTATTGGGTCCGGAACCCCTTGATATAGTCACCCCAAGTGTCAGGCCATTGCAGGGGTGGACATATTCCTGTGGGTGCATGCTGATATATGAAGAGGGAGGAGCCCCTTTTGGGTATAATATCTTGAAGAGACAACACGAGAGCCCAGTCCACCCACAAGGGATTGTAGGGAAATTGCTCCGTATAGTAGGTGCCTCAGCAGAGAAGTGGAAAGTTACCCCTGAGGCCCAGGAAATAGTTGAATACGAGTATCAGTGGGCCCTTCAGCTGTAAAAGAAAACTAGAAATGAACCCTGATTTTTGGTGGGAGGAACCATGGAGATATTGGGTTTGGTGGATAGGAGTGATATGTATCGCCCTTGTCATATGGATGCTCTCGTATTTCTGTTGGCACGAGCGCCATAGGTTTTTTGGAAGGAAGCGATCCCCTCCATCCCCTTGATGATCCTTCTCCTATTTATGATGGGAGAATCTATTCCCAAGGCCGAATGCTTCCAGGTCTTAAATCGTAATAGCATTTTCCCCACACAGGAAATGAGAAAACAGGGGGCTCAGAGTCTCTATAACAAGTGGCTTCAATTGGCAGAAATAGTAGCCCATGAAGCAAATAAAACTGCTTGTTTAGTTTGTACCCTTGGACCCTTAGATGGAGGAGGAGGAATGCCCATGCTCCCCATACCCCTCAATCGTTCTCAGATCCAATATACACATAGTCCATCCCGCCCAACTCCTTATTGGAACCATTCAGCTCCTTTACGAGTTTATAGGGTCTCTGGATGGTTCTGTATTAATCAAACCCGAAATACCGTCTACAACTATACGAGGTTTATAGGACGGTCATCATGTAAATGTACATGTGGTAGTCCTTTGGACATCTCTGAATGTGGCGGGGCTTGTACCAACCTTGCACTCATGGTGGAAGGTTCTCGAGCCAGCTGGACCTCTTCTCAGCGCGGCAGTAATATTTATTGGATTTGTGGAACAAAAGCTTATCACCTCTATCCACAGAACGGATATGGTGTCTGCTTTCCAGCGTTTCTTGTACCTCCAATGTGGATACCCTCTTCCCCATCCCATCGTAACCGCCGCTTTGCTGATATCTCCAACATCGCGGGGGGTAGTAAACAAACCTGGGGAAAGGACGAATGGCCACCTGAGCGGATAATTGCCCACTATGATCCTGCCTCCTGGAACCCTGATGAGTTAGTGGCAGGTGCCAGAGAGCCCATTTACAATCTCAATCGAATCATCAGGCTCCAGGCAGTGGTGGAAGTTGTGGCCAATGCTACAGCCACCGCCCTCCGTCTTGTTGCCACCCAGCTAGATGAAACCCGAACGGCTATTCTCCAATTGCGTTTGGGAATGGACTTCATTTTAGCTAAGCAAGGAGGTTTTTGTGCTGCCCTGAACCTGACAGGTGGAGCATGTTGCTTCAACATTTCAGACCATGGCGAGGCTATCCGTGATCTGGCAGCAAGCATTGAAAAGGTAGCACATGTCCCTGTACAAACCTGGGAGGGCTGGGATATGTCTTGGTTGGACGGCATCTTCCCAGGTGGATGGATGGGGAGGATATTTACTATGGTGATAGGTCCAATAATGCTTTTATTGCTTTTCTGCTTCTGTATGCCCTGCTTGATGCAATGTATGCAAAGTATGATGGAGAAGATGATGTCTCGCATGATGGGACCTCGTGTGCTTGCTTTCATGAGAGATTATAGACCTCTACCCCAGAACGAACCTAAGTATTAGGTTGTTCATAAGAAGAGGAGGGAGTGAAGGGAGAGGGAAGGGTTGCTTTCTATATGCTTTCTATACCTTGTACCTTGTACCTAAGAAGGATCTTCTATATTCTCTGTACTTTGGATCTAAGTAAATTTCTGAGCTAATTTGACTTCTGCAAAAGAGGCCCCTCGCTTTCTTATTTTAGGAATGCAAGATAAGAAAGACACATATGAAGGAGACTGTAAGCTAGAAATAACCAGAGGCCCCTCGCTTTCTTACTTTAGGAATGTAAGATAAGAAAGACACATACGAGGGAGACGGGAGGAGGGGATGCAGGACGCTTAGAAAGACACGTATAGGGAAAATAGGGAGGGGGCTGCATAGAGGGCTAGCATTATAGATATGCCATGCCATATAAAAAATAAGTTAAAAACTTTCCAGTTGATTGGGGAAGTTTTTGGAGGGCGTTTGGGGGAGGAGGGAGGGAGCTTTCTCAAGGTATAAGAAAGTCTGCAGAGGCGTATTTCTGGGCAGCCAGTCTTCCAGAAGTTATTCTGCTGGCTGTCACTGTGCACAGAGAATAAACTGTTTTCCTCCAAAGAAGGATCTTTCCTGGTGCTTTCTTTTGCTCTCTCTCTGGATCTGAGGACGCGGGCCAACGATTCCCTGGCATGGACTAGGCTCAGCCTACAAAGGGACAAGGAAGTGGGTGGGTGGGGGGGATAATTGCCTGGGCTGGCACATATCCCTTCGCTTCAATAAACAAGAAAGCTGATTTTAACTAAATAGTTATTGCAAAATATTAAAAAGCAGCTCCAAGCAGTGCTCTTAAAAACTCTGTTTTTCTCTCTCGGCTATTTAATATTGTTTATATCCAAGAGCAGGCCTTTAAGCCTTCCTGGAATCTTGAAATCAGGCATGGCACTCTCAGGAATAAGGCACATCTAATCTGATTGTCGCTAAACAGGGCCAGGCTAACTTCAGTCTCTTGTGTGGTCTGCTGTTTTCTTCACTAAAATCCCCTATGGCCCTCCAATCTGTTTTTAATGTACAAAAAAGAGTGCATCTGTAGGATATCCTAAGGCATGGCTAGTTTATATTAAATGATCCTGAGAATGCACTCCTAGTCAATATTGGAACGGACTCCGTCAAGAGGTGGTGGACTCTCCTTCCTCGGAGGTTTTTAAGGTGAGGTTGGATGGCCAATTGTCAGGGATGCTTCGGTGGAGATTCCTGCATTTCAGGGGGTTGGACTAGATGACCCTCGGGATCCCTTACAATTCTGTGATTCTGCCCACCCCCAGTTTAAAGCCCCTGAGTCCATCTTCCCCGCTAACTTCCTCCCTATGTTGTCTGGCACACATGCACACACAAGCGCAAGGGTCTTGGCACAAAATTAGCTCTAGCTGTCTCGTGGGTGGTTCCTCCTTTGTGGGCTGCTACCAACAGGTGACCCAGCCTTCAGTGCTGCATCGCATCTTATCTGTGGTAACAGGCAAAGCAGCGGCAACAGCAGGTGCTGGAAGAGGCCTCTCCCTGCTGCTCCAGCACTCCTTGCCCTGGAGCAGCAGATGGGCAGGAAGCCTGAGGAAAGAGGAGCAGCTTCTGTCGGTGATGCTAATAGGGGCAGACAAGGCTTTGGCTGGTCACATCAGGCACCGCAGCACATGGCAGGAAGCGAAGGCACTGGGAAGGGAGGAACATGTTGAGAAAGGGGGGAGACACTCATTTCCTCCGCAATTACAGCAGAGCTCCACCTGTTCTTCTGCTATCGTCTCACTAAAGTACAGCCAATAATGTAATTTATTTAACAAGTATTTGGTATATACTTTGGTATATACATCCAACAAACTAATAGGGCCATAATTGGCTGCTTTGTTAGGATCGCCTTTCTTAAATATAGGAATGACTATACTAATATTCCACTGAGCAAGGAAGTGACCACTATTATTAATTTCTGTAGCAGAGCTGCAGGGACAGAGGCCCAGAAATTGCAGGCTGCTTTCTACACTTCTCCAGTGATTCCATCTTCCCGAGGCACCTTCCCGTTTTTGAGATTCCACTAGGAGTGAAGGCTTTCCTCTGTATTAACAGAAGGCCTTGGGGAATGGAATGTTGAACAGCTCTCAGAAACGGGCTCCCAAAGATGTGAGGGAATATTTGTCTGCCTCAATGTGCCCTTTGGCATGCCCAACGACCCATTCAGACTCCTCTCCCTCAATAGCTAACCGGCATCACAAATGTCAAATGAAGAGAAACTTTACAGCTCTACAGCTCCAGTCCATGCACTCAACCAGAGCTGGATGGATGCTATCACCAGATCCCCTATGAAGAGAGAGTTTGCCCATGTGGAAGTACTTGCTTGTTTGTCCCATCTACAAGGACTAAGCAGCAGACTTGTTCAAAGATTTAAATCTCCCAGTAGGGAGATCGATTGGATATTTGATTAACTTTTTATTAGGGGACAAGTCGCCTCTTAAAAGTGGTCTGCCTTGCCTTTAGAATGGCAATTCTAAGGAGAAAAGCTTGTGGGGATCATAAGTTCAACTCTTATCTGATAAAATGTCTGGTTTTAATAACTTTTTAAACTGTGTAATGTATTTTTTCCTGTTTTGTGTATTTTATCTTTTGTAATGGCTTTGGCTAAACAAACAAACAATATTTGTGTTGCATTTGTATTTCCTCAGCATTGAGCGCATTGTTCTAGCTGCCCTGCTGTCTTTTCCCTTCTCACCCTCCATACGTCCATGACTTGCCTTTGCTGTGATGAGGAATATGCCACAGTCCTATGGAGAGTGGAGGGAGGCTTTATATTTGATGAAGGATCTGTCTGTATCCCACTGGCAGGGTGGCTCTCCAGGTCTCTATCTCTGGCCCTTGTTAGGGCTCTACCCAAGCCATGCCTCTCCCTCCCTAGGCCATGCCCTCTCTTCCCACCCCACACACGGGCTCCTCTGCCTTCTCCATGTTCTTCTTGGGTGATTTCCCCTGCCTGTAACTTGTCCTTGAACTTTGATAGTGCTTCTGGTTTGCTGAGACAGAGAAAAGTGTGTGTGTGTGTGTGTGTGTGTGTGTTGCAAAACCTCTGTTCATATCCCATGTGGCAAGGGGGATCCTCTGCCCTTGCCCCATGTTCCTTCAGTCCCCAATACAGCATTTCTTCTCTCAGCTGACGTGCTCCTCTCCCTTCCCCACAGCTGGGCCCCACGAGGGACCCATCAAGAGCAGGGAACAGTTAATGCCCAGCTTGCAGCTACAATCTCCTCCTGATCTGGATCACAACAAAGGCACTTCCTGTTTGGGGAAGGTCAGAGGGGCCAGCAGCAAATGCTGGCTTTGGCTCAGGCTCCTGCTACGCCTTCCAGTCCCCACGCCGGATTGACCTAACAAATTGACCTCGCAAATTGGAACCAGCTTGGGAGGCTGCATCATAAGCTTTGAACCCCTGCCCCCACCCCCCACCCTGAGCCATTTACTGCACAGACCGAACAAGGCTGTGCAGTCAGGATGAGCCTCAATGTGTCCTGCCCAGTGAGAGGCTACAGTTTCTCTTACGTGATGCCTCTGAGGGAAAGGCAGTGGTTATTCAAGGAGGTCTCTTTCTGAATCCATAGGGGTCCATGCATTATGAAGTGGCAGGCTGGAGGTTTAACAGATGTTGGCTCTCATTTTTCTCTGCTGGCCCAGAACCTAAGGTCCAGAGCAGGTTCCCATCCCCCCACTTTCCCTAACTCGATTTCCAGCTCTGCGGTTCTGTGACGTCCCTCCTGCTAGCAGACTTGCTCTGACATCAAGGGAGAACTTCCCTCCTCCATCCCTGGGTGTCCCCTGTGCTGTCCCACTCTCTGATCCTTCTCTTTCCTCCAGTGCTGCCAAAACATGCCAGATCCTGATGGAGCCAAGGGATCCATGCCCATGGCTTACCTAAAACAGCTTGAGGGTCAAACGGATTATGTCTGAGGGCCAGAGATTCCGCACCTCTTGCCGTTGAGCAAGTTGAAACAAAGCTCAGTCAGTAGAGCATGAGACTCTTAATTTCAGGGCCATGGGTTTGAGCCTTGTGGGCCTTTGCTTAACAAAAACAGGGCCAAGTGCAGATGCGTTGCCATACAAATTACATTGCTGGGGGAATGTCTTTCTCTGCTCCCCTGGTTGGAGGCAGTGTCATCATGGTGTCTGTGAAAGGGGGCAGAAGACGCCTTATTTGCTCTCTGTGAGAAGTGAATGCTATGGGAAATCTCCGTGCGTCTATTGGAATGTTAATGCTATGAGTCTTCCAGTTTGTGCTCAGTCTGTATATGTGTAAATTAAACTTTCTAATCACAGAAATGCCATCAGCCCAGTGACCTTCATTCTAAGGAAACCAAATCTGAGGGACATGTTGGAACTCCTGAAACCTTTTCCTGCCCAGAGATTGGGGTTCATTTAACAGTACACGACGTTTTGCAAAGGGTGATGCAGAAGTTTCAGCAGCTTCTTCACTGTCCACTGCTTTACTGGAAATCAGTTATAAACAAGCATCGTGTGGCCTTTCGCACAGAAGCATCCAGCATCTTTGTTGTTCATGAGTTGCAGCCAAGTTGACTTTTTTACTCTTCATGAGGCATATCAGTGTTTTGAACTTTGGGTCAAGAGCATTTGTTTCGTCATATGGTTTGCAAACCACAAGCTCATCCTCTCCCTCTCAAAGGAGTCAGTGTTGACTTTAAACTTTGAGATACAGTGGTACCTCGGGTTAAGAACTTAACATAATTCGTTCTGGAGGTCCATTCTTAACCTGAAACTGTTCTTAACCTGAGGTACCACTTTAGCTAATGGGGCCTCCCGCTGCTACCGCTGCACTGCCAGCGCGCGATTTCTGTTCTCATCCTGAAGCAAAGTTCTTAATCCAAGGTACTATTTTTGGGTTAGCGGAGTCTGTAACCTGAAGCGTCTGTAACCTGAAGCTTCTGTAACCCGAGGTACCACTGTATATCCTGGGTCACTGTTAGGAATGAGTAAGTAAGGTACAGCAGAAAACAAAACACTTGAATTAACATGTTTTAAACTATTTTTTTTATTTAAAGAAGGTTTTTTAATTCACAAATTGAAAGAGCAAAAACAGTTATACATAAAACAATTGCGAGAGATTTCAACGTAAGTGAAGAAATACAGAAAATATATAGCACCAGACATATTAATAACATTTACCACATAAAAAGGAGGTGGGATAAGAGCACTGAGCTGTCTGATAGAATTTGTGTTCATTTGTTGTTGTTGTTTTAAAAAAACCTTTTCGTCAAACTGATACACTGGAGAGAAAATGCTACCATATTGTGAGTTTCTGCTGTGGAAAGTCTAAAGAGAGAGAGTCTGGAATGCACCCCCCTCACTCTTTATATGTAGCAGAATTTGGAAGGTTATGAGGTGGTAAAAGCCTCAGGTGCTGACTGCAATGGTTAGGGGAGGGAGAGTAGAAACAACGTCCTTGGAGATGTTGTCAGTACCACACAGATGACAAAACACAGACCATCCACAACAAAACCTATCTACCTTCTGGTGCCAGATAGAAGAACTCGTTCAGGGATGTGGAATCGGTGGCCTTCCAGGTGGTTTTGGACTCCCACTTCCCACCAGCCTGAGCATAGCACGGCCAATGGTCAGGGATGATGGGGGTTGGAGTCCAGCAACATCTGAAAGGCCACAGGCTTCCCCATGCCTGCGCCAGAAGAACTTCTCTCAGGGCTTTTTCATAATTGCTTTGCTGAAGGTTCCTGCTAAAGGCCTTTGATTAACCAGTGGCAACAAGCTAAGTGTCCTGTCCACCTGCTTGAAGAAGAGATAAGGAGACAGTCTGGTGCTGCAACAGAGTCAGCAAAGGACATGGAAGCCTTGAGTTTTGTAGCAGGATGACAAGAGAGGTTCAAAGATATGCTGCTGCTTTGGGGTACCGGGTGTCTGTGTGGAATGTTGTCTACTAGGTATTCGCCTGGTCATCTGTGTTCACCTTTGTACATTTGTAATGTTTCCAGTACTCTCTCATCACAAAAAAACCTGATTCCTTAAAAGACTGCCCCTGAAGCCTCTAGTGGGGAGCGTGAAACAAGTGACAGAGAAGAGACAGGTGCCTATTTTCTTGCCCCTGCAGCACTGTGATGTCTTGAAGAGCAATATCTCTCCCCACGCCCCCAGGTTGGGACAGTGTTTGGTCCCATAGCTTGTGACCACCTCACAGCTGTTGCGAGTGATCTGCAAGGCACCTTTAGTAGTCGTCCTCTTCATTCTGTTGCGGCCGCAACACTACACTGTGGTAGGCTTTGATGCAGGAGAAGGCTGTGGGTGGGATCCGGCGGCGGTCAATCAAGTTGTTTTCCAGGTGCATCGACACAATGTTCGAGTCCTCTGCCACCCGCGTGTCACAGACAGAGTTCAGGGGGACATGCCTGCCAGGAAGAGAGACTAAGAACCCTCAGCATCATGCAGCCCTTGACAGGGCTTCACATACAGTACCTTCTCTCTGCAGTACAAACAACAACCCTGTGAGGCGGCTGAGCATGATCCCCATATTACAGGTTTGGTCAGGAGAGGTGCTGACTGGCTCACCCAAGACAATGTAGTAGTGAGTTCATGGATAATAGGAGAATGAGATTAAAACTTCTTGGCTCACATAAGTCATCTTTAAAATGAGGGTGAGAGTAGCAAGGCTAGGAATCTGATTTCCCGTGTTTTATCCCAGGAGCAAAATACAACCTCAAGATACCAGGTACTGTATTTAAAATAGTTGCCTGCGGAGCCTGACAATAGCTGTTCTGTTGTGTGCTGGGCTGCCTGCGTGCTTGCTTGCTAATTGGTATATTTATATACATTCAGATTTTACACAAACACCACCAGTCCCTACAGCACTGTTTCCTCCAAACAGACTGACTGTAATGCCCTAGGATTTCTCATCGCTTGTGGATGCAAGAAGCACAAAGGAGCGAGGAGCAGAGTAGGCTCTCTTTTGGAGATGGAGAACCTGTGCCTTTCTCAGTACTGATGGACTCCCACAAGCCCCCGCCAGCATGGCCAATGGTCAGGAATGATGCAAAGTGGAGTCCAATAACTATGCAAAGGGCCACTGTCTCCCCATCCCTGCTTTACCTGATGCGGTTGTGGCTCAGTCTCAGAACCTGCAGTCCCTTTAAGTTCAGGATGCCACGGGGAATGGCTTGGAGCTGGTTGTTGTCCAAGAGCAGCTCAGCAAGGGAGCGGTAGAGCCCCAGGAAGGAGACGGCGTGGATGCCATCGTCCCGCAGTGCATTGTGTGACAGATGCAGAAACTCCAGGCCAGGCTTCATATGGGCAAAGACGTAGCCAGGGATGCGCTCAATGCGGTTGTGGTGCAGAGTCAGCTGCTTCAGGTGCCGGGGTAGAAATGAAGGCACGTGCACCAGGCGGTTGTGAGACAGGTCCAAGGCCTCCAGCTTCCTGGGGAGGAAAAAGACACACACAGCCCTTGGGGATTCCTGAGTTCCCAACAGTGGTGTCCTGGATTTCCTCCTGTATACATGAATTGCTGCCATTTCCTTCCTTGGGAAAAGCATTGCACTTGGGGGCATATTGTAGTTTAATATGGACGATAAACTTCCTGTATCTCTGTTTTCTCTGTTGTCCATATGACAGTTACCTCCAGCCAGACCTACAACTTTATTATGAGGCATCTTGTCTTTGCTAGCTAAAGGAGTGGTTAGTATTGAAAAATACACAAGTGTTAGACTTGGAAGGACATGGCAATAAATCTGACTCGCATTCATATTTATGGTATGGTAAAGTTAAAATGCATAAAGTTTCATGAATCATGTTATCAGGAAGAATTTATATACAGTACGAGATAAATATAAAAATTTGTTAGAAAAAGACACCTTTGTGGCTTTCTCCCATAGAAGCTATATCAGTGAAAAAATGAAATATGAAAAACGAGTAGGCAACATGTAGAGATTCTTAATGGATGGAGATGTTAAAATAAAAAGGTCTGGAGAAGATAAGTATAGAAACAGGTTGGTTACAATATCATCAACTTAATGAATTGTTCAAATTAGATAAAAGAAAAAGATTTGTTAATCAAACCTCACAATTTGAAAGAGAACTTAAATAAATTTGTTTTTTTTTTTAATTACAGTAATCTCCAAATCACCTTCCCACACTTTCCCCTCCTCAATCTGGATTTTCTCATACCCTCTCCTTTTTGGAGTATCACTGGTATGAGAAAATGATGCTGAGGTACTCACGGGAGGTTTATCCATGCACGTGGAGCAATGCGATCTTCCTGCAATTTGTTGTTGCTCAGAACCAACACAGTGAGGTTCAGGGTTTTGTTGAGGACACTCTCGGTCACCTCCTCAATGCGATTAGAGTCAAGGTGCAGCTCCTGCAAGGGTGGGAAACTGTTGATTTTAAATCTGTCTTTTAATATGACTCCAGCTCCTCCCCCCCCCCCATACAGTTGATTCCAGCATCCTCCCCCGCCGCCACCGCCTCTTCCTTGATTCCAGTTCTGCTCAGTCCCTGTCCAGCTTTGTGTGGCAAACAAATCCAGTACCTATTTCACACAACCTATCCACCTCTAAAACAACAACATACAGAAGAACTCCAGAATGAGACAAGTTAAATGGGGCCTGACTGGAGACAGACAGTCGTCTTTAAAGAGAGATGTAGGTGGTATCACAGGAGCAGAGGGAAATAACCCTACTGGACCAGCCCTACTTCAGCATCCTGTTTCACACAATGGCCAACCAGGTGACTCTGAGAAGTCCACAAGGACATGAGGGCAACATACACACCCCTCCCATGGTTGCCATGTTAGAAACTGAAACATGAAGGCTAGGAGATAATTGGCATCCTTAAACCTAGGTTTAACAACGGAATGGCTAGGCACACTTTTTTTATAACAAGAATACAAAGCTGAAAATGAATGAACTGCAGCTAAAATATTATGTTCATTTTTCACATGGTCTAGTCCTTCCCCTGCCCACCCCCTAATAGTCTTAAGAGGGTCTCTTCTCCAGTCTTCATATTGTAGCTGGAAGTGGAGAGGCAGAAAATGGTCCTCTTTTCCTTCCACTCTGCAGTTTTAATATTAGGTGCAATACTGTGCCCAGTATTTGGCTGATTTGGACAGTGGTGCTGCTGCCCTGAGCAGACGATGCAGACATCACTGGCTCACTTCAGAGCTTCTTTCTCTATCCTGGCTGCTGCCCAGAGAAGAAGTGGTGTCAGGTGAGAGCTCTGCAGTGCATACCACTAGCCCAGCTAGCGACCTTCTAGGGTGGAGCGGGCAGGAGAGACCAACAGACAGACCAGTTTGGCCCAGAGGGGCTCTAAAATAAGCACAGCTTAAAACACATGTGTTGGGGGGGGCGGGAAGAGTATGTTTAAGTTGAAGAATGACAATGGGTAGATCAGGCATAGGCAAACTCGGCCCTCCAGATGTTTTGGGACTACAACTCCCATCATCCCTAGCTAACAGGACCGGTGGTCAGGGATGATGGGAATTGTAGTCTCAAAACATCTGGAGGGCCGAGTTTGCCTATGCCTGGGGTAGATCACTGCCCGTTTTTGATACTGGGTAGTAGGTCACAGCCTATCTGAAGTTGGACATTGCCTGCTGTACGGTATTCCTTTCAAATCTCATACATTACTTTATACCCTTTGACCTACCAGGTTTGGCTCCTGGTTCAGCTGACAGCCCCCTGACTAGGGTCTGGTCCTGTTACAAAGAACAACCCCTGCTCTGCTCACCTGCAAGGAGGCAGGCAAACCTGACGGGATGGCTCGAAAGCGGTTCCGATCCAGTCGCAGGTAGATGAGTCTGCTGAGGGGCTTGAAGGTGGTGGGGAGCACGTTCCCATCATGCAGCTCGTTTGCCTCCAGCTCCAGGGTGAGCAGCTTGAAGAGGCCTGTGCAGAGGAGAGATGAATCCATGACTGCCCTCTGACCACTTGCAGACAACCTGCTTATTGAGCATTCATCCTGATGATGTTTGGCACAAAGATTGTGGGAACGTTATATGGTGGCAGCTATTTATTAAGCATTTGTTCTTATTTCTTTGCAGGAAGGTTATATGACATTGCATCAAGCATATCCCACACTTTCTGGGGCACTTCCCCATCTAATTGATTGTTTGATTGATTTTGATTATTGATTTTGATTGATTTTCAAAATATAAAACAGCAAGTTCCCCCCGCAACTACAATAAATAAACTTCCCTGTTCCTTCCCATCATGTTTCCTTGCTGCAGAAAGCCCAGATATTTTGGGGAGAGGACAGTTTTGTTGCACAAGACCACTGAAACCGTTTTAATTGTGTGGTATAAATTTGCTGCTATGCCATTTAATTGTACCTGCAAAAATAACAACAGTCTGGATGTGGCATCACAGTGCTGTGGAGGAATTAATTCTTTGAAGGCTCACATATGAGATGAGAAGGGGGGCTCCCCAAATGTATTATGAAATGACATTCAGAAATCAGTCCGGTGCTGGAATTATACTGGGACAGGCAGAGCACCTCTTAAGGAAATGCACCAATCTCACTTCCTGAATTCCTCCAGTTTTAACCAAATCATGCCCTCCGTAGCCTTTGAAAAACAGCTGCAAAGGAGGACCTCACAGAAGCTAAGAGGGCTACCCCCCCCAACTGAAATACAGGACTGATATGCAGGTCAATATACATTTGAATATGGGTCAAATATTCCCCTCTCTGCCCACCCCCACCCTGCCTCCTATTACCAGCCTTACTCTTATGCTCTTTGTCTTTTCGCTGACATGGAGGGATTTAGCAAAGAATGGAGAAAGCTTCACCTGCCAAATTTCTGCCTCCCCAGGGTGCTTGGAAAGACACAGGGACAACAACAGTTTAACAGGGGAGAAATATATTGGCAACACAGCTATCAGAATCCCCCAATTGTTAAGAAACAAAAATTTCAAATTATATAAAATTAATGCACATAAGCATATTAGTCCAGTTTTTACATTTCCTTTTAGTTTCCACTGCTGGAACACTCTCAGGATGGACAGGGTAGAAACAACGGGCCTCTGTTAGCAGCAGAACTTGCTCCCAGGAGGCCCAGTGTGTATCCCAGCTTCCTGTTTAGCCCCCATTTATCAGCTGCTAACAAACTTCTCAGGAAACAACCCACACACATCCAGCACTGGGCAGTTATAGAAACAGAAAGACACTAGACCAGTAACAGCAGGCTTCCTGGCTTCCAAACTGATGGAAGATCTTCACACCGATAATTGGAAATAGCATAAAGTGTCTGCATGAAAACGGTGCATTGCATTCAGTAGAGCGCTGGCTTTGTCAAAGGACAATGTGGGGGGGGAGGATACACAACATATCTAGATTTGCCTTTGTAGTAGCAATCCATGAGATTTGTTTATGTGGGGGATCTCTTTTTGCTACTGTTGTCTACTTTGTTGTCTACTTTCAATGTGTCTGGGCAATAGTTTCAGGTCATTTAGACACATGGATGCTGTTAGAAATTGCCGGGCATCCCATTATGTAATTGTTCTACTGTGCATCTTGATAACATGTGTGTGCACTGTGTAGGGCTGCGGCAGACACCGTTATCTGCAATGTAATTTGCCCAGAAGGGTTTACAATACAAGCCTATGCAGCTCTCCTCAGAAGTTGTTGGCACCTGTCTGTCTTGGGAGACAATGGAGTGTGCCTCCAGAGGGGCAGGGAGCCAAACTGCTGGAGAATCACATTGCCTGAAGTGACCTCCCTGGGGTGCAAGCCTGGTCAGTGTGTCTAGAGCAAGGGTAGGCAACCTAAGGCCCATGGGCCGGATGCGGCCCTATCGCCTTCTCAATCCGGCCCGCGGACGGTCCGGGAATCTGCGTGTTTTCACATGAGTAGAATGTGTGCTTTTATTTAAAATGCATCTCTGGGTTATTTGTGGGGCATAGGAATTCGTTCATTTTTTTTTCAAAATATAGTCCAGCCCACCACATGGTCTGAGGGACAGTGGACCGGCCCCCAGCTGAAAAAGGTTGCTGACCCCTGGTCTAGAAGTCCTGGGCTGTCCAGATGACAAGCCTCTTGGCCTCTCCAAAGGAAAGCAAAGAAATGAGTTTGGCACCAGCTGGGCTGCAGGAGTTGCCAGAAACAACATGTACAAAATGGCATCCAACTGTCTTGGAAACTCCACTCCAGATTTGTGTAGGATTTGCTCCTTAGCCTTTTCTTCCCTTGAATATGTTCCACAAGGCAGCAGTGGGGCAAAGGGAAATAAGAATGTGCCCTAGGACTCTGGAGACTAGGATTCAAATTCCCACACAGCCACAGAATTCATGTTGGGCAGTCACTATCATTCAGCCTATCCTACTTCGCAGGGTTGTTCTGAAGCTAAAATGGGTGGGGGAGAACTTTGTATGCTGCCTTGGGTTCCCTGGCGGCAAAGTGGCCTATAAGTGTAGTAAATCATGAGCAAAGGAATGAATTCTTAACATCTTATTAAGCGGTTGCCATAGCTCTAGTCCTGCCTAAAACGTGGAGATCATAAAACAGGGTGGTTGTAATCGCCATCACAATCTTAAATATTAACAGTGGCTTTTCTACAGAAATGCCCACAAGCAACCTTCTCCAAGACCTTTGGCCAATTAAACTATCTGTGGCCTTTTAAGTTGTGTATATGGGGTATTGTTTTCATTTCTTACTATGGTATGTATTTTTGTGCTTTTATATTGTAACCAGATTAAGGGTAGTATAGAAATTTAATAAATAATGATACAATAATGATATAATTTCCATGTCTCAGTGCAGTTCTCTTTGCTATGGAAAATGTAAGATTTTTTCCTAATGACGAAGGGCTTCTCCACACTTCCATTCATCCCATGGCCTAGGACTTGGGCTCGGACTTGGAACCAGAGGAGACTCAGTCTGCACCGGATCTTTTGCCTCAGGCATCATCTGAGCCAAGTCTGGGGCCTGATCCTGAAGAGTCCCAGTCTGCACAGGTCCCTTCAACAGACACCAGCTGGGCCGAGTCAGGGGCTTGAGCCTGCCCTGGCTCCAGATGCGGGGATGACCTCATTGCTTTCAGCTGGGCCATCACTTACAGCTGCTCCATTACTTGTTTGGTCAGGGGAGGCTGAGGTAGCCTCTGGGTCTAGTAACCCACCGACGTCTCCCGAGCTGCAGAGACTAAGGTCTGAGAGAAGGAGAGACCTGAGTACTCGCAGGAGGAGTGCTTGCCTTCGGGCAAAACAGGGAGGTGAGTCGCCGGGGGACAGAGATAAAAGGCTGTCGGACCCTGTCCCAGGTTGCGGGAGCAACATTGCTGTTTGCTAGATCCTGCCTGAGAACCTGTACCTGTCCTTGCCTAGTTTCCTGCCTTGGCCCTGTTGGACTGACTCCCAGCAGAACCTTTGGATTCTGGACCAGTTCTGGACCACGTTTCATGGGTTACCCCCGGGCCCAACACACCTAGAAACCCTGGGGGGTGTGAGCAGTTTCCCGCTTGCCCCACTCCTTCCCCAGGGAAAACCTGAACTTTAGTGCTCAATCGGAGCAAACATCAATCCTAAGAAAACCTGAATTACTGTTTGTTCTGATTGTCAAAGAGCACCTTTCCCTGGGGAAAGAAGCAGAACAGTAGGAAGTATAGATGAGCCCCTAGGTATGTATGCCAGAGTTTCACAAATCTATAGGGAATGTGACTTAATAGGGTGCCGCCTTGTGTTTACAAAAATTCCGGCGCCTAGGAATGAGGGCCTCTGATCGTATGCAGAGTACACACACACATCCAAGGAAGGACTTTTTGTAAAGTGACCCCTACCTCGGAAGTTGTGTCTCTGCAGTCCTTCTAAATTATTGTCATTCATCTTTAGCTCTTGTAGTGAACTGGGCAAAGCTGGGACTGCAGTGAGGCGGTTCCCATCCAGATTCAGGCGCTTCAGCTTGGTGAGATTCTGCATGGAAGAAGAAAGGTACTGACAGGATTGTGATCATGTTCAGTAGTCTTCAAGAAATAATTATTTCTTGCAAATGAGCAAATTATAGAGCAATGGCCCAACACATTCTTTGCATGTACAGTCCTAGTTTCAGAATCTCCTTTAATTGAAGAAGTCAGGAGTAATCTCCAAAGGTGCCTGTGATAATCTATTTCCCCCTCAGTCCCCGTCCCCCTGAATAAATTGACTTCCCTCCTTGCTTCTGAACCTCCCTTCACAGCAAAAGGTCTTTCCCGTCTCCACTCACCTTGAAAGCTTCTGGGTGCAGGCCTGCAGAATCCAGCTTGTTCTTGCTGAGATCCAGCCATTCTAGATTGGGCAAGCCCAAGAAAATCCCAGCAGGGACATGTGTGATCTCATTCTCTGGGAAGCATAAAAGAAGGAAGGTGAGAGGAGCAAAAGCAGTTACAGGGAAGATCACGCTCTGGGCCTTATAATGGCAACTCTAAAAGCCCAGCTCAGTGTAAAGTTGTGGGCGAACATATCAGACGACACAGTGATTCTTCAAACAGTTCTTGTTTATTTCAGAGAACTGAACTGAACTGAACTGAACTGAAGAGCTCAGTCAGCCTGCTTATATAGAGCTCCAGAACAAAGTAACTGTTGCAACTTTCTAAAACTATCCAATCACTGAACGTCACTTTCGATCCTTCATTTGCATAACTATCTACAGTATCCCCCTGGTGGTCCAGGGTGAGAACTTCAGTACATAACATTCAGAAATCTCATTCTGTTCCTCCAATCTTTTTTAAAAAATCAATTTTATTAAAGGTTTTCAAACTAATATTCTATAAAATTCCAACGAAACTAAAGAGAATAATAGAAAACAATTTATCAATCAGAAACAATTAAAGAGAAAGAGAAAATGAAACACATTAATAATCCTCACATGATCCTTATAAGACACAAAATTATGCATACAGGTATATCTATATAGCCCTCAGTCACCCTTTAATTTGATCTTCACACACTGAATCCTCCCACCTGGGAGAGCTTCCTCTTCTTCAGTCTCCCACTCTGAGAAAAAACACTCTGACCTGCCTATCTCTGTCAGCTCCCTGTATGTATCTTCATTTATCACAGATATAAAATTTTAGATGTTAAGATATACATCTAGTTAACGCTACTCAAGAGGCACCCAAAATCAAAGGTCATACAAGAGACTCAATCCAAAAAGAGAAAGAGTGAAAGAGAAGAAAAAAGAGAGATACTTCTGTTTCCCTATCTGCCAATTGTGAATATATAACCATTATTCAAAGTATCTAACATATATACTTCTGTTTTAGTTTTTGTTTTTTCATTCTGCATGATTGTGTTATCTTAGAATTCCCTCCCAGATCTCCAACCATCATATTTTGCCATTCAAGAAATCTTCATAACCTTTTTTCCCTTTTTAATTATCTTCTAGTGTCCTAAATTGGTATTTCACTGGCTCCTTGTGATGTGTTTTTCTTTAGGGGTTCCATTAAATCTCAGTAACATATTTGTCCATGTTAGTCTATAGTTATTTGCCTGTTAAATCATCCTTATGTTCCATCCTCATAGTCTCTTTCCCTCTTTTCCCTCCTCATAACTATGGTTTGAATGACCTGAAAGCTGTGCTCCCACCTCCAGTGCACCAATTCCCTCCTCCAGTCTCTGCTTCCCAGTACAGTGGTACCTCAGGTTAAGTACTTAATTCGTTCCGGAGGTCCGTACTTAACCTGAAACTGTTCTTAACCTGAAGCACCACTTTAGCTAATAGGGCCTCCTGCTGCCGCTGCGCCGCTGGAGCCTGATTTATGTTCTTATCCTGATGCAAAGTTCTTAACCTGAAGCACTATTTCTGGTTTAGCGGAGTGTGCAACCTGAAGCGTAAGTAACCCGAAGCATATGTAACCCGAGGTACCACTGTACTACAAGTTTGCAGGCAAACTATGGTTAGTGCTAACCTCCAAACCACTGTGATACATTGATGGGCCCATAAAGAATTTGTCCGTACTGTATTTGGGTTCCTGTCAGAGCAAAAGTCATGATATTGATCCCAGCAGCACACAAACCTTTTGGGAATTCCAGATCTAGCTGGCTTCTATCCACCACACAGACATTTGGAAAACGGGGAGAAAGGGCCCTTCCAAACTGGTGTTTGGCTGCAAGTGCATTCTGCAACATGTCCTCGCACAATTATAGTGGTGGATTTTTTCCTGCTTTATTATTTGTTCTGTGATGCTTCCCCAATGCTACCACATTATTGCTCTCCAGAGGGGCTACAGTGCAACAAAAGCAAGAGGAAAAACACCCCAAAACATTTGTGGTATGAAAAGTTAAAAGGATTTCAGCACTGATTGAAAATTAAACAGTCTGATCACCCAAAAACTTTGCAGGCACAAATAGTATTGAAAGCAGGATCATTACTAATGAGCGCACTGCAGCGTACCGACTGAACAAGGCTGCAATCCTATACACATTTACCTGGGAGTAAGTCCTACTGAGCTCAGTGGAGTTTACTTCTGAGTAGACATGTATAGGTTTGCACGATAAGCCAGTTATTGGGCCCAGAAGAGTGTTTATACTGGGAATGAGGTGAGGAAAGAGAAGCTGGAGAGACACAGGCTGGTGAAGAAGAAAAATCCCTTTCCTGCCTCAGATATTCACCTGCCAGGTAGAGGGTTCTGAGCGCAGTGTCACTCAGCCTGGGCACATGTTTCAGGCGAGCATTGCCACAAGCGATGGCATGTTCAGAAAGCAGGCAGGTCACAGGCAAGGATGGCATTATGGGCTCATCTCTTTCCTTTGGCACGGCAGGTTGCCATTTTGGTGTGCCTCCCGCTCTGAAGACATTTTTATGAGATACGTTTTGTTCTTTCACAGCCTCAGTTTGGGTGACATTTCTGAAGGGGACACCAGGCAGATTCCTTGCTCGTGCCTGTCCACCTTTCCTGCGCAGGATGCCATGTTCTGCCCCTGCCAGTGACCGACTGACATTTCTGCGGGAAGAACTGGAGTCTTTCCTTGGCAATGCCCAACTGGCGTTCTGGTGAGAAGGTCTGTGCTCCTTGTTAACCTCTGCCCAACTGGTATTCCTTTGCTGGGAGCCATCCTGCTTCCCTGGCAATGCCTGGCTGGCATTCCTGTGAGAAAATCTGGGTTTTTCCTGTGGCGCTGCCTGGCTGGCATTCTTATGGGTAAGGGTGGGCTCCTTCCTGACCTCAACCCAGCTGGTATTCCTGTTTGGGGTGATGAGTCTTTTCCCTGACAGTGCCTGGCTAGCATTTATGTGAGCAACTCTGAGCCGCTTATTCATCTGCGCCTGGCTGGCATTTCTCTGGGAGATGCCCTGCTTTTGCTGTGTTAGTGACCAACTGGTGTTTGCTGACGGAATGCCATGTTCTTTCTCTGATTGTGCCTTGCTGGCCTTTTTCGGGAGAAGCCTGGGCTCTTTCACTCCCTGGGCCTGAGTACCATTCCTAGTGAGGCCACTATACTCTTTCCGCATTGGGGTGTGACTGGCGTTTCTGAAGAGGGGGCCATAGTCCTTTCTTGATGCTGGCCTGCTGGTGTTCCTGTGGGGAGAGATGTTCTCCTTCTGCAGCAGTGCCCGGCTGGCATTGCTTTGGAGCATTCTGGGCTCCTTTCCTTCTTTTGCCTTGCCAGTATTTTTGTGGGTAGGACTAGAGAGTGCCTGGCTTTCATTTCCATGCCAAGGGCCTGGCACTTTTCCTATCTGTATCCGAGTACTATTCCTAGATGTGACAGCATATTCCTTTCTTGCCTTTGCCTTCTGTGGGGCAACAGGTTCCCTCATTGGTGTTTTCTCTACATGGATCAAACCTGTAGAGACAAGAGATGCGCAATGAAAGGCAAAGCAGACTAGGACATTTTGGCACCTACATGACCCATCTCCGCTCCACCCCCACCTAACAGGGGGCCCAATACCTAATTAACAGTCCTTGATTAACTTGGGGCACCATTGACCGGGTAGTTGCCCTGCACAAAGGCAGCATGGCTCACTCTCTCTCTTGCCCAGCTGTTCATTCAAAAGGGGAGCCATGGCTTAGATCAGTCTTCCACTAGCCACATGCTGAACTCCACTATCAGATGCAGGTGCCTTGCGCTTAGAGCCAGGTCTGTTGGAAGAGGCCTTTTGCATGCCACCATTTTATATTTCCCACAGGGCCCCTTGGCAACACTACGTTGATGGTACCTAAAAATGGCACCTTGCAGCTCCCCACGACTGTTACCAAATAAACACCATTGATATAGGAAGCGTCCCAATGGAGTGCACTTCTCTGGGGGTCCCAACAGCCTGGGCATCAACCCTACCTGTATTAACTGTACAGTTAACCTCCACGGAGATTAGTGTGGGGTGTTAGCATCCAAAATGCATATGTCAAGGGCTGATGTTTGAAAGGGCTGTAGGACCTTGTGACTTCCGCTGGTTCTGTTATTCACAGTCTTGTGAGTCTTAGCAGTCAGAGCAGGTGTGTTTTGTTGTGTTGTGCTTCTGTCTGCCTTGGAGTCAGAGTATCGTCAGTATGTAAATGTTCGTTAGTCTGTAACAGCTTAATCTAGGTGAGATGTTTTAGTGACTAAAAGAAACATCCACCTGTATTGTATATTTAATCTGAAACTGCAAGTACACTAAGTAAAAGTCATATGTTCTTTAAACTTTAAAAGAGAGTGTATTGCGTAGTTTTTATAGGAGGGAAAAGAGAACTAAAGAGTCAAACAGCCCAGGGCTGCCTTCTGCATACTCTGCAAATGGGAGCTACAAGTCTAATTCCCACAATTAGAAGTAGTTTGTTAAGGGCACTAGATATAGTAGCTCTGTGAGGAGTGAACTACAGTTCCCAGGACTCTTTGCAGGGTGTGTCTGCTCTAAATGTATGCTGCACACACAGCCTTACTCAGAAGTAAGGCCCACTGAGTTTCGCAGGACTTACTTCCTAGTAAGCATGCTTGGAATTGCAGCCTAAAACTGGTAGGCAAGCTTAAAAATGAAACTGGTCCAAGCTTATTCACAGGCTGGACTTCATCCCTTTATTCCCACTCTTGTTCATACCTTTCTGAGGGTACATACTGCCTGCCTGGGTCAGGCTGAGGTTTGTCGCAGGGGCAGCGGATTCTGGTTTTGCACCCATGCTGCTGCTGGCAGTCTCTGCTCTCTTTGTGCCCAATACCTTCTTTCCAAATTTGGACAACTTCTTCGGCACACCTCCCTGCCCCAGATTTTGGCCATTCAGGTAGTTGGGGAGCGCTGCCTCCTTCCTCCTCAAGACACTGTTCTTCAGGATTGAAGGCTTTTCACCTTTCTGGCGCAAGCCCTTTTCTCCTGCAACACTCTCCACACCGGCTACAGATTTGAGGGTCTCTGCAAATTCAAAAGAGGAAACAGAAACCACAACACCTCGGTTATTTACTTAGGATTTGAAAAATGCACATCCTGCCTACCTATGTAATAGCTTCTAAAATTATGCCTCATCAGAGTGACCAGGAAACAGGACCTAAGTCTGCATTTTTTTGTTGTTTAGTCGTTTAGTCGTGTCCGACTGTTCGTGACCCCATGGACCAGAGCACGCCAGGCACTCCTGTCTTCCACTGCCTCCCGCAGATAGCAGATAGGATCAGATTTGCCCCCTAAGGCCTGGGATCATTAGGGGCAAGAAGCAGGTCAAGGTGCTACATCTGTGGTGTCCCTGAGGGCATTTCCTTTCTCCTCCCATGTGTGTCAGTGGCTGCCAATAAGTCCTACCAGAAAATCAGTGTGCTTCCCTTGGGAGTACTACAGCAGGGTGGTAAAACCTGACCCTGGGCTCTAATGTGATGAGGGGTGCAGGTCTCATCCAGACTTCCTTTGGCACCCTGCTTTCCAGGCACAGGTCCAGGCTTTAAAGTTCCCTGACCAAGCAGTTTTGTGTTTGCCCCACAGCTTCCCCTGGGAAAGCCCACGTTTTACTGCTGAATTGGAGCAAATGACCATCTGTGGAAAACCTGATTTCCATTTGCGCCGATTCAGTGGTAAAATGCAGATTTTCCTGGGGAAAATGCCGAGACAAAATACAAAATACTTGGGCATGAAGCTTTAAAGCATGGACCTGTTCCTAGGAACTCTGCACAAAAGGAAGTCTGTGTGAGCAAGTCCCCAGAGAAAAGATTTTCTCTCTGGGCACTTCCAGGTGGCCGATTGCTTTGGGTGGGATTCACTGGCCAATCACACATTTACAGTTGATTGGGAGGTCTCACACAAACAAACCCACTTCCCCAAAAGACCATAATTTATTTGATAAGGAATATGGCAGGAAAATGCATGGGGAAATGTGTGATAGCACTTGCTTTGATGCAACATCATCAAACCTCCCTGGAAACAGATCAGGAAGAATGTTCAGTAAACAGGCTGTTCCAGGAGCAACCTCTCTTTCTGCCTCTCTTACAACACATGGACCAAGGGTCATCCCATAAAGCAGAATGGCGGGAGATTCAGGACAGCCAAAACTATTCACACTGTGCATTGTTAAAACCTCCCACAATATGTGGTGATGATCATTAACCTGGATGGCTTCAGAAGAGAATTAGGCTTACTCCTGGAGAATAAATCTGTCCATCAAAACCAGCCACTGGGAGAAGGCTGCTGTATTGCCTTTATGTCTGGCTTGTTGACTTCCTAGGAGGCATCTCACTGTCCACCGTGGGAAACAGGATCATGGATCGGATCAGAATTTAGGGCTAGACAAGATAGAATCAAGGCGACTGGGCTTTAAATTCATAGTGCAGATGTAGACATTCCTTCGATATTCACAGTTTCTTGGTTCTCCAAGTGGTAGGGAGTTCCAAGGACAGCCATGACACAGCTAATTTCCTTATGCAGAAGGTGAATACTTGAGACTGACAGCATTTTTGTGACAATGTGTTAGTTACATGTATACAGTTTGAGCTTGTGGGAACAAGCAAGGGCTCCAAACAGAGTTTGGGCAACCTATTTCTTGAAAGTTCATCCTGGGGTTAGTTTGTCTGCCACTGAGCATTTGTCTTGCATTCATCCTCATCTGCTATTAGTCATTTGTTCAGCCCACACTTTTCAGTGCATTTCTCCACAATGTCTCAAACAGCAAGAAGGCCAGATTAACAGAATACCTCTTTTCCCATCCACCCCAGTTTCTGCCTACATTTTAACCACTACGTTTTTCCTGGTGCACACACTCTCTCACATTGGTATGCAGTGGTACCTCAGGTTAAGAACATAATTTTATTCTGGAGGTCCACTCTTAACCTGAAACTGTTCTTAACCTGAAGCACCACTTTAGCTAATGGGGCCTCCTCCTGCTGCTGCGCTGCCGGAGCACGATTTCTGTTCTCATCCTGAAGGAAAGTTCTTAACCCAAGGTACTATTTCTGGGTTAGCGGAGTCTGTAACCTGAAGCGTCTGTAACTCAAGGTACCACTGTACACAGACATATATGCAGATAGGACACTGATCTCAACTTCCAGCATGGCTGATAAGATGTGTCTAGTACTTAGTAGCCAGCAGCTATCACAAACCATAAATGCTAATTTAAGCAAGTATCCTCTAGGAGTCAGTGCCCCTTTTAATAACATTCGCCTCACAATACTTTTATGTCCACTTCCCCCTACACTGCACACCTCAATGCTGTCCTTAAATTCTATTTTGGAAACTTCAGCTGGTGTAGAATTCTGCAACCCAGTTGCTTGCAAGGACATATTACTCCAGTTTTTGCTCATCTGCACTGGCTTCTTGCCTGCTTTGGGGCACAATCAGGACCAGCCTTTCCAAATGGATTAGAAAGGTCCATATAATATTAATTTATTCTATACTCTCAATGGAGCTACTGCAGTCTGGGTCAAGTCGATCCTGGGTGAAGCATAACATGATGAATGCTGTGACTTTGTTTACTGAGTTTGCTGTGCACATCAACAGAATATTTTCTGCTGATTCTTGGGGCTATCCATCAAAAAAATCTGGGTCAGCCCTTGCCAGAGGACACATGCACAAGACCACACTTTTTTTTTACTTTGAATGAATGACTGCTGAATCACAACTGCTCTTTCAGGCTGTATTTCTAAGTTGATTTGCTGCTGGAGTCCTTTAGAACTGCTAACTGTCAAGAATTGCCTTTCCATATTAACTGGAAGTAGAATTAAAGCAGAAGTTCTACATGGCATTATATTGGCATTAGTTTGTGGGTGCCTTGACTCCCCTTAAACTCCTGGGTTTGGTGGGTCTTGGAGTTTGATCAGTGCTTGGAGTCGTAAGATGGGCTGCCAGGTGCCGAATTGAGCAGTGTGAAAATACAGACCAGCCTGATGATGGCCTCTAAGTATGAGTCCTTAACAGAGAACAAGGACAGGGGGGAGAAGCCATCAGCCAGCAAATGGGTGGAGCCCAGCCCTGGGCTCTGGGTAGTTAGCAGAAGACAATGCCAGAGTTTTTAGGAGGAAGAAGTTTCAGGATTGCAGTTGGGTATGATGTAAGCAGGAGGAAATACAGCTGCAGTTTGCAAGCAGCAACATGCTGAAGGGCTGGGGGAGGTCAGAGCACAATGTGAGCTGACAGTTTGAATCTGAGGCTGCAGGAATGGGAGACACAAAACCCTCCTGGCTCATACTGTATATGTGAGTAAATAAACCACATCTCACAAAGACATCACAGTCTCTGCTGTTGTAAGCACCTGGAGCCTGAAATCTAACTCTGCTCAGAGGTTGGGGTGGCATGTAGCAATATTATACCATTGTTAAACAATATATACCATAGCTAAAATCTTTCTGCAATGTTTGCTGGCAAAATGTTTTAGTCAGAAAAAGTCCTTGCCCATGTAAAATGAAAATCCTGGCCATGTTATTTCTTTCCGTTGACTGGAGGATTGTTGGTGATTGAATAACCTCAATTAATTGTCCCTGTTGCCGTTTCTCTTCCTGTTTGATAGAGAGGCTTTGATTACTGGTTTTCTTGCTCTTTTACTTTTTTATTTTTTTATACTAAACAGTGTTATTTTACTATTATGTTTTTTTAAACAAAAACAAAAACCAAGTACTTAAAGACAACCGCCACATCCATAATCAGAACACAACAGTGGGCAATTAACAGTCTAAACCTATTTACTTTGATGTCTATCTTACAGAGTCTAAATCATGTGTTGGATTGCAGCCTAAGAGATGTTATTCAGCAGTAACCCTCCAGACAGAATAAACAGGAAGCAATAATATGGGGAGGACCTGCAAACTGGAACTTTAAAGCTGCAGTAGTCCTGAAAAGCTTCAACAGTCTGTGGAGACAACCCCCCAAAACACACACATATACCAAGTCTGCAATTTGCAGGAGAATAACACAGAAACCAATGGACTACAAAGATTTGACAACAACATAATTTCTTTTCTCCATTAAAAGTATGTGAACAAAGGGTGGCAATTTCAGATACCAGTGTGGAAGTAACCATAAATGTTGAGCAGAGGCTAGCTCCATGCATAAATGTATACTGAAAAAATGTGGGGACATGTGCCTCCTTTTACCCCAGGAAAAACAACTGATGGCTTAAGGAACATATTTGTCCCCAGATGTTTGTTATCTGGGCCCTAGATTACATTTTGGTTTGCCCGGGGCTCATTAGCATAGCCAAGAGGCCAATGCTCACATGCAGTTTTGCCACATGGCTCCAGTTGCTGCCATGCGCCACTTGCTAAGGGGCTTGTTCTCACATGGCAGCGCAATGCACACACATTCAAATTCATGGTCCACAACATCATTTACAGCATATGCAATACTACAAATGGCACTACCACCAACCCCTACCACCCTCCAAGCAAAAGCAGCTTGTGGGAACGTTTTCTTTTGGTTTTGCATCCTCCAGTTCTGGCAACGGGGTAAGATTCTAGCTGAGCCTGCCTGCAAAATCCCAGCTGCATGTGGGACAACTCTTATTCGTAAATGTGGGCTGACACACTGCAGGACGGACGGGGCTGGACAGACAGGGCACAAAGTATTGAAGCTGAGCTTCCCTTCTTCACGGTTGCCTTTTTTCTGCAAGTGTCCACAGGGGTGAGAGACTGTATCACTTTGGTACATTTCACTATTTTGTGGTAGTCTGCACGGCAGCCCGCTTCATGTCCCCACTGCTTCACTTTTCAGCCACGCCCCTTTGGAAGCCCCTCCCTGATGCAGTTCCACCACCCACACGGCCTCCCCCTGACTCACCTTCCGCCACACCCTGCCCCAAGATGAGCTCGCTTGCTGCCTGTTGCTTTCGTCGCTTCCCGGGATGGGCTGGCCCATCTGGGGCAGGAGAGGATGAGGAACTCAAGCCCTTGCTTGGGCTTTCAGGTTTTTTCCGGGCAGCCCAGCCAAGGGGAGCCCACAGAGCCAAGGCAAAGAGAGCAGGGAGAAGGAGCTTCATGCTTGCTCTGCCTTCCAGACTGCAAGCCTGCAGAGCTCCAGGCTGGTTTCACCACTCGGCGCATATTCCTGTACAGGGAGAGGTTTATATTCTTCATCCCCACAACTCTGACGATGGGGAGGAAAAGGGAGGGGGAAAGCAGGGCTTTGACGGGAGCAAATGGAGGGAAAGCTCTGGCAGTAGCAAGGGGGCTCTGGCAGTTAATGTCCGTTGGGGGAGCCGGCTCACCTAAGACAGGGGAGTTTGTCTCTTAGCACCTGGCCAGGTTCCGAGGTCTCACTCCAATGAATGGCACTTCTGTGCATGCACACAACCAGCTACTGTGCAGAAACCGTGAGCGGCTCTTGTTAGAGAAGGCGATTTGACGCCTCCAGGGCCTAGCCGGGCCATCCCAGCACACTGCCAGGTCTGTGACTACAGAAACCAGCATCCGTCTGGTGGAGGGGCCTGGGGTTTTGCTGGCTGGTGATGCAGCAGAGGGCCCTACAGGGGTCCAACATAGTCTCAGGGATTTGGGCAGGTTGTGAAGCTTCCCCTGAATGAGCCCTTTGTTTGGGGGCACCATAACGCTCAGAATGGCCACTGTATCTCTCAAAGCAATGGCTTCCAAGCTGCCTTCTCTGGGGTACCTTGGAGGTTCCTCCTCTGAAGCTTACCAGTCTTACCTCAGTTACAAACTGACAAGTTTACCACAGCCTACTCAGGTCACCACTACTTTCCCTGCAATACCTAGTCCCAAGGGGTGGGTGGGTCTTTAAAATATTTTGCAACCAGTGATCTTCAGAAGATTCCAGGGTGGTGTACAGAAATGTTAATAAAACTGTTCACACAACAAAGGAATACAATCTTATTTATTTTAAAAAATGTAACAACAGCAGCAGCAGCAATTACTATATAATTTGGGAAATGTTTGTCCAGTATTGTTGCCAAACTCAGCACAAAGGTTCCCAAGGTGGGGGAGGGGCCTTGTGTGGATGCCAGGTGCCATTCTGAGTCAAGATGGTGGACAAAAACATCACTTTGGTGCAACATTGCCGGTTTTTTTGGCATAGGTTTGGCCACATCTCAAGATACCATTTCCAAATTTGGCATGTGGGTTCCTGAGGAGGGGGCAGCAGTCTTTGTCAATGTTTGGATGCAGGGCAGTTGTCCTTTCTTTCTCCACACTGAATAGCTGCCAATCTGCTTTCATGAAGATTAATGCTTTCCAATGTGTATGTATGTATATGTCTATGTCTATGTCTATGTCTATGTCTATGTCTATGTCTATGTCTATGTATATATGTATGTAGCATATATAATTAGTTTAGCTTCTTCTAAAAACCCGCCACCACACTTCACCATGCAAAAGCAGCTTGAACATAAGTGGGCCCATGATGCAAGAGGCAGTCCCATTAGGTCGAAACCTCCACTTTCATCATCCCATGTGAAAGACGTGTGTGCCACCTGCATTTCCTTTTTTCTTTTTTTTGGTACATTTTTCTTGTTTTTTTAACATATCATTTCCAATATAACATAACTTCTTATCTGATACAATATTTTAGACTTCCGTAAACACCTCTGATGGTTTTTTGTTCTTTATCACTTATTCTGCATTTCTTAATTTCTCTATTACTCTTAATTATCCTTAACTAATAGTCCTCCTCATAGTCTTTCTTCAAATATTTCAAATAGTCCTCCTTGCAAAACTTCTTGCAGTCCTACTGGCGTAATCTGTTCATTGCAGTTACTTTTCAAATAGTTCATATATTTACTCCAGTCTTCTAAGAATCTCTGGTCCCGCAGGTTTCGAATCCTTCCTGCTAATTTATCTAATTCTGCATAGTCCATCAATTTCAGTGCCGCCTGCATTTCCAGCTTCTCACCAGGGGCTCCCAGGCAGAGAAGGCAAAGTACTGGGTTACTGCCTATTCTCCTGTCTCGTCCCAGTTGGTGTGTTGGTCAGCGCAGGCATGATTCATCCATAGGGGCAGATTCTCCAGACGGGCTAAATGTTGTGTTTGTCTTCTTTGCGACCAATATTATTTGCTTCCTTCTGCCTCAGTCTACCCATGACTTCCTCATCTTTCATAAATGTGTTCCGTTAGTTTTGCCATTATTGGTTTGAAGTGGCATGTGCCTCCACACAGGGTTGATTTGGGGTGAAACAAGGAGAATATTGTCCATGGTTTACAAATGTCACATTCTTTTATTTATAGCCTGAAGTGTTACTACCCATAAAAAGCTATACCTGAAGCTGGGAGAGAGAGTAGTTTTTCTCAGGTCTAAACTAGACATGATGGGGTTTCTCCAGGAATACTTTGGGACATCAGATTATTTTGAAATCATCTTTTTCAATATTATCCTGACCTGTTGGTAAAGATCTTTTCTCCACTGCAAAATATTTGACTGCCGACTCCACCCACCTGCCATTTTAGTGGAAATAATTTTAGGAGGTCATTTTTGCTCAGTCCTACTGCTCTTTTTCAGACAGAGACACCTTACCCCTTTCCCCTGGCTGCATGTGAGTGTGTGAAAAGCAGATGAGTCATGTCTACCAGCCATTACCTAGACCTCTTAGCTCCCATAGAGTCATGTCACCAGAACACCAGCTCTTCACGGTTTCCATCAAATTGAAGACTCTGGTCAGATATATCCTTGGCCCTCGGGACAATCCATACTGAGAACCCTTTTCACAGAAATCTGTTGGGAAACTCATAAAAATATCCTACTTTGATACCAATATGTTTTGCCTCACAGGACAAATTGCAGCTTTGGTGTATTATCAATCAGAAAACTGCTCTATAGAGGAAAAGGTTAAACCCTCTACACACACGCACACAGAGTCACAGTCACAGTCTGAATTTAATGGCTGCAATTGACCATATTAAGGAATCTCTTGCATCACATCCAGTTGGCCCTTGAAATTGATCATCTTTCTCCAGCTTTGGTTGCCATTTTTTAAAAATTACTACAGATGTTTCGATCCTATGAGTCACCGTAGCACTGAAGGAGCCGTGCCTTTCTCAGATCTTTGGAAGAGATGGTGACAGGTCTGGCAACAGCTCCATGTGTGCACTGGTATGCAACAGCTAATCATTATCCGCCACTAGCGACCAGGATTAGGATGGTGCTGGAGTTATGGTGATGCACATCGCTGCTTGCTCATTTCGGCTGAAACTGCTTCATAGGCACAGCCATTAAAAGTATGAAGTTGCAATATGGAAATGCATTAAATGCTCATTTAAAAAGAGATCTTCCAGATCTGCCCCTCTAATTAAAGAGAATATTGAAATATGCCTGCAGTGAGTGTGTGTGCTGTAGAATCCAGCCTTCAGAAGAAAAAGACTGAAAAAGTCAAAATCATAATTATGCACGTGCTACAATTCCACAGGAATGCAGAAAAATGCACAGAAATCATATTCCCAATAATTTTAGATTTCGTGTTTGAAAAAGCATCTTTCTAGTCTTGAAATGCAGTTATCTGCTAAAGCCTTTGAAACAGGAGAGTGGATGAAAAATCCTGTATACACATCACCAGCTTAAAACACATGTACAGTAAGTCATTATTTCTCTCAATTTGGATTGAAGCTGGTTTGGGGGGAAATGCAATCAAAACACAGTATTTCATAAGAAACAGCAGGATAAAAATGAATTGTGGCTAACATCATGTGTACAGCAGTGGGAGTCCACTGGATGCAAACTGGAGAGGACATTTGGCCTAATATTCCCAGTAGTGGGGCTTCAGTGTCCTTCAGTCCCTGCTCCACCCCCTAACTAGGGAAACAACCCTGAATAAATTAGACAAGTTAATATGAATTACAAATACATGCCCAATTTATATATTTAATACAGGAATTCAACTTATCTTGGCAAAAAAATTGAATGATCTAGTAGCAGAATTCTTCAATCGTTTATTTATTGCTTGTTTGCTCAGAAATGGTTCTGCTATGTCGTGGAGTTTACACATATTAACTGTGCATATCATTGCTGCCCTTGTGTTACACTTGGTTTATTTTTCTAATAAATTACTACACCAATCAAAGCTTGGCTTTGTTTTTAAAACATCTCATTTGTTCTGAGCCAGTCTCATGATTTCAGTGCCAGCACTTATTAAGTGTTATTAATAAGCCTGCAATTCAGGGCTATTAACCAGCACTTTTCCTAACAAACATGCTATTAAGTACTTGACAATTCGTGAATGTACCGTAATTCCCTCCTATAGTGAACTGACGTTGTTGAAATGAAATGGGGACACCTAGACATAGAGATGTCTACATAGAAAATGACATTTTATGAACAGCAAAGGTCAAAACAAAGGCTAATTTCAAAAAGCTTAAGGAACTACTCAGTGAAATCCCATAGTCAGAAATACTCAGAGAGAAGAGGATCCAAGATGGATCAGAGTTTCTTAAAGGTGAAATATTGAAGTCACAAAAGCAGACAATTCCAAGAAGAAGAAAAGTGAGAGGCACCTAAAGAAACCAGTATGACTGCTTAAGGAGCTTAGAGATAAGATGAGATTTAAGAAGGGCATGTATCAGAAATGGAAGAAAGGGAAAATTGCGAGAGTAGAGTATATACAAGTAACCAAGAGTTACAGGGAGAAGGTCAGATCAGCCAAAGTTCAGAATGAACTCAGGCTTGCAAGAGAGGTTAAAAATAATTTTAAGAGGTTTCTTTGGCTATGCTTGAAGCAAGAGAACAAGCAAGTTAACAGGTCCTTTGCGTGGAGAAGATGGAGACATGCTGTTGGGTGACAGAAAGACGGTGGAACTGCTCGACACGTACTCTGTTTTCACCCAGAAGGAAAGCAGTGGCTAACCTGGTGAAAACTGGATAAAGAATGCAAGGAGGGAGCCACAGCCCAAGACAGGAAAAGAGGTGGGAAGGCATTTAGTTGACAGTCCTACATCTCTCTCTTTGGCGATCCCTCGTAGCTGAGTAAGATTGTCTTCCATAAACATGGTTTTAACAATGAGTCCGTAGGTGACTGTGGAGTCCAATTCTGGATCCACACG